TTTGTTGTTGTGTTTGACAGTTTAACAGTCAGAGGAGGTCGGAGGTACTCGGTGCTGTGGCGTTGTGGAGTCTGATGGCACAAATTAACCTCCCAAAGCACTTTGAGGCACGTGTCTGAATGAGTCTGAGTTTTATTTATTAATTTAAGTGTGACAGTATCAGGATAGAGGTTGTTGTATGTTATACAGACTGTGAAGCTCTCTGATTAACACATTTGAGATTTAGGGCCTTTATAAGTAAAACTCACCTAACTTTACTGAGCTCATTCACATGATATCTCCATATGTCCAATGTGTGTATGAAATCACAGAAAAATGTGAACTAGCAAATCTGAAAAACATATTAAAACCCAGGACGAAGGACAGAGTCAGCAGAGTATCGGTGTGGCTGAGCGGCCTACAGTGCGGCCTCATCACCGCCTGTTTGAATGTGATTAATCACGTGTATGTCATCTCCCCATCTCCACTGTCTCCACTATTCATTTCAGCAAAAGTGCTTGTCAAAGCACAGGTTCAACGCTTGACTGGAATTACAGTGTAATTGTTTCCTCTCAGGTCTGTCCCAATTTGATAGCATAATGTAGGCCACTTCTCGGCTCCCCCCCCCCCTGCTTTGCTTTGAGTACAGAAGGCCAGGGACCAGTGTGTCATAAATCTCAGGTGTGGAAGCTGATCCGTCGCCTGATGCAGCACCCGCACTGTCTTTGCTCAGAGGAGGCAGAAACCTGAGCGAGGCACACACACACACACACACACAAACAAATGTCCCTCGCTGTGTGACAGAGTATTTCATGGCCTCAGCTCACGCAAGCCGAGCAGGTTTTGAATAACCATCAAATAAATGAGGAGGAAGAAGATTTTTATTTGTCTCGTTAGCCAAGCTATTGGCCAGTGAGGTCCAGACTGGAAATATTTCAGTAACTATTTCATGGATTGTCATTGTTTCCAGGGGATGTTTTTTTACTGACCTTCCCTCTAGTGTCTTTTTTTGTGGTTTTGAGTGAAATGTGAAATTAAATTTTGGTTTAGACATTTATGACCCCCCTCAGGGTGAACTTTAATGATCATCAGCAGGTCAAAATCTGCCAAAATACCTTCAAAACTAACGTCAATTTCCATCAATCTTGGCTCTATTTTACGACGGAGTATGAGGGCCATACTAAAAGAAAAAAATATATTTATTTTTTGGGAAATTACGAGAATAAAGTTGTAACAATACGAGAACTGTCAGCCAGATCGGCCACCCCATTATCCTCGCCTCTAAGCTGTAGCTGTAGGCAAAATCTTGACGATGGAAAAGCTGGCATGGCTATAAAGTGGTGCTTTGACCTCTGACCTCAAGATATCTGAAAGTAATTGGATTCTGTGGGTACCGACAAGTGTAGTTTGTTTGTTATTATATATTCCTGAAAATGTTTTTAGTTCTAACCCCCTCCCCGTCTGTCTCCACAGCCTCAGTGAGCCGTCTCTCCTCACACCAAACGAGAACATCCTATTCGAGGGATTCTCCAGCAACCGTCGCCCCAGTGTGTTACAGAAGCGACCCCCACCTCCTCCTCCTCCTCCTCCTCCTCCTCCTCCATTTTCCAAGTCATCGGTCCTGCTCCCCTGCAAGAGCTGCCACCCGTCCAGGCCCAGCCAGCACCATCAGCAGCAGAACCACCAGCAGGCCCAAAGCTGCAGCAGACCGGCCTTTATTCACTTCTCTCGGGCCATCCAGCCCAGCTCAAAGCCAAAACCAGTGAGGCGTCATTCACACAACCCAGTCCTGACCACAGAGATGGTACAAGGTGACCTCCGACCTTCGCTGATGCACCATCGCAACTCACTGTCTCAGGGAGAGCCTTTGTCTGTCGTCGGGAAGCCCTGTCTTCCGAGCTGCGGTCAACGCCCCGCTGTGGCTGCTGCCGCCGGCCCGGCTCGCACTCAGCTCCACGTGTTCCTGCCCACGGAGGCTGAAGGAGAGGAAGTGGACAGTGAATCTGTGGATGAGGGTTTCATGGATGAGTTGGACAGTAAGATAACGTCTCTAAAGCTCCAGCAGGGAGCTCTGAAGACAGTTACATACCACTAATAAGGCAATAAAACAATGAATCCTCTGTTGTTGTGCTGTATGGCTAAAAGTACATGTAAAGCCCTGTCTGCATTCATTTTGTGTATTTTGTTTCTAGGGTTGTTTTTTTTATGATTTGGGCTTCATTTATTTGTTTAAATCAAAGGAAAACAATCATATTTCAGACAGTAGTTTCGGGAACCCTTTCCCTTCCTGTGCACAAAGCCAGATCCATATAGAAACGGTTTCTTGAGTTTGATGTGGGATAACTTGACTGGGAGCCTCTGACCTCACCCCTCTTTCAACACCTTTGGGATAAGTGTCAGTGTTAAACCTCGTAGTGCTCATATGGCTGAATGGGAACTAATCTCTGCAGCCAGCTTCCCCCGAGAAGAGTGGAGCAACAGATCCATGGGTGTCCACATACTTTTGGCCACATACTGTATGTCTTTTAATGCAGCCTCCATCTAAATCTGCTCAAAGACGATGTGTTGATGTGAATCTATGCTGGAAAAAAAGAACCTGGGATACAAAATAAAAACATGTCATGCAGATTAATAAGCTACTTATATGATAATTAATTATAAATATGCCTCATATATATGAATGGTTTCTTATTAATGGTCACTGTTACATTGAGATTGTTAAAAGACTCCTTGTTTTATAAGTAAGAAACACAATAATATATACAGTTACAGTTTTCAGCCTAAAAATAAGGACATTTATTTTACATCTCACAGTCGTAAATGTAATTTCTGGTATATTTGGTATTAATGTAATATAATGTAATATTTTTGTATGATTGCTGCCCTGTTCATGTTTAAGTCAAGAGCTTGCAGAGTTTGGCTATTAAAGCGTTTGTTAATGTAAATTAGGGCTGCACAATATGGTAAAAACATCATATTGTAATTATAATAAGATTTACGATTAGTGGAAATTATCATTTTTACATCACATATTTAATTTTCACAGCTGGGCTGCTTGTTTGTGTTGATAATAATCATAATAGTAATAAGCTGAATAATAAATCTACCTTTATAAAACAGTTTCTGAGTTTGCAGTCAGTTCTTATAATTATATATAATTATAATTGAACATTGTCACATAGTATAGTAATGAATCTATAACTTCACCAGAACTTGATTTGTGTTGTTGTGCTAAATGTAATTATAACATGATTACATGTAGTTGTTTTCAAAGGAATATTTCTGTACACAAACTTATTTTATAGCAATATTTATTAACAATTGTCTACGACTGTCTTGTTAGAGAGGCTCTCTCATGATTGGCAAAACACCACAGCTGAGCACAATTTAATTTACTTTAACTTGCAATAAACTATTTAAATGATTTATTTGTTTATTTTAAGCAGAAATTCGGTTTCGACTCGGGTTCAAATCTTTGTTTTTTTTATGAACTAATGGTTTTCAGTATGTCATATTTTAGACTCTCTGAACTACTTGCTTAGATCTTGATTAAACCTCCTTTAAGTGAATTAAATTTGACCTATATTTTAGATTTTTTGTTTTGTTTTGGTATCCATTGATGATGCCTGTTATTTGTAGAAGCTTAATAAAGTTTAAGAAAATGTGGATGTCTCCTTCCTTAGTGTTCCTGCTCATGTAGGAGTGGTAGGAACACAAAACCTGGCAGGAATACTGGGACTCAGTGACGCTGGAAGACCTTTATATCTTTATAATCTATAGATCTTTACAATATACAAAAACATGTAGGCGTCAGTGGATTACAGAGCAGGAGAGGAAGAGATAGTCGCCACCTGTCTGAGAACAGGACACACAGGATTAAATCATACACTCAATATCAAACGCAACAATTTATTAATAGACTGCAGCAAATAAGATAATTATTATAGATAGATAGATAGATAGATAGATAGATAGATAGATAGATAGATAGATAGATAGATAGATAGATAGATATATATATATATATATATATAGATAGATAGATAGATAGATAGATAGATAGATAGATAGATAGATAGATAGATAGATAGATAGACTTTATTGATCCCAAGCTGGGAAATTGCAGTGTAGCAGCAGCATTACACACAGTAACAACACACAGACGTATCAATCAGCGGTGCAGTGAACAGATTATGTAAAAAGATAAAAGGTGCTCGGAGGCTGTATTGTTGTGCACAGAGATTATTGTTATTGTAAATTAATTATTAATTAGAGATAGAGATAATTAATAGCAGCAGTTAATGAGGGACATAATATTACACTGGAGAATCTACTTGGAGAATCATGAAATAGTTTATTTATTTATTTAAAAACAACAAGAATATGAAATAGTATTTATTTATTTATTTATTTAAAAACAACAAGAATAATAGAGAATATTAATATTTATTTATTTATTTATTTATTCATTTATAAAAAAAGTAATATATTAATTAATTAATTAATTAATTAATTTATCTATTTATTTATTTAAAAACAACAAGAATAATAGAGAACATTAAGTATTTATTTATTTATTTATTTATTTATTTATTTATTAAAAAAAAAAAAAAAAAAAAAAATATTAAGTATTTATAATTAATTTATTAATTTATTAATTTATCTATTTATTTATTTAAAAACCCCACAGAAAAAAAATAAGTTTATTTATTTATTTATTTATTTATCATCATTATTATTTATTTAAAAACAACAAGAATAATAGAGAATATTAAGTATTAATTTATCTATTTATTTATTTAAAAACAACAAGAATAATAGAGAATATTAAGTATTTATTTATTTATTTATTTATTTATTTATTTATCTATTTATTTATTTAAAAACAACAAGAATAATAGAGAATATTAAGTATTTATTTATTTATTTATTCCCCCTGCAGTCCGGCAGGTGGCGGTAAAGCAACAACAAGCTAAGTTGAAATAAAACCCGACGAAGAAGAAGCAGAACCCCGAGTCGCGCACTTCCGGGTCCGTCCCTTTTATGTTTTCGTCTCAAAACTTTGGCGCTCTCTCTCTCTCTCTCTCTCTCTCTCTCTCTCTCCCCCTCTCTCTCTCTCTCTCATCATGGAAGTAAACTGTTATTAGTCTAAGATGTCCTGCTCGGCCTTCGGTTGCACCAACAGATCCACGAAGGGCTCCGGGATTCATTTCTTCCGGCGAGTAAACATATTCTGTGTCCGGAGCGAATAAAATCTGTCTGCGGGTTTTAAAGCGGGTTTGTGTTCGTGTTAGCCACAACGAGCGACCCGCATCAGAGGGGTTGAGGGTTCACCTTGCTCACCTGTCGTAGATGTGGAAGGTAAACCCCGAGCTGTGTGAGTGGTTAAAGGTTATAGCTGCTGTGAGGTTGTAATGTCGGCGAGCACCAGGTAACATAAAGTCCTCAGTGTGGCTACAGCAGCGACTTTCTACCTTATTTATGGAGGAGAATAAATAATAAACAGCCTTTTTTTTTTATTACCAATGTGTGTTTATTGTTAATTTATTTGTGTATGCATCATTTTGTGTCCTTTGTGACTGAATATCTGCTGTAATGTATATTTTAATGTGTTTGTAAGTGAGCTGTGATAAAAGGTAAAGCAGCATCTTAGTGAGTGTCTAAGAAAACATATTCTTTTTGAGGCAAAAATTCACATTATCATGATTTTAATAATATAAAATTATAATACGGTGATTCACAAATAATCCTGAATCTCAATATGTGACCGACATGATGTCTCCTGTGCTGTTATATTATTATATTATGTCTTATTGATTGCTTATTAACTGATAATTCTTGCATCATTTAATAATGTGCTTTTTTTTTTAAAAAACCTGTAGATGAACTGTTTGATTAAATCTGGCACATTAACTTGAAGGACTGAAGTGCTCATGTTAATTAATGTGCATTGTTCCTTCTTAAAGAAATAAATGAACTTAAACAATTCTCCTTTACCTTGGTGCCAACTTTGTTAATTACGTTTATTATAGTTCACTAAAACTTTTGACATTTACAATTTTAGTTGACTGGTTTAAAAACAGCAAACAGACTTAGAGTATATTTAGTTTTACACTTTAAACAGGCGTGTGGTGCATATGTTCATTGAGTCTGGGACGTCTACGTGACTGTGGGTCAGTTGTCTTCAGTGTGTTTTTATTGTATTCTGAAGTTCTGTAATCTTTCCCCTGATGTTTCTACCACAACAAAAACTAAACTGAAACGAGGAATCCCGCTCAGGAAACTGATTCTCGACATTAAACTGAATTGAAACACTTTTTTTTTTTGGTCCAAACAGATTTCCTTTAAGTGATCACGACCGGTTGATGCGATGGTGGATCAACATGAAGAGGATCAACTGGTCCCCAACGACCACGTCACGTCTGTGCAGTGTGCACTTTGAGGAGGATCAGTTCTCCATAGACAACAGGACGGTACTCAGATTTCTTACGCACTAATTACACAGTCTGAATGTGCTGATGGTGGCTGCTGTACAGAACTTCACTATGTAGAAATCATCTGTCTTATAGGATGTCTGTAGATCAACAGTTGCCACAATGTGGTTCACATGTCACCAAATATGTGGTTTCCTCTTTAGTTTGTATGTTATTATTATATTTAATGATTTTGGATTGAGTGTTTGAGGATAACCTCCCTCTTGTGACCTACGTTGAACAGTTATAGCCGTACGTAACGACGGACGCTTTCTGTGTCGATCAATAGGGCCGGAAGAGGCTGAAGGACACCGCTGTGCCTACCATTTTCAACTTTTCACCACATTTGTTGAAAAACAAAAAACCTGGCAGAGGCAGGCGAACCAAGCTGGTTAGTATGGAGGTAAGTGACAGTTTGGTTTCTACTTCTGTCCCATCATGTTCTTCACCCATCTATGTTGCTCAGCCTGGACCTGTTGCACATTTGTGTTGGTTAATGAGTCTGTTACCGACACTCACAATGGAGATAGTGGTTGCATTCCTTCTGTTGATCATAACAATGCCACTGTGAGAGAGAGAGAGAGAGATCAATGTTGATCACAGCGTTCTTCATGACGACGTAGTTATGATCGATGTCCACGCTGATGTTGATGAGGTCGTCTCTGATGACGACGAGCGAACACTCAGAAACAGCTTCGCCAGATCATCTTGAGATTTGTGTCGAGAGCAGCGAGAGATCTTACTTCCCGACAAGTCACAGATACAGCTTCTAGGAGGATTTCACCACCAGTGACAAAGCAGCAAGGAGTCGAGTGTGGGCAGCGGTAGAAAAGGAAAGAAAGGAGGGCGAGAGTGTCTCCTTCAGTGGTGTCAGGGCGTTTATTGATAGAGAACAAGGGATGGAAGTTAAAGCTAAACAAAGACAACTAATAAGACCTCAGTATTGTTTACATTGAGGTTGATGAGTGTGAAGAAACGTCATCATGGTTACGATCAGGTTTGATGGTGAAGCTTAGATTTTGTTCCGTCTGATCAAAAACTGTTGAAACCTCAGAAGTTACAGTTAGTTCGATATTTGTGAGAATCCTATAGAAGAAGGTTGAGCCATTTTCGTTCCTCCTCTTTCTCTCACGTCTCTTTCTGTCTTTTCTATAAACGTCAGCGGTATACGAGACCAACTTTACGCTGCAGTGTGTAACACTTAGGAGGATCTATTGGCAGAAATTGAATATAATATTAATAGGTGTGTCTTCATTAGTGTTCACCTGAAAGTAAGATTCTACAGAAGGAATAAACTGAACACTGGCTCTAGATTGTTTTTTGCAGTTTAGATACGGAAACAATAGTTCATATGTTTTATGACCGTGATCATTTAAAATGATTTTGGACAGATGTGCAGAATGTAATAAATAGAGAAATGGGTTCTGATGTGATATTTTCTGTTCAGTGGGTTAAATAGTTATCAATAATTCAGCTTCTCATCATTCTTGGTAAATTTCACTGGCTCCAAACGCTGCACTCATTGGTTTCAAGCTGTATGGCACTTTAGTTGAAAATGTGAAGAACAAAAAAATCTACAAAGGCTTTCAATATTTTTCTATAAAGTACCTTTTATTATGAACACTGAACTCACAATAAATGAACTTTGGACTCCTCTGGCTCCTTACAGTTTTTGAATGACTGTTATTATACCTCACCACAGCAAATCTGTGTGTGCACTGATCACAGCTCCATCGATTCTGAGTTTCCCAGAACACTCAAACATAAAGCGGTGAAGGTCGAGAAAGATCAGGTTGGAGGCTTGAAGATAGTTGAGTCTCATTCCAAAGGGTCCCAAAGCTTCTGTATTTTATTCTATTTACTTTTTATTAACATACAGAAACTCGTGGAGAATACATACTTAAAATACAACCTGATGATTTACATCTGATTTACAGACAGTAATTAAATCTTCAGGCATAAAATAAAAAAACAAAACAAACTCATGATTAGCAAGAAATTAAAAAACAAAATCAAAACAGGAAAAAAAAAAAAAACGGGAAATATCCCCACAAATGTTCTGTTTTTGCTGGAATACATTTTTTTTAAGAGATAGAAGAAAAATAATTTATTTAATAAGTAATTTAAAAAAAACATACAAAGGAAGGTTTGTTGTTTCTTCATTTAAAACAGTGAATATGATATTTACCCGTAAGAATGATCATATTGATCTTGATATTGAGATATATGACAACGTCTGTTTGATACCCCGGGAATGGGACTCCGCAATCTTTAATACAGTTTAGTCCAAATGAATCTGTCTCATGTCAGGATAAAATAAAAAGTTGAGCAAATATAACCAAAGATCAATTATTTTTATAAAAAATACCTGCAGCAGCTTCAAGTTAAAAACTGCCTGGGAACTTCGGCAGATTTTTACCCGAGTCTTGATCACTAGAGATCACCGAGTACTGTCGATGGGAAAAACAACGACCAGAATTGGTTCTGGCAAACTGGAGATCCTGCAGCTAATGGCCAGAGCTCCCAGTTAGTTATAATACAGTTCTTGGGGGCATATTCCTAAAGAGTGCCTTTTGCTCCTCTTAACAGACACAACATGCATTAAAATGTCTGCACAACAACATGCTGCACAACAACATGCCTTTTCAACTCATACGTTGTGCAGAAACCGTACAAAACAGTGCTGTCGCCTACCTGTTTTTCCACCGCTCGCTTCACCGAAAGCCCAGAATAAATCGACTTCAGCGCTGAAGGGATTTCACTTGTTGGAGGGAAACCCAGAAGAAGAAGAGATTGTTGATCGGAGGTGTTCACAAGTGAAGAAGCTTGGAGTAAGAATAACGTGTTGGAGAAGAAGTGGTTCGCGTTTGTGCCTTTCCAAGTGGTGGCAACAGAATGAGAAGGTACAAAGTGCCTACACGTTCATCGTCTACCTTTCCATGACCATGAGATACTGCAGTTGTGGCTGGTTGTTCTTCAGCTGGATGTGCAAACATACAAGTACTATGATGAACATTTTGAGGAGGATGACTACAGAGACACAACACAGCGCGGCCGGCTGAAGAGAAATGCCATTCTGAGGATGAAGACTGCTGCAACCACTGTGGAGATAACGTTATATTCATAACTTCATTCAGCTTCGTTTTGGCGGACACGGCTTCAGAAGGGATGTGCAGCAACACATTTGTGAGGGGGAAATAAACTTTTTTCCGTCGTGAAGGAATTATCTCCACGATCGATTTATTCTGGGCTTTCGGTGAAGCGAGCGGTGGAAAAACAGGTAGGCGACAGCACTGTTTTGTACGGTTTCTGCACAACGTATGAGTTGAAAAGGCATGTTGTTGTGCAGCATGTTGTTGTGCAGCACGTTGTTGTGCAGCACATTTTAGTTGCATGTTGTGTCTGTTAAGAGGAGCAAAAGGCAGTCTTTAGGAATATGCCCCCAAGAAGTGTATTATAACTAACTGGGAGCTCTGGCCATTAGCTGCAGGATCTGGTTGTTGTTTTTCCCATCGACAGCACTCGGTGATCTCTAGTGATCAAGACTCGGGTAAAAATCTGCCGAAGTTCCCCTTTAAGCCTCCTGGGTGCAGTACACAGGTTACACCGCTGGGGGCGGTAGAGAGCTCACTGGAGTTTAAAAGCTGCAAAAAAAAAAAAAAAAGTGAACTACCAAAGAAGAACACGGTCCGCTACAAGCTAGACTGGATGCAAAGAAACACAGAAAGAAACCGTATTAAAAACAAAAAGTAGTTTACGGTCATAGATTTCAAAAGTCCCCTTTTTATTGACCAGACCTTCGCATTTAGGAGCTAAAACATGGCGGCTACGGAAACTGGCGATGGACAACAGTGTCCGACCACCAATCAAGTTGGCGCGGTAATTTTCTGCACGTTGTTTTCGGCTGCAGCGTTAGTTAGCGCCTGCGCAGTGCGGGTTCGTTATCCAGGACCAAAACCTTCTGTTTTTTCGTGTGACGCGATGAAAGTGGAGCTAACCGCGGCGAGCTAACAACACACACACACACACACACACACACACACACACACACACACACACACACACACACACACACACAAGAGAGAGAGGGGCGTTAGCTCCAGTGAGCGGTGAGCTGGTTGTCCTGTCTGCAGGTCGCTGCTGCAGCTGCTGGTGTTTACATTGTGTTGCTCGGCTTTGACAGCAACACACTAACTTGTGTGAGAGTGCAAAATAACGTAATGTTAGTTTGTACTTTTAAAACCATCAGTGTTTTATTGTAATGAGGTAATAAGGTATATATTTTCTGTAAACCTGCTTTAGGTGACTGTGTGGCTGCACTGGCTGTTGTTATTCACTGTGTAGAGGTGTTGTATTCAGTGGGAGTGAGTTAAAGTTGACTGTCAGTGAGACACAGAGTTTAAAGTTGGAGATCTGAGCCGCTGCAGCTGACTGGGACTTGTGTTTTTACATGAAGGCAAACTGGTTGAGTGTGTTTTGGTTAAAGGGCAAAAAGTGGAACTGAATGGGATTTTATTGGCACACACACACACACACACAGTGAATCGCTTTTATACTAATTGATATTGGGGAACAAAGGCCATAATAAACATCGTCTTCCCGATCAACTTTTGACTAATCGCTGACCTACCTGCCTAAGACCGGAGAAAACAGTTAAATGACGCTATCTGCCTATTTTAATTGAAGTTTAGTGGCTCTTTTTTTAAAGTAGAGAAAAACCGCAATATGCTACATTTTACCTTTTCTTTTCACAAGCAGAAGATACATTTTACATGTTAATTGTTTATTGTCTGTCACAGGTAACGGACGAAGAGCACATGGAAGCTATTTCACAGCCAGGAGCGTCAGTGGATGTTGGAGACTCAGAGCTTGTTCACGGAGCTTCTTCTAGAGACTTTGTTGCTGCTGAAACAGAAATGGAAAGTAAAGAAACTGAGGCCATTGTGGGCCCTTCTTTTGTATCTCCTCTAAATCCATCCCCTTCACAGTCGTCTTTCTCTCCAGGAGAGACAGTCAGCAGAGTTCTGGTTCAAGGTGGTGAGCCAGATAGCACCTCAGAGTCTCAAACAGAGGGTCCCGAGGTGAAAACTGAGGAAGACTTTGAGTTAGATGAAGAAAATGTGCCAGTAATGGACAACAGCTTAGAGGAAAGCTCTGCAGGACCTGATATCAGTGGGGACATAAATAAGGACAAGACATCTGACAGGAAAAAGGCGATAAACACAGGCGAACAGACGGACACAGACATCGCCACGCAGCGGGAGGACGAGTCTCTGGCCTGTAAATTGAGGTTTTCTACTGGGAACGACCTCGATGAGATGATGGACATTGGTACGATGGATCAGGTGGAACAGGAGGCTCTGATGAAAGAGGAGGAAGAGAATAGTTCGATGGATGTGGATAGCAGCCGTTCACCTGCCATTTCAAATACAGGTAAAGTAAGCAGACGTTTTATATAAGTTTTATATAATTATTAATATATTTTCTGTTAATAAATGATGCAGAGAAACATTTTCAACCAGGGAGAATATGTTGACACAAAGCAAAAGTCATGTTCTTGTAGGAAAAGATGCTTTGACGTGTAATTTAATAGCCTTTATTTCACATTCATGCAGCTGTAAAAGGGAACTTGGAGTAAAACGTAGTTGATAGTAGTGAACAGTTTCAAAGCAAGGCTGTATATCACAATTGTTTACAGAGCTACTTATTTAAGGAATCATAAATTAGTCCTGGAAAATAAAACACTAGCGATATGTATCGTCAGTAGACACTTCATCAGCTACTCAGCAACAACACAGTGACAATACATTTGCATTCAAATTATTACCTGTGTGTCTTGATAAACAAAGTGGTTTCTTCTTTAAAGATTATCAGTAATTATAGATATTGACTTATATTAAAAAATCTTATTGTGATTCATTTCTCAGCCACGTCGTTCGGCTCTATTGTGCATTTTTCTGTTAAAGTAAAGGCTCTTTATTTTCTTTCTTCTCTACGTTGTCGGGGAAAAATCATCATCATCTGACATGTGGAGAATCTGAACAACTTAAAACTGGTTTATTCAATGTTTAACTATAATTTAATCTTCTCTTTGCATGAGAAATGATAGTTTATAATTGTATTATGTTGCTCTTAGGAAGTGGAACAAAACATTTATTTAATTTCTCATCGTGTGTTCAGTGTGCTGCTGTACTGACTTTGTACTTTAACTCTCTCTCGATTCAGACTCTGTGTTGTGATTTTTAAGGAATAGTGTCACAGGCGTTCATTCAGACAGAAACACATACATTTGCCATCATATTTACCAAACACGGTGGATGTCTTTAGAATTTAAAACATTTTTAGCTCATTGGTTATGCAGCACAGTGTTACAGCAGTTATTTGTGCATTTAATAGTTCAATAAACATATATGTAATTGATTCATGCTTATACAAACTTAGAGCACCGTCTGTAACTGATAAATGATAAGAAGCTTTCTGTAATACAGCCTGTAAGTTTGTAACCTATTGACCTCTCTCTGGGAAACTCTTCGTTCTGCCAAGTTCACAGATTTGGGATCTTGTTCAAAGACAGTTCAGCAGGGCAGAAACTCTCTGACATGGTGACTTGAATTCTTTCAGTTAAGACATTTTCTGCACTTAGAAGCTACTCTGCTGCTTCAGAAGCACTGCTCCATAGCATCCCACTAATTTCTGTATTTAAAATTTCCCTGCAGCCTCAGTGGCAGAAGACAGTAACTCCATTAAGGAGGAAACTGATGATGTCAAACCCACTGTATTACCACCACCCTCAGAGGAGGACCAAGTGGAGGACGTGAAAGTGGCTTTAGACTCAATGCGGTCCAGCTCGTCTCCATCCTCTGAAGCCACGGCCAGTACAGGCGAGTAACCTCAGAGCAGTGGTGCCTGGAGTGTTTTTCTAGAAGCAAAAATAAAGTGTTTTACATTAAACACCAGTGTCTGTGATAAGGATATACGCACTGTAATTATATATCGTGTATTATCCAATCCAGGACACTAGAAATCAGGGCCGGCGATTATAAGCTTGATACTTAAGGCTGATTTATATTTGTACGTCTGCTCCACATCCAGCCTACGCTAAGAGCATTTATACCTGTGTGCCGATGTGTCCTCATTGCTCTGCAAACAGCACCGTCAACACATTAGTTGGTGGTGAGGTTTGTATGCCACTGAGTTGAGTTTGAACCGCAACTGAAACTCTTCCTCGTCTCTCTCCAATATCTATCTTTTGTTTTCCCTGTTTTGTTATTTTCTCTGCACTGCCAGTGAAAGACACAAAGACAAGAGCACGTCATGTAACGAGGCAGCGTTAGCCTGTGTGTGTGTGTGTGTGTGTGTGTGTGTGTGTGTGTGTGTGTGTGTGTGTGTGTGTGTGTGTGTGTGTGTGTGTTTGAAGAGGGGTTCTCAAAAAGCATTGTTAACTCATCTGGGATTTGCATGAGTCGCCTCCCATTCTCTGGCAGTGCACACACACCAAGTGAACCAATCACACTTGTCGCGGCCTGCACGACGCCACGTGTAGTTATGTGGGGAGGTGGATGTCGGCCGTACCTACGTCGTCAATTGAAATTGAATTGAATTCGTATAAATCAGACTTATCTCACATCCCCCAATATAAATTATATTTAGATTCCTAATTATTGGCTGTCCGATCACAGACCATGTGATTTCATCTGGTTATCTGTATGTCACTTGCAATGAGTGATTATTTTCTGCATGTATTTCTACCTTACTTTGCACTTTTACTCAGAGTTAACCTTGATTAACGCTTGTTGCTCATGTTCCTGTAGGAAGGGACAGCTCATCTCCAGCGACCATAATGAACGGGATGAAAGTAGTTCAGCTATCAGTGCCGAAATTAAACACCGTAAGTATAAGTAAGGAAATCTGTTTCAGTGTGTAAATTAGGTGTAGCTTCACTGCTGTGCTGTGTCTGATTTCAGCTTGTACAGTTCCAGCTTTAATGGGCTTTAGAGTTGTCATGATTTGGATTTTACATCAGCCTTATTAGTGAGCAGGAAGCTGTTGGTTGGGGTGTTAACATAGAAGTCAAAATCTGCCTCAAAATCAGCATCCGTGCAACGATTTTATTTTTCCGTTGTAGGAAAGGTTACGTGCTCCCACTCCGCCAATCAAGTCGTCCCCTTCTCCACCCTTGGTCAAGGTGAAGGATGAGCCTGAGGACGACGAATATGAACAAGCCCAAATATCCTCTACGTCCACAGCGAATGTGAAGGATGAGCCCAACACTGCAAAGGTGGGACACACACATTGTCATGCCTCTATGTTAATCCGATGGCAGTTTGATATCTTGGTCAACGTTACGTCAAATCAAATAAATTTTTTTTTTTAAACCGTGAAAGAGACAATTTTAGGTTTAAGAGATTCTTCTCATGAGTCTGTAAAAACGTCGCCTTGTGGTGCGACTAGGGGAGAATAAATGATAATAATTCACAGTTAATTGGGCTCCACTGTCAGTACACACTACACAGCTTGTCCCGACTGTAGTGCTCCTCAAAAAAACCAATGTCTGACTATTGAAGAGTTACAGCAGTTGTTTTAGCTATGAACTGGTACGGTGATTTATGAATTATTCATATCACATTGGGAAATTAAAACTGGTATTCATCTGGTATATTGCCTAGCACAATCTGTAGTGAACACATCCTTCAATACAGGAATATTTTCCCTGTTTGGGAATCTATTCAGGCCTTGAATTTTATGTTAACTTAGTGAACAGTACTCACTTAATTCAAGGAGTACATATGCTCTACCTGAATGAAACAAATATTGCTGTACACCAGACCTTCAGTCAGGAGCTTATAGATCCAACTGACCTCATCCTCTCTGTTCTGTTATCAACAGGAGGACTTGAGGATCGGATCCGTCTTCTCCGTGACCCCAGCTGCTGAAACACAAACGCTGCCTGTCGTCAACCCCTCGTCGCTGCACATGTACTGTTCCAACTGCAAGAAGAGCCTGATGAAAGGACAGACAGCTTTCCAGAGGAAGGGCTCCCCGGCACTCTTCTGCTCCACCGACTGCCTCACCACGTCCCTCCCTGTCAGAGGAGTCACTAAGATCTGTCACAACTGCCAAAAGTGAGTCAGCAGGGAACAGCGTAATCTCTCCATACGTATGAGTATTTAAAATGTGTGTGAGAACAGGCAGATTCATTGACTGTATATCTGCAGATAAACTAAACTGCGTCAAAGGTCGTGACCCAAATTCAATTAAATTCAATTCAATTTTATTTGTATAGCGCCAATTCATAACAGAAGTTATCTCAGGACACTTTTCAAATAGAGCAGGTCTAGACCGAACTCTTTAAAACATTATTTACAGAGACCCAACAGTACCATCATGAGCAAGCACTAGGCGACAAGGGCAAGGAAAAACTGCCTGTTAAAAGGCAGAAACCTAGGACAGATCCTTCGGCTCTAGGTGGGTGGTCGTCTGCCTCGAATGAATGATTTCGTATTAATTTTACCTCTTCTCTTTCTCTCAGGTTGATATTACGGCCGCAGGACGTCATTCTGACTCCAGATGCTAAAGGAACCATGAAGGAATTCTGCAGCCAGAACTGCCTGACCTCCTTCAACTACAAGAAAAACGCCACCAACTACATGAAACCCACCTCCACCAAAAAAACACTACAACCGATCGCACCACAGTCACTCTGCAGCATGTGCACCAGATACTGCGTCGTAAGTCAAACACAGGGGTTGCAACTAATGAGCATTTTCCATCGATTCATCTAACACTTATTTTCTTGATTAATCAACTAATTGTTTGATCCATAAAATGGTGAAAATGTTGCTCCCAAAGCCCAAGGTGACGTCCTTAAATGTCTTGTTTGGTCTGCAAACAAAAGATGTTCGGTTTGTTGTTATAGAGGATTAAAGAAACCAGAAAATATTCACTGATTGTCTTTAAAATGTCAGAAAATAGTGAAATCCTCATTTAAAATGAATGAGTTTAAGGTGTTTCTTACCTCTCTCTTTTGTCTGACCAGCAGTCCAAAACCATCATATAAAACATTGAAGAGAAGCTGGACTGGGGAATGTTTGGCATTATTTTTGCCTAAAGAATAAATGTAAACGGTTAATCAGTCATCAAAATAGTTGGAAAACAGTTATATCTGTTAATCGACTAATAGATTAACTGACTAATTGGTTCAGAGATAAAATGATACAAAAACATCTACATTATTATATCCTATCCTTCCCATAAGTGTATCCACACAATGATAATGATAAACAATGTTATAAACAGTGTGCCACTTATAGGCAGTAAGTAAAATAAAGTCTACATGTTCAACTTTATTAATTAAAAATAATTTGCATCAGAATTTCATTTTCCTGTACTGAGGGAAACCAGCTGCTTAAGGCAAAGAGTTTTTCTTGTAATCATCCTGTTGTACTAATTATGTCACACACGACCTTTTACCTGTAAACTGTTCTTTTGTGAGTAAAAGGATTCATCTATGAAATAACTTTTTTTTTGCCGTCCCTCTTGCAGAGCAAACACGAGGTGATCCTGAGTGGTGCAGTCCACAAGATCTGCAGTGACGCCTGCTTTAACCGTTTCCGTACAGTAAACAACCTGTCCATGGCCGGCTGTGCAAACTGCAGCTCTTACTGCCTCAACAAACCGCTCATGCTGAAGATGGACGGCAGCAACAAAACTCTGTGCAATGCAGAGTGTCTGGCCAAGTACAAAGAGGTATGAAAATTCAAAAGTTTACAAAAAAGACTTTGTTTGGGTCACTCTGGTGTCACCTCGCATATTCAGTGATAGTGGAAATCTGTCCCTGCTCCTACAAAGACTGTCAGCTAAAACTGTAAAAGGTAAAAGGGAGATATTTTTTGTGATGTGCCTCAAACTGACTCTGTACAGCTAAATCTCTGCAGTTTTATGTGTTATAAACTGTTGCTTTCTTACATTTCACAATAGAATTGCACAAAGTAAATTTAGCCTATCTCTCTTTCTGTTGAGGATGTGGTCGCCTTGTTTGAATAAACTTCATTGTAAACAGATAAACAACCCACCAGGGGTTCTGTTCTTAAGTGTAAGCACCAACGTCGTGGCCGCTTGATTCATCCGTTCAATGTGAGCATAAAAGTTGAAGGTTCTGGGTGTGCAGGAAACCCGGACATGTAATCTGCGTTAACAGAACGGAAACTATTTTTAACAAGCTATTTTATTGATACCTATAATATTATTGATTCTGCTTATAGGTCTGATTCTTTATAGATCACTTACTATCTGTTTCATCCTCAGTAATGATTGTGAAGCAGTGGCATTCGTGTGTAGAGTGTTGAATACACATTATATAGACATTCCTGAAATTTAAGACCATGTTGTGTTGAAAAATGTTTTAGCATGCTGGCTGTAAACTATTAAATTAATTGGCAACTATTTTGTTAATCAATAAAATGTTTAAATTACTTATTTGTTAAGAAGAAAATAAGAAGAGAAACACATTTTATGTACCAAACAACAAATCGATAAATCAAGAAAACAATGAAATGAAATGAAGCCACGTTTCGGACCGTTTCTTCCTCCCCGCCGCGACTCCTCCTTGTTTAAAAGTTTCTAGCAGCGTAGACGCATGAGTTTGACGTCACTGTTTTATTTAAAGTCTGATTACGATTCACGCGAATGTCAGATAAACATACCGACATCGTTAAGAGGTATACATTCCCGATGGATCAAACAATTTGGAGCCGGTTCTCGAGTCCCATCCCGAGTGTCTGCCCAGCTAAAAATATTTTTTTCCTCTCTTCTAAATCTCATAATAGAAAACAAAGATAACCCAGCCTTGTGTGATGTGTCGCACTACCCGGTTGCTGGCAGATATGATTGACAACCAAAACAGTGACGACTCCGTGAACCTCTACTGTAGCAGCAGTTGTGTGATGGCATTCAAGGTCCAGACTGTCAGTGCATCAGGTACTGGACAACAAGCTTTAATGACTCATGTTTGACATTAAATACGACACTGTGGGACTTTTAAAAATAATTTAAACCTCTTCTTTTTTTTTCATAGGTGCTCGGATGAATTGTGATAGTTGTGGGAAAAACACAGTACCGGCCTACCACCTGGCCATGTCGGATACCTCCATCAGGAACTTCTGCACTCTACCTTGTGTCATGGCTTTTCAGGTAACGATGGACATGGCTGGTACTTAACACTGTGAGGTTAGCTGTCCCGATCATCACTGACAGTCAGCATCTGAGCAGCCAGAAGTCCCTCTGTCCCTCTTCAACCACCCTTCTCTTCTTCCATCACAGTTATCTTTGTGGTTGGTGGTCATTTTGAGACCAGACTTTACCATGTTGTCTGTGTTGCTGAAATAAAGTTATTTAACAGACAAAATAAGAGTCGACGCCAAATCTTCTGACTCAAATTGTCGACTTTTAGAAGGGCAGCCGAAGCAAATACAGCTGAAATCAAAGTGGAATATTTGTTATCAAGTTGGGAAGAACATTTAGTTTTGTCTGTTTTGATTTCACACTCACCTGAACCGCAGTGGTTTCACTCAAGACTCTTCTATTGTGTTTTGGTTTCATAGGAGAAGTTCAAGAAGTCCCAGAAACAGGTGAATGTTTTTACCAAGTTACCCATCGGATCATCCCAAATCCAGACCTTCACTCCTGTCCAGCCTCAGCGAGATGTCCTCAAAGGACTGAAGCTGAACTGCTCTCAGTGTACCCGCAACATCACTTTTAAACCTGAACTCATCCAGATCAAGGTAACTTGTGTGTGTGGGAGTCGGTTCTGTCTAATGGAAATGACCTTTTAATGCATTGATCAGAGGGACTGATAACTATTTTAGACTGTACAGATATAAATCTTTATTTTAGTGGGCAGTATTTTTATGTTATATTGATACAACAGGAAAGTGTGTTACCACCCTAATACTGTCTGTACTATTAGTCTCTGCCTTAAATATTGGCAATCTTAACCTTGAGAGAACAAATTTCTGTGTGCAGGACAAGATGGTTTTCGTGTGTAGCACGGACTGTTCTCACGAGTTCAAGAAAGCCAACTATGTGACGTGCCTGTGCGAATACTGTAAGATTGAAAAGATCACAAGAGAAGCAAAGAGAATTGACAACAAAGACTGTTTCTTCTGCAGCGATGGTAAGGAGACAGTTTGTTATTATGTCTAATGTCAGAACCAGTGCAGGGTTTTGTAACTTGTATTTTGTTTTGTCATCCGAAAGATCTCCATCACAGACCAAACTGTATAATTATGTGCAAGTTTTGTATCTTGAAATCGTGCATACTAACCTAGAGCCTCTCCTCTCCCTCCCCCCAGGCTGTAAGCTCCTTTTTAGACACGACTTGACTAAAAACTGGGGAAAACACTGTCACTCCTGCGTCTACTGCCACTCGGTGTCTAAGAAGCTGGTGACGGCACAGTATGGAGGCTCGACTGAGGAGTTCTGCTCTGAGGAGTGCAGGTCCAAATACACCATGCTCTTCTGCCATGTAAGAGAGCCTCAATGCAGTTATTGAAATACTAAAACAATGGTGGTGATGATGATGATCTCTCTCTTTGCCTCAACTAAACGTTTACGTACTGTTTTCTCTCAGGTTGCAAAGTGTGACACCTGCGGCCGCAAAGGGAAACTGAAGCAGAGTCTTCCCATGCTGGGAGAGGTCAAACACTTCTGTGACCTGTCTTGTCTTCTACAGTTCTGCTCTAATAAAGTGGCCACGCAGGGCGAGGTCTTCAAAGGTGTGTTATTGTTGCCTATGTTGTGGTTTTAATCCTGACTTTTTAATTAAGTTGAGATGAAGATGACTCCCCTGTGTTTTCTGACATTTGATTTCTTTGATCAGCAGGTACATGCGAGGACACACCTGTCATCGCCAACGTCATCTCACTTGCAGGACCTCCAACAGGGAAATCCAGTGCTTCCGAAAGAGCTACCCAGCAAAGTACACAAAACACACACACACACACACACACACACAAGTATTTATGTGCTATATAACATGCTGTATGTTGTTCATTGTGAAGGTTTCATACTTACTGTCCTCATCTCCACAGGCACAGGCTCTATCTTTCAGTCAAAGAACTGTGGACATGTAAGTTGTCTTTTAATATGTTTTCTATACAGTGAAATTCAACAATTAAAGGAAGAACATAAATGAGAGGAGAAACATAACAAATGTACAGGTGTGCTCTATGATACAGTTTGTGTAGCACTTTTTTTATACCTACAAGGCAATTCAATGTGCTAAACATAAGACAAGAAGACCAAATGAAAAGACACATTAATGGGCTTTTAAAAATAAGCTTAAAACAGATGAAGCAGCAGAGTAAAAATTAAGATAATGTTGAAGCAAAATTAATTTGCAGAATGATGTGATGTGTATAAAAACACTGCGAGGCCCCAGTTTACCTTACATTGTTTGGAAAGAGGAAATGTTATGTGCTGCAGGTCAAGTTTGCATGAATTAAACATGTTTTTAGAGACATTTCATCTCACTCTTACTGTGCCTTACTTTGATTCTTGAGTAGTTACTTTACTGTACTGTATTTATTCCCTTCAGATCAGTATTCAGACAGATGCAGTGAAAGCTCATCCTCCAAAAATCCTCAAGAACAAGGCTCTACTCTGTAGACCGCTGGTGCAGAACAAAGGGGTCTCCTGTAAAACACAGACGGCTGATGTTGAAGCACAGACGGGTAAATGCAACACCCAGACACACAGCTTTTATGGTAACATCTCTGCTCTGTCAGTTGTCTGTTAGTCCGGAGGTACAGGACTTATAAACACACTATCACACAGATGTTGTTTCTGCTTTTTATATTTAATCTTTTGATTATCCTTTCTGTATTTTTTCCACTCATTAATGAATATACTCAGCCTTCCTTGAACTTTGAGGTCTTTTTATACATCTATATATACACACACATACATACATACATATATAAATAAATGATTTATTATTTACTGAACTATTATTTATTGTTTTTTTCCCTGGAAATATCAAGCACACATCATTTATTCTAGACTCCCACAACTATACGGGCCCTTTTGGACTGAATATGCTGACCCTATAAGTATCCTTGCTCATGTTGAAACATTTAATCTGTTGCACTTCCTCACTGGTTCTTTAACTTTGACATTGTTTTCCTTTTTATTTTGTTTCGTTCTATAGATGACTTCTTTCCTAAAATCATGATTGTGCCTGTCCCAGTGCCGGTGTACATTCCTGTACCCATGAACATGTACAGCCAGTGTACCCCCAAACCTGTGGGCGTGCCATTACCAGTAAGTCAAACACTGCAACCACTTCTGATTTAAAGTGTGTGATAGTTTCCTAAAGTGAAATCAGCTCAATGGTGGATCATCTCATTATCAGGAATTAAATATGTATTAGACAACATCTGGAGCAGTTATTGTTGAGCGTCTTCGTCCTCATTACAGACTCTCACAGGCTGTTATACTCTCCCTCTGTCTACCACAGCTGCCCGTACCCATGTTCCTTCCCGTGGCAATGGACAGCGCCGAACGCATCGTGGAAACCATCCAGGAGATAAAGGAAAAGATACCGTCTGACCCCTTCGAGGCAGAGCTCATCCTCATGGCTGAGATGATTGCAGAACAGGATGAGAAGAACAACAAAGAGGAGAGCCCAAAGGAGAAAGCGGTGGAGAAAGAGAGGGAGAGACAAGAAGCGCCTGTTCCAGATGGTAAGAGAAACAATTTACTGTTTAAGGAAACCGTGAAAAGAATTACGACGGCATAAAGATGAAGGTTAAATATATAAGAATTGACCTTTTTCACAGCAACCATTTTGACATGAAACAATAGGTTAAACACAGGTGTTACCATTGATACTAAATAAGATAGATGAGGTGATACTATTGTGCACGTTGGCTCACTGCTACACTAAGTAGGACAGAGTTAGTATCATTGATAACACCTGGGATTACCCTACTATTTCATGTCAAAATGAGTGAAAAAGGTCTAATAGGGGGGTTAATATATAGTGGGAGCTGGAGGACTCAAACAACAGAAAATGGCAATTTGTCAGTATTTATTCCTGGAAAAGAGAGTAAAGCGGTCGCACAGTCAGGCTGGGCGGAAGTATTCTGATGTTAAACTATGTGTTTCCGTCTTTAAAGAAGTGTTTAATGATTCCAGCCTCTCTGATTTGGTCTTCTACATTTTCCCACACATCGTAATCATTTTTAATAAGAAGAAGTCAAATAGCCTCTTTGGAGAAGTGTTTAAAAGAACCAAACATTCATTCTTGGTCACAACATCAGCTGACTACAGTATTATTTCACAGACCACGGCAGTAACTACAGTGATGACTTGGACACAGACGACTTGGCTAATTTCCTCAACAACTGGGAGGACGACGCAGGTCTCAGGTCTCCCAGTCGACCGTACTCCCACGAAAAGCTCAACCCAATTCTTGACATTCCCGAGGGCATGTCCAGTGTGCCTTACTCCGAGCCCCCACCTCCAGCACCGCCTCCCATGGACGTCGAAACAGACTTCACTGTTGGTGAGGAGATGCATGAATCAAGAAACTCACCAACATTCAGTGGTCATTTCAGCGTTATCTTCACCCTCACCTGTTTTTTAAGAGTGTAATTGGAGTTCTGCGCGTAAATCAGGAAAAAAATAAAATGGTTATAATGACGCCATCTGCCTCTGAAACACTGCTTTGGCTTTGGCGTGCCTGGTCTAATGTTTAATGTGGTGTCATTGCCAGAAACTCTGGAGAGGATGGCCCGGCTGAGAGACCAGACCCAGCGGTCCCCAAGCCCTCCGCCTGCTGCTCCACGACGGCGACAAGCTCACAGGAAAGCCCGAGAAAAAAAGGTAGCTACCTGGGAAACGAGAAAAAGATGCTGTTTGTGCATTTAAAATTAGATCAGATAACTTTGTGGTTAGGACACTGGGAATGTGAGGGGATTGTCTTTGGTGTCTTTATCTCAACCCAGTCGTATCCATGATCCTCTCTTTCTCTCTCCCACTGTCCAAGGGTCGTAAGTCACTGCGGTCTACTAAAGCTGAAGCGTCATCTCAAAAAGGCCTTTCAAAGGCCAAAGCTGTAGACTTCCCAAAGCTAAAGAGTCAATATGGAGTTGATGCCTGGAAGCGATGGATCCAGTGGAGGCAAACTCAACCCAACCTGGAGAAGCCACGCTTCGGTTGTAAGTTTGGATTTACAGTAAATACAAACAATTTTTTAGGAAAATGGATTCAGGGAAAATAAATCCACTGAGCCATAAAGGGATGAAAACACAAATCCTTTTATGGTTTGTGTGCGTTGAATGTTTGTAGTCACAAAAGGCCACATGTGAAAACCTCTGGCTGCATCTGATTGGACAAATGATTACTCCTCTGGGATTTCAAAATGGACCAATGTGGCGGTTCGTTTGGAAACTTTCTAATAGTTCACTAAAGTGTGTTTCTGAAAATAATATAATAAGAAATATACCATACAGTTGCTGAATCTGTCTTCATGTTAGATCAACAACGGCTAGTATAAACATTTTTGTGAGTTTCAAGAGGTGGCAAGTCACTCTGCTGAACACCCCTGATTTGTATAAAGTAGCCTAGACCACTACTATATTCATATCTGATGAGGAGCAGCCGACGAGATGCTCCCTGCCGCCTGAAAGTTATTGATTTTAGGTCATTTAACGATATTTTTAACCTTTTGATTATTGTGGACTTGTATCTTGTTTTCAGCGCGTCCCATGGAGTTGAAGGAGGATGTTCTCCGGTGCACCACTGCTGAGCTGAGTTATGGACTCTGTTGCTTCATCACTGAGGTGAAACGACCAAATGGAGAGCCGTACTCCCCCGACACCCTGTTCTACCTCTGCCTCGGCATTCAACAGGTAAGACGTTTTTCACACACATACACTTGACATATAACAGGTAGTAAATAGCTGGTAGGACCAACAGTGAAGTCGACTTTGTCAGCTTACTGTGGCTGTTCCACTCACCAAATAGTTCTGAATATATCCATATCTGGTTGATTAGATGCTCTATCGAAGCTCTGCTAACTAGCTGAAAAACAAATAGAATTTCCTGCAATGTCTTCACAATAAAAGTGTTTGTGAAGGAACATAGCAGAAAAGGTTTGCATTAGCAGTGCCACTACGCACTGTGGCTGGGGAGGTTGAGCGGGTCTATTAATCGCAGGTGGTTCGATCCTCCTGTCACTTTGTCAAAGTGTCCTCAAACAAGACACTGAACCTCCAAGGTGCTTCCATAGGCAGGCCAGTGTCTTGCATGGCAGCTCCACCATTGGTGTGTAAGTTTGTGTAAACTGATGACTGAGAGGTAAATTTGTGAACTGGCTAATATCTGAAAGTACAAACTGGAACACAGAAGTGAAACTGAACTTCAAACCCACAGAAATTCAGGAAGAATCTACAAAAGTGAAGCAAGCTGAACACCGAGCTTTCTCTCTAGTTTAGCTGCTGAGAGGATGACGGTTGTCGGTTGTGGTCGGCCCTGTTGTAATACAGGACCACAGCAGCACAGTGGAAACACGTCATCACAGGGCGCCTAAAGCAGAGAGAAACATACATGTCTGAACCATCCCCATTATACAGTCAGCCGTACCACTACACACATTTGATTGGATGCCTTGTGCTTCACGCAACTAAAAACTAAATATACAATAGTGAAATAAATGACCGCTGTTCTCCTTCTTCATTCTGACCTTTAACCATTTGCCTCTCTGTAGTACCTGTTTGAGAACGGCCGTGTGGAGAACATATTCATGGATCGGTTCTACAACAAGTTCTCCAATGAGTTCACTGTCATGCTGAGAGGTTTCAAACCTTCAGTCACAGCAAGTGGTGAGTCACACATGTTCTTGCAGTTTTATTTTGTCAATATGTCCGATTGTCTTCCTGTAACATCCACATTGGATCAGATCTATAACCGGTGCCTCTCTCTGCAGGTTATATCCATTCCCGTGTGGAGGAGGAGTTTCTGTGGGACTGTAAACAGTTGGGGGCGTACTCCCCCATCGTCCTCCTCAACACTCTGCTCTTCTTCTGCTGCAAGTACTTTGGCTTCACCACGGTGGAGCAGCACCGCCAGCTGTCCTTCGCCCACGTCATGCGCTGCACTAAAACCAACCAGGACAGCACCAAGACCACCTTCCTGCGGTTCTACCCCCCAATATCCATAAATGATGCAGAGTCAGGTACCAATAAAGCTGAGGGTCAAAAATTAAGTACTTTATTTGTTCCATATCAACTTGTAGGACATTAGAACACATCAACAGTCAACAACGATCACACAGTTTGTGCGTGAATTGTTTTTGAGGAAGTCGAGCAGTTTGAATGCAGAGATGTTTTACAAAAAATATAGATCTATGTCATATCTGTATAATCTGAACCATCACGTGTTACTAAATCTACCATTAACCACAAAATACAAAGTCCTGGTCCAAACAGACACAGATATAATGAGCCTGAACCTGATTAAAACTTGAATCTTTACCCTGATGTATGTATCTAATATGGATTTTGAGTAAATTCTTACCAGGGATATTTATTTCTTCACTGTTTACGAAACAGTGTAAGTAAGGTAGAAGTCACACATTCACATAACAGTATTTTATTATTCATTGTATCTTTAAACCAGCGGTTCTGTGTTAAACTGCTACAACAACAGTTAACTATGAAATGGATTGGCATTAGAAACGGTGTAAATGTGCACTGTGTCCTCCTCGGATCCAGAGGTTCCAGCGAAGAGGCGTAAGGAGGAGGAGAGTAAAGACGATATCCTGGAGATGATGGAGAACACAGACAACCCTCTCCGCTGTCCGGTCAGACTCTACGAGTTCTACCTCTCTAAGTGGTGAGTATAGCGTCACACTGAACTCCATCGATGTCTGGCTGTTTGAAATCAACTCACCAACTCTTGATGCATTCTGAAACAAGGTCCTAATGTTGTTTATATTTGTTTGTTCCATTTTTAATCTGTGGATTGTCTTGCTACAGCATTCACATACATACATTTTATTTATGTATTCGTCTCCTTAATCTGTCACTATTTTTACATTAACAACTCTTCCCATGCAGCTCGGAGTCAGTGAAGCAGCGCACCAACCTGTTCTACCTTCACCCCGAGCGCTGCTGCGTCCCCAACAGCCCGCTGTGGTTCTCCTCCACCCCTCTGGACGATAGCACCATGGAGGCCATGCTCACCCGCATCCTCATCGTCAGAGAGCTCCATCTCCAGGCGAAGAAAGAGGAAGGGACGGATGGGCAGACGCCCGACGACCCACCGTTTATACCTGAAGAGGAAAATGGAGATTCGGAGTGACGAAGAGCAAATGTAAATGTTGTAGATTAACTGAAATGTTCATTTAAACACGGCCCAGTAAACAAAAACGGAGATAATGCACCCGTACATACACAACTACAATGTGATGAACTACAAAAGAACGTCGTACTTCCTGAACCACATCATGAGCTGAATTATTGGAAGATCTTCAGATGCACAGTGTTTGTGTGGGTGGAACCTGCGAGCTGAGATTGTAAGACCGTTCACTAATGTTCAGCCGGAGACATTGCTGTACTTTTGTGTTTTTTGTCTGCTGAATGGTTGCTTGGCTACGTTGTTCCTTCCACGTGTCATGGTTCCTTAAACTCCTGTGGAAATTTGGGGTTTTTTCGTCCTTTGTTTGAAAGAGCTGCAGTGATTTCTGTTGGTGGTTTCTGTGATGTAGATGTAAATTGACAACCGTCAAGTCTCAAACCTGCAGTTTGATTGTCAACAACACTTCAATGCTCTGATTTGGTGTCAGTCTGTCAGTGAAAGAGCTCATTTTCAGTCACAATATTCTTGCAGATTTTATACCTTTTAGGATTGTTGGAAAGTCGTGTAGGAAATACATTTAATTCCTGGAATTATTGGATTATTATTTGATTTGATTGTACCAGAGTGTCCTATGACTGAAGGTTTCTCCAACTTGCCGTAGTAAAATGTCGACAATCAGTGTACAAAAAAAAAACCTCAACACAAATCAGATAATCATATTTTAGAGAGATCAATGTGATTGAGAGACGACAGAGTGACTCTAAGGACCACAGTGTAGGATTCAGTGGCGAAGAGTTGCTGCTGCGAGCATTTAGGAGAAACTACGGTGGCTGCAAAAGGCCCGTTTAAGAGCAAGTGTTTGGTTTGTCCATTCTGGGCTACTGTATAAACATGGTGGCTTCTGTGGAAGAGGACCTGCTCCATCTGAAGGTAAATATGGATCAGTAACAGAAACACAAGTCTTATAATCAGGTGATTAAACATTAATGAAAACATAATTATGAATATTATATTCCACGTCTGCTGATGGATCATCCTCAATGTTACACACTGGACCTTTTTAAATGAAAGAATCAATCAGTTTAATGTATTATCTTTTGGCTCATCAATAGAAATAGACACATTTTGATCAACAGAGTCGAAGTAATACTGAGATTAAATACACTGCAGACAATAATGTCTTTGAACGTAGCTTATATCGCCGACAAGAACAAAAATGTTTCCCTGTTTTTGTTGACTGAACACTGAAATGAGCAAATTTGTTGATTTAAACTAAATTTTGGACGTCATCTACAGTATCCTCTGAGACGTTGAGTTTTTGCATAACTACGACCCTGGTAAAAAGAATAAAAATAAATACTATTCCTTCATGTATATCTTGGTTATATTAACCCCCCCCCCCACACACACACACAGTCTTTAGAGGATGGCTGCCAAGGTTCTCAGTATTTTCTATTGTATGTCCTTTTTGAATAAAAAAACATTTAAAAACACATTGTTGTCCTTATTAAAAGTCCACTGTTGTGCGTTATGAGTAATAAAGTATTTATGTTGCATTAATATGTGTTCAGTTTGTATCTGAGTCCCCATAAACCACATAAGTCAGTATTGATCCGTGTGTGTCGGTCCACGGCTGCTCCCCGTGGCCAACAAATCCGCGGCCGCTGATTCGCTGCTTTCGGAGTCAGTCAGTGACGTGTTGATCGGTGATTGGCCGGAGCTGCTGCCACTCGTGCTACGTAACGCGCCGGCGCAGTCACGTGGTCTCTCGAAAGAGGAAAGAAAGGAAATATGGCCGCCACAGTGTTAGCAGCCTGTGTTTATCTTCTTCTTTCTACTGTAGGACCCTGAAGCAAAGGTAAATGTCGCTGTTTTTAATATATATATGTGTCGAACATACAGTAATTTAACACTAACGTAATGGTAAACCGATTCTAGCTCAGGTAGCACTCAGTAGTTGTTGTTGTTAGTTGTTGTTGTTGTTAGTTGTTGTTGTTAGCATGTGCACAGTTCTTAGTAAACAAATGTCAGATTCAACTCAGTCCTAACAAAACAGGCAAACTCCACTGTTGTATTTACTTATTATTTATTGTTTGAGCTCTGTGGAGGACTGAAAGTGCCACAATTAAATAAATAAATACACCATTCAATAATTACTTAAATGTGTCATTAATTAATTAAAATACTGATTCATTTAATGTAAAACACAGATATCATTATTTCACTGTTTACATTTACATTTCATGAATTAACTCACCCATCAAAAGTTGGTAGGCGGATCCTAACGCCTGATTGGTTACCCTAAAAAATAAAATAAAGTGTAGCAGCAGCTTGAGTTTCCCTTTTTCTTTGTTGACTGTTTCATATCTTGATTAACAGTCTCAACAAATTTTATAAATGAATATCAACACGTCTTTACAATTGAACAGTTTCTCTTTGTTATATCTTTCTATACACTTTCTGTTGTTCAGTGAGAGAATCGAGCTCTAACCTCTCTCCCTCGTTGGGCAGTGAATCAATGGGTCAGGATCAGTGTTGGTCATCTTACTTTAAAAAAGTAATTAGTTATAGTTACAAATTACTTTAGTAACTCAGTTACCACATTGTAAAAGTAATTAGTTACTCAGCAAAGTAACTAACGTTATTCTTTATGGTCTATAATTACATTTCTATAACATCTTCTATAACGTTAAAGATATTTTATAATCACTGAATAAAGAATAAAAACACTATATACAGTATTTTAGAACATTTGGTATTTATTTGAACTCAATAGGTTACAGCCGGCCATATGCATAGAAATAAAAATATATACAAAATAAATATTGAAAATAAAATTCACACACGTTACATAAACATTCTTCCTTTAACTTCAGTAAGCGAGTAGTAGTGTCGGTACTTCCAGTTTGATATCGCTACCTTTGAATTTCCCTAGCTCGTCGCCATTGTCTCTGTCTTGGCATCCGCCCACCCAGCCGATCATCATCGCATTTACAACATAGATTACCCCGTTACTGAAAAAATAACGCCGTTAGTAACGCCGTTATAAACGCCGTTACTCCCAACACTGGTCAGGACACTGGTTGAGTGATCATATTGGGATCTGAGCCTGCTTATTTTCTGTGACCTTGTTCAGACTTGAGTGGGTATGTTTGATGAAAACTTTGTGTTTTGTCTCATAGTGGCGTTTCACACTGGCACTTTTAATCAGCGCCACGGTCTCTGAACATATGAGACACACTGGTTATGTGCTCCCAGTGGGAAGAATGAATGTGAATGAATATGTCCATTAAAAGCTCGATTTTCTATCCACTTTTCTCTTCTTAGAGAGCGCCATAAATCTTCTGTTGTCTCGCGCTCACTCATCTCTCTGTTTCCTCTCCATGTATCTGTGACTTCTCTTTCCGTCTGTCTCTCCTCTCTCATCGCTCTCATCTCTGTATTCAGTCGCGCTGTTTAAACAGATTTGAGTGGCTGAGCAGCATCACGTGGGATGGCTTAACTAGCATGCGATTGGTCTGTGAGCTTCCTGATCTGCTAAACAAATACCGTAAAGACTAAAAAAGCTGTGCTGGTTAAAATAGAAGCTCCCCATCAAAATTTAGAATCCTCAATAATGAATTGATTATAGGTCTGGGTCCGCATAGGACGGTGTCTGGGTCCAGACTCGCCTGTTAGCGACCTCTGCCCTAGAAAGTTCATGAAGATCTTCCAGGCACTCTACTTCAGACCAAAGCAATGGATCAGGCTAGATTCGCGTTGGCCCCACCCACTGAGTTTGATGGCTGGCTGACCATGAAATGTAAACAGTGAAATAATTATATATGTGTTTTACATTAAATGAATCGGTATTTGAATTCATTAATGACACATTTAAGTAATTATTCAATGGTGTATTTATTTATTTAATTGTGGCACTTTCAGTCCTCCATAGAGCTCGTGTTTGTAGGTAGAAGTTGTTCCCGACCTTTTTTCTATCATTCAGTAAACCGACGACCCCTCATGAGTTATTATGAATGTTTTATATCATATCTATATGCATATAGTGTGTATTTATTCAGAGTAGCCTTTATGTTTTCTATTATGTCTTTTTTTTCTGATAATTTATGGAGCTTTTTATATTGTTTTATGTTTTGTTTTCTATATATAACAACCTCAACTACTCAATATGCCTCTTTTTAAGACAAATTGTGTTTTATTCTCTCTGATGCTGTTAGTTCTTGTGGTAGTTTTATCTGCAGACTTTTCTAATGCAGGAAAAGTCTGTTAAGTAGGAAATAGTTTGTGTTCAGGTCTTTAAAGTTTCTATCTTAAATAATAAGCTAAACTTTTTAAAAAATCCTTTAGTTTTCTGCAGAGAAATGAACAAAATTCTGAAATATAATCAATATTATGTATATTTTTCCCCCATGAAGCTTTGGTGACCCCCACGTTTGGAACTACTGAGTTAAATCAGCACAAACTGCCATTGTTTATGGAATTTGCAGCAAATTGAGACGGGAAATAACATTTTTATTTCACTTAACAAAACTGATAAAATGACCTGAAGAGCTTCTTAATTTGTCAAACAAACTCTCTTATTGCAACGGAGAAAAACATCAGCATATTCTATGGATGAAAAACACTTTTATTAAGCAGTTTTAGTTGCTATGAGCCAAAACCTTCTATTGTCTGCCATATATGTACAGAGAACATTGTTTAGATCAGCAGATCTCATATCAACCAAACCTAATTGTGTATCTTTTCCAGCTACCATGGAGAAGAAAAGGCGACTGACTCCAGAGCAAGATGCCCTGAAACACATAGTTGCATGCAAAGATAAACCTTTTCTGGAGGAAAGGTATATAGACTCCTTTAAAGGTAAGATTTACCTGATAGTAGCTTCTATATTGATATTGAAGAGATTTCTGGTCTTACAGTCTAGGGTAATCATAATATGATATGTAGATGTGAATGATTCAAATAATCAGTAGCTTGTGTGTTTACGGGGGAGTTGGAGTGAACTAAGTTGTGATGTATGAAGGTAACACAGGCTTCCCATACATCCTGGAAAACCTGGAAATTTAGAGACTAATTTTCTAGTCACCTGGAAAAACACCTGGAAATTGACTAAAATGACCAAATATTCTGGAAATAATCTGTGTTATCTTATAAAATGTTAATTAGCCTGTGGCCAAATGTTACAGTTAGAGGAACTAACACGAATAATGCACAAACGATGGCCACCTATGCGGCCCGGTATTGTCAAGAAAAATGATTACTCAAAAAGAGTGGGAACCCTGTCACAGACTATTGTTTACATAAAAGTAAAAACCAATATACACCCACTTGTAAATAATAATAGAAACATTCCTGTTGTTTAGAGTCAGACACTGCTGAAAATGTGAATTTTTCTGTAGTAAAATATATATAGAAAAATCCTTTATTCCCCTTTTTGGCAGGATGGATTTGAAGATATGTTTTATTTGAGTGCCAAGAGGAGATTTCTCTCTCTGTTATATTTGCTTTGTCGAAGTAAACTAATGGTTATGGTCATGCAAGTTACCACTGGCTCTGATAAATGGACCATAAATACACTTGACTAATGTTTTCATGTGAATCTTTGCTTCTCTAGGGAGAGGAGTCTTTACCCACAAAGCCCTTAAACCATCAATGTTTGTTGTCGAATATCGGGGGAACATCTTTCCTCACAAACACACAACCCCTAAGAAATGTGGTGATGCGCTAAACAGTTTTTTGTTTGAGTTTACATGGAAAGGAGCACAATGGTGGTAAGTTACCTGCTTGTTATTCAGGTTTATCATGACGAGACCTCTGGATAGGTTAAAGTATGGTTGAAGTGTCATTAAGGGTGTTTTATCTTTTCTTGCAGCATTGATGCTTCGACAGAGGATAAGACCCTTGGAAGACTTGTGAATGATGATCACATAAGTCCCAACTGTGAAATGAAGACAATTGTTTGCAAGGGGAAGCCACACTTGTGCCTGTTTGCAGTGAAAGAAATCTCTCCAGGCGAGGAGATAACGTACAACTACGGGGACGCCTCTTACTCGTGGCGCTCAAGGGTAGGTTTGTGTGATAGAAAGAACCTTGTTTTTTATTTCTGTATTAAAATTACTGTCTTTTACTAGTTTATTAGGCACATCCAGCTAAAATCAATGCGGGAAAATGCAACAGTCCTGCAGTAAATCCTCCATTAAAGTTATAATGTTTATAAAGTTTGTGATACTGTTCAAATGTATTACTAAATTATCATTTAACTTGCTTAATTAAATATGAATAAATAATATAGAATATAATAAGCTGGCAACTGAGTGCACATGCCATGTTTTAGATGCCCAAAACAACAAGTATGTATACAGTTTTTGAGACAGAGTTTCTAGGTTGTTTATATAGTTATACTGGCAACTGTGTGCAATGTTCATTTTTGATCCTACATGGGGACTCGGTACTCAGTAAAGTACACAAAGTCACTCAGATTTGCAGTGTCAAATTTAACCCTTTTTTTCTCTCACACATTTACAGGAGTCCTTTGCTGGATCAAGTACTTCACAAACACACTTTTATGCAACTTCAACACCAAAGAATGAAAGGGTATGTAAAACACCACATTCTCTGCCCACTCCTCCAAATAAGACAGTTCTGCAACATGTGCACACTGTCACACACCTCTAGAGCTCACTGATTCAGTGTAACTGCGCCTGGTTTTGTTTTTTGTACAGGTTATAGATAGATAACATGTTGACTGGTGAGTTTTAGAGGGGATGGCTGTTTTGTTACCTTTTGGACGGAGCCAGGCTAGCTGTTTGTCCCTGTCCAATCTTAATTATACACTAAGCTAAGCTTACTAGCTGCTGGCTGACATTAGTGTGGTCATTTAATTGATCTCAATTAACACTTCTAAGTAGATTTTCCAAAATGCTGAACTACAACTATAATGTTTTAACAGCATACTTGCAGAGCATGTTTTTCTGTGTGTACGTATAAAGTAATCTATATGTATATGTTTCTTGTTTGTACTGTATTTCCAGCTTGAGGACTCTGCGGCATCGTCCAACTCTGATAATTCTGGCTCTGATGACGATGAAGATGATGACAAACTCTCTGACAGCGGACCAAGTCATGAAAATGACAGTTTTGCCAACAGTCAGCTGGACTTTAGGGACAGTTCTCCTTTAACAAATATGGATTCCTCTCAAGAGGTGACGGAGCCGCTGGAATACGATGATGCTTTAAGCCCCCAGCCTGAGGACGAAGCTGCTTTCAACTCTGATGAACCCGCCTCGGATGAAGACTACAAACCCAGCAAGTATACACAAAAGCCAGACGAGCGCTTTTACACCATTAAAAATCATTGTTACGTCTGCGGGAAAAGTGTTTCTAAACTTGCTCGACACCTTTTAACGCACGCTGATGAAGAGCCTGATATCGCTGAAGCTGCTGCGTTGCCGAAAAACTCCAGGGAGCGAAGACGGGTGTTTGACCATTTACGTAACCTGGGAAATTACAAACACAATCAAGAGGTGATGAAGAATAAAAGTGGACAGTTGAAACTGAGAAGACGACCTACAACGGTGGCGGTCAATGCTAAAAGCCACGCGCACTGTCTGTACTGTAAAGGCATGTTGCAGCGGAAGGAATTGTGGAGGCATGTATCCAGATGTCACGCTAGGCCAATGTCAAAGTCTACAACAGGTGGCAAGAAAAGAGTCTTAAGTGAGATTTCTCTTGCGGAGTCACCATACTCCCATAATCTTCCATCTGGTGTGTGGAAGATGCTTTTGGGTATGAAACAAGATGAGATTGCGTTCACAGTTCAAAATGATCTCCTCCTAATGCAGCTGGCACAGTCTCTGTGCGAGAGGTATGGAAACAAAGCAAATAAACACGAGTTCATCAGACAGAAGCTGCGAGAAATGGGAAGACTTTTGCTTGCGCTGCACGACAAATCGATATTTAGCTTAGAAGATGCCGTCAAACCCAAAAACTTCTACAAAGTCGTTGAGGCCGTCAAAGACATCACTGGTTTTAATGAAAAGATGCAGAGCTATAAAAAACCAACTCTCGCTTTGAAATTAGGACATTCGCTCAAAAAAATTGCCGCCATTGTCCTCGCTGGTGCTGACGGGAATGAGCAGATGATGAAAGACACAAAGACGTTCATAAAGTTGTGTGCAAAAGAATGGAGTGAACTTGTCTCCCAGACAGCACTGGCTTCGTTGAGTGGACGAAAAGTGAACAAACCGTCTACGATACCGTTCACACGCGACATGCAGACTTTCTACAAGTACTTAGAAATAACATCGGCTTCTGCCATTGAAAGCCTGAGAGTGCAGCGCAGCCCACAGGTGTACAATGCTCTCTGCAGAGTGACGCTGGCACAAGTGTCGGTCTTAAACAAATGTGCTCCCGAGGTTTCAAAAATGACCCTGAAGTCATTCCAGGAGAGAGGCGACACGACGCAAGTGCTGTCCAAACATTTCATCAGAATAAATATCCTGAGCAGGGCCGGCCAAGACGTTGCTGTCTTGTTGACCTCTGAACTCGTCAGTGCAATGTCACTGCTTGTGAGCAACAGAGAAGCCTGTGGTGTCCACAAGGACAATCCTTTCTTGTTTGCGAAAGCCTAACTCTTCTGCTACCAGCCTTTACCACGGAGGGAACTGCATCAGGGCTTTTTCAAGTCTGTGTCGGGCAAAGAACCCAGACCATCTCAGGTCGGTGCATCTTCACAAGCACATCGCGAGAGTCTTTCAGATTCTCAACCTGGAGAACGACGAGCTCCATCACCTGGCCAAACTGTTGGGCCACGACATCCGGGCAGACAGGGACTATTATCGGTCGCCGGAGGCAGCGGTGGAACTTGCAAAAATAGCAAAACTCCTTCTGGCGATGGAAAAGGGCTCTCTTGAAAGATTCAAAGGAAACTCTCTGGAGGAGATTGAGATTGAGGGTATGTATAATACACACGTCTGACCTGCCAGTGCTTGTGTAGTAGAGACAAATCCCTTCTTAAATTACAATGTATGCATGCTGTGTCCTTTTTTTTTTATTCAAGATGAATTGGAGCCCGATGTGGAGCAGGGCAACCCTGAAAACGAGGAATCTGAGGAGGACGATGAAGAATCAGATCCTGTAGTTCAGTACAGCGGTATGTAGTGAAGATAACTGTTTCCCCTTCCTATTTATCTGTAATCTAATCTATTCCAGTCGATAATGGACATTACTTCATTGTCTCTTAACTGACCATAAGATTCCCTCTTGGTCAATTTGAATAAAAATGTAATCATTTTAAATATTCAAATGTGGTATTAATTACTGAACTGGACACACCACAGAAGAAGAGTCTCACACAGGTTGCACAAGTAAAGGATTTAAAAAATATTTAAATTTTTATTTTATGATGTTAAGCATCATTATAAATGCTTTATTCAAGTAGGTAAAGTTTATTTACGAATGCACAAAGTGTCTCAGAAGTGGGGCTGCAACTAACAATTATTTTCAATTATAGATTAATCTGTAAATCATTTTCTCCATGAATTGATTATTGATTGTTCCATAAAATGTGAGAAAATGGTGACAGTGGAGATCCTAGTTTCCCAAAGCCCAAATATTAATGTCTTATTTTGTCCACAACACAAAGATACTCAGTTTACTGTCATAGAGGAGTAAAGAATCCAGAAAATATTCACATTTGAGAAGCTGAAATTTAAAAAAAAGAACTCAAAATGATCGATTATCAAAATAGTTGATTCATTTAATAGTTGACAACTTATCAATTAATTGTTGCAGCTGTACTCAGAAGTCAATGTTAATATAATGAGGTCAGAATATATAAAAATATTTCATAATATTTGACTTTTAGTTTTCCCACAGGTAGTTCGGAACAGTTTGGTCACAGCAGATACGTCACTAATATAATGGACTCTAATACAACGTCAGGGAGTTAAATTGTCACAACACAGACAAATTAACATGATTAGTTTCACCACAGCTTTTTTGAGCTTTTATATTGCATTGCATTGCATTAAATTGTACATGTGTTCTCAATAATTGGTGATTAATTAGCTTATTGGTATGAATAAAACTAAAATATATCACATATAATAAAATGCTTTAGGGCAGTTTTTCAGGGTTTGTGTATGAGACCAATGTTAGTCTTGTTTATGCTTTAATATTTAACAATTGTGGATAATCCTTCCAGATGCTATGGAACAACAAACTGTCCCAAGGAAGCAGAGAAGGCGGCAGACTCCTGAACAAGATGCTGTGGAGCACATTAAGGACTGCAGAGACAAACCCTTCCTGGAAGAAACGTTTATTGACCCTGTTAAAGGTTTTTTTATTTATTCATTACTTATTTAAGAAATTGAAATCTAGATTTCGTAGATAAATTCACAACACACTGTTGGCATTTTTATTAGTTGATTTTATTAATAAAGATTATTTTAGCTCCAAATAATGAGACTGATATATCCAGTAATGCTCTAATCTACAGGTATGTCTGATGTTTTATGTGTTTGTTGCAAGCTTTCAGTGGGATGTTGGACAATAATTGGATGTAACTTGGACTGTTTTTTTTTTTTTAATTTATTCTTGCGGTTATAGGGAGAGGTGTGTTTACCCGTGAATCAATTGAACCATCGACCTTCGTAGTCGAGTATCGGGGGAACATCTCTTCCAACAAAGAAACCAGGAAGAAGAAATGTCCTGATACTCTCAACGATTATTTGTTTGACTTCTCATGGAAGGGAAAAGGCTGGCGGTGAGATTACTGGTTATACAGTGGGTATGGAAAGTATTCAGACCCCTTTAAATTTTTCAGTCTTTGTTTCATTGCAGCCATTTGCTAAAATCAAAAAAGTTCATTTTATTTCTCATTAATGTACACTCAGCACCCCATCTTGACAGAAAAAAAACAAATGTAGAAATTTTTGCAAATTTATTAAAAAAGAAAAACTTAAATATCACATGGTCACAAGTATTCAGACCCTTTGCTCAGTATTGAGTAGAAGCACCCTTTTTAGCTACTACAGCCATGAGTCTTCTTGGGAATGATGCAACAAGTTTTTCACACCTGGATTTGGGGATCCTCTGCCATTCTTCCTTGCAGATCCTTTCCAGTTCTGTCAGGTTGGATGGTGAACAGCCATTTTCAGATCTCTCCAGAGATGCTCAATTGGGTTTAGGTCAGGGCTCTGGCTGGGCCAGTCAACAATGGTCACAGAGTTGTTCCGAAGCCACTCCTTTGTTATTTTAGCTGTGTGCTTAGGGTCATTGTCTTGTTGGAAGGTGAACCTTCGGCCCAGTCTGAGGTCCTGAGCACTCTGGAAGAGGTTTTCTTCCAGGATATCTCTGTACTTGGCCGCATTCATCTTTCCTTCAATTGCAACCAGTCGTCCTGTCCCTGCAGCTGAAAAACATCCCCCATAGCCTGATGCTGCCACCACCATGTTTCACTGTTGGGATTGTATTGGGCAGGTGATGAGCAGTGCCTGGTTTTCTCCACACATACCGCTTAGAATTAACGCCAAAAGTTAAATCTTGGTCTCATCAGATCGGAGAATCTTATTTCTCATAGTCTGGGAGTCCTTCATGTGTTTTTTGGCAAATTCTATGCGGGCTTTCATATGTCTTGCACTGAGTGGAGGCTTCCGTGGGCCACTCTGCCATAAAGCCCCGACTGGTGCAGGGCTGCAGTGATAGTTGACTTTGTGGAACTTTCTCCCATCTCCCTACTGCATCTCTGGAGCTCAGCCACAGTGATCTTTGGGTTCTTCTTTACCTCTCTCACCAAGGCTCTTCTCCCACGATTGCTCAGTTTGGTTGGACGGCCAGGTCTAGGAAGAGTTCTGGTCGTCCCAAACTTCTTCCATTTAAGGATTATGGAGGCCACTGTGCTCTTAGGAACCTTGGAGGGCTGCAGAAATTATTTTGTAACCTTGGCCAGATCTGTGCCTTGCCACAATTCTGTCTCTGAGCTCCTTGGGCAGTTCCTTCGACCTCATGATTCTCATTTGCTCTGACATGCACTGTGAGCTGTAAGGTCTTATATAGACAGGTGTGTGCCTTTCCTAATCAAGTCCAATCAGTTTAATTAAACACAGCTGGACTCCAATGAAGGAGCAGATCCATCTCAAGGAGGATCAGAAGAAATGGACAGCATGTGAGTTAAATACGAGTGTCACAGCAAAGGGTCTGAATACTTATGACCATGTGATATTTCAGTTTTTCTTTTTTAATAAATTTGCAAAAATTTCTACATTTCTGTTTTTTTCTGTCAAGATGGGGTGCTGAGTGTACATTAATGAGAAATAAAATGAACTTTTTTGATTTAAGCAAATGGCTGCAATGAAACAAAGAGTGAAAAATGTAAAGGGGTCTGAATACTTTCCGTACCCACTGTATTTCAGATCTTCTGTTTAATGTTTGGTTCATGTCAGTGTTTCTCAAACTTTTTACCACCTCAGAAAATATTATGCTCCCCAAGTACGACCATTGTGACCGACATTAAAATACAGTAGCGCAGGCCGACCGTATTAGCTACAGACAGTTCACACAGGAGGCCGGTTTATTTCTAATAAGATTATTTAATGTTGACTCTTGAATCCTGAACTGAACCAGTTCAAAAACCAAAGCTAAATTAGTGGACAATAGTTTCACTAGGTCACATCACAATCACATTTTAGCTCATAACTAATCATGGATTTTGGGGTGAAATTGACGACGTAGCTGGCTGATATTAAAACAAAAAACATATTACAGGAAAAGCAAAACTTATTTTAAATCACATTTCAGCAACCTAATATTTCAAGTATTTTGATAGTATTATATATATTTATATTGCTTTATTACCTTTTTAAAAAATATTACTGAGACCATGAGAGGCAGCTCCCAGACCACCAAAGGTACATGTACTATAGTGTGAGAACCAGTGGTTAATGTTTGAGTGAATTTCTTGTGTGTGCAGTAAAAAGACCTAAATGTCAAGTCATGTCAATGTAAATTTGTGTTAACATCTTGACTGATTGAATCCACAAAACACCGAACAGTCCCCAGTCTGTCCTCACCATCAGTCAGTGTGATGAACAGCTGTTTTAAGAAGGGCTGAAGTTTCATTAAGAGTGTTTTCCTTGCAGCATTGATGCTTCAAAAGAGGATGGGACCCTCGGGAGACTTGTGAACGATGATCACATAAATCCCAACTGCAGAATGAAGAGAATTGTTTATAAGGGGAAGCCACACTTGTGCCTGTTTGCAGTGAAGAAAATATCTCCAGGCGAGGAGATAACGTACGACTACGGGGACTCCTCTTACCCGTGGCGCTCAGAAGTAGGTTTATTTTTTGCAGAGTGTCTTGATTTAAAGTTTGTGGTTAAATATGAGCCTTGTCATCATGTCATGAATAATTAAAGTTTCAGCTGTTGACATCTATTGCAGACATGTTTACAGATATCTTGTACATATTGTCAACAAAAAGTCAACATTAAAGATTTATAACATAACTGTTGCGTTGGATTTATATTTAGATTATATAAGACTACATAATGAACACTGTTGGAGTTTCAACTTGCAGTACTTTGACTTTCTATCTTCTTAATAGTTACAGGAATCCGGTGGAGAACTGAACACATCACAAACGGACCTAAATGCTGCTGCACCTTCACCAGAGGAGGAAACTGTAGGTGTTCAATGTGTTTCCCTTATTGATCACCAGGTAGATGGAGGGTCATTATCGTCTCCATGAAGGCTGCAGCTAATGTTTTTTAACGTTTAAATTCTTTTTTATTTCTGTTATTTTAGGGCCACAGCTTATTTTTATTTTCATTATTGATTAACCTGCCAATTTAAAATGCCACATTCTCCTCCGTATTTTCTGTTGACAGACTAACCAATTTATAATTTCGGCTCAATTAAAAATAAATTCGCTAAATTGTTTATTCAGTTGAGAAAATGTCAATATTAATAGCAAATGCATATTCAAATTACAAACCCCAGTGAGACAGATAAGTGACCAGAATAAGTTGAACAAAAGAGAGAATATGAAAGTCTGAAGTCTGAAAGTAAGCACTGAATGAAGCTTTGTATTTTATACTGGTACACTGATGGTGTTATTAGATAATGTCTACAGTAGGGTTGTAAAAAAAAAAAAATAAAAAAAATGTTTATTCTGTTCACAAATTAGACTTCGGGTTCATATGAAACAAATATGCACTCTGGTGGAGGTGTTTAATGAGGCAGGGAGGCAAATCAAAATAAATATTCTGTAAATTCAAATCAGAGCGTCTTCCATGTCTGGAATTGAATGTATTCTTGAGTCTATAAGGTAATAATATAATAAGATAACCTTGTTTGACTTGAGAAATGGGTGACTTAAAAATGTTTTTGTTTTTTTCTATACTATACTAGGTACTTGTACTATATTAACTGGGTTAAATAGAATTGCATTACTAAAAAGAGACTAAAATACAGTTTTCATTGACAAAAACTAGACGAAAATAGTCATGGATAATTCTGACTAAAATAAGACTAAAATGCTCAGACTTTTAATCTACTGAAAGACTAAAAAGAGTATAAACGTGACTAAAACTAATCAAAACTAAAATGACAGTTTGACACAAAGACTAGACTAAAACTAAAATTAAAACAGGCCGCCAAAAACAACACTATTGAGTATATAATTCAAGATGTAATAAGATGCCCATGTGGTCACTTTATATAAATAGTTTATTCATTGAATTTACAGAAAATGTGCTATATGGTGATACATATTGTTATTGGTATATGAGAGTTTGGTCATATTACGCAGCCCTAGTCTAGAATTAAGTTAGAAGTTGTCTGTCACACTGCTGAGCTCCTTTTGTTGTTAATTCCAGGTTGAAGACATGGCAGGAGCCTCCAGTTCTGCAGAATGCTGCTCCGATGACGAGTACGTACCTGAGGCTGAACCGAGCAGCGACGAGGGTTTGACCAGCAACGACAAACACCAGCCCGTCGATGCTTCATGCGTCCAGCAGGAGGACGAGGCTGATTACAGCTCCGATGAGTTGACCTCTGAAGAAGAGTCCAAAAAGACTTCCTACAGAAACAGAAACTATTGTTACGTTTGCGGGAAACCTCAAACTAAACTTGCTCGTCACCTTTTCACCCATAGAAAGCAAGAGGCTGAAATAGCTGAAGCGTTTAAACTCCCCATATACTCCAAGGAGCGAACTGTAATACTGGATAGGTTGCGAAACAGAGGGAATTATAAACATAACGAAGAGGTTTTGAAGACTCACAACGGAGAACTGAAAGTGAAAAGAAGAACCCCAAACGTGTTCATCAACGCTCAAACATTTGCACTCTGTCTCTACTGTAAAGTCATGTACTGTCGGAAGGACATGTGGCGACACATGCAAAGGTGTTCCTTGAAGAGGTCCTCAGAATCTCCGACACGTCGCAGGAGTAAAGTCTTAAGTTTGGTTGCTGCTGCAGAGTGCACAGACCCCGAAGAAATCTCGTCAGATGTGAGTAAGTTATTAAACAAAATGAAGAGAGACGAGGTTACATCTGTAATTAAGAATGATTCCCATTTACTGCAGCTGGCCCAGTGTTTGTGCCGCTTGAATAAAAGTAAAAAAAAGAATAAAGCCAACATATCGATGAGGGTGAGGATAATGGGAAGACTCCTGCTAGCGCTGAGGAAGAAGTCCATAGGTACCTTTGAAGAGGCCGTCAAACCCGAGAACTTCAGCAAAGTCAGTGAAACCGTCAGAGAGCTCACTGGTTTCAATGAAGAGAAAAAGACCGCTTGCAGACAGAGTCTCTTGACGAGATTCATAAATTCCCTCAAGAAAATCGGTGAGATTAACTATGCCAGAGCTTTGAAAGAGGAGGCCGACGAACAGACAATAAACGTCGCAGAGACGTTTGTGAAGCTGTGCGACAGAGAATGGAGCTACGCCCACCCATCAAGGGCGTGGTTGACGATCCCAAACGCGCCGACCGTTCCGTTCACACGCGATGTGCAGCTTTTCTGTCAGTGCATGGAGAAGACGGCTGAGTCTGCCGTTGAAAGTCTGACAATGTATGAAAGCTCTCCGGTTTACACTGCACTCCTCAGGGTGACAGTTGCTCAATTGTCTGTCTTAAACAAAAACATGCAACAAGTTTCAGGAGTAACGCTCAAGTCATTCGCAGAAAGGGACGAGAATGAGCTTCAAGGAGACGCCGCTGTTGGCCAGTCGCAGTTTGAGCAAATTCTGTCGAAGCACTCGATGCGGATCAATCTCATGACCACCAAGGGCAAAAAGGTTGCTGTTACGTTTACCCCTGAGCTGCTCACTGCATTACAACTGCTCGTGAGCAAGAGAGAGTCGTGTGGTGTACATAAAGATAATCCCTTTTTATTTGCAAGACCTGGTGCTAAGTGTTCAAGTTTCTACTACGGACACCAGTGCGTCAGTGCTTTTGTAACTCGGTGTGGTGCAGAGAACAAAGCAAACTTCAGGTCTGTGTTTTTTCACAAGTACATTGAAAGAGTTTTCCAGATTCTCAACCTCACGAACGACAAGCTCGATCAACTAGCTAAACTGCTGGGCCGCGACATTCGGACCGAGAGAGAGTATTATCAGACGCCGGAGGCTGCTGCCGACATTGCAAAAATCTCACAGCTGCTGTCAGCGATGGAGAAGGGATGCCTGGAAAGATTCGAAGGGAAATCTCTTGAGGAAATTGAGGTTCCAGGTATGTGTCCAGAACTTAAAGGTGCTCTGTGGAGCTTTCTTTTTAACTTTTTAATGAGTGTTCACAAAATGCACCGTTTATCTGCTTGAGGTCTAACAAACACATTTATTTTTATTACATCCATGTTTACTTGCAAGTACTCTTGTTCCTTTCCTCTTGCTGGCAGATTTCTGCAGTTCTTGGTGCATTACCGTCACCTGCTTGTCAGTGGAATAATATGAATCTAACGTGCCAAAAAACATATCCAGATTATTTTATAAATTTCTTCATATTAATGTAAACCTCGTCACCCAGCCCTATCGGTACCTGAAAGGCGTACATACATAACTTTCCTCTGTAGATGAACTGGAGCCAGAAGTTCTGGAGGACAGCCCCGAAAACAGTGGCGCTGAGGAGGACATTGAAGAATCAGAAAGTTCTCTTCAGCTGAGCGGTAAGAGACACAAACTCTACTACTACCCATTAAACTGTATTATACATTATATCAAATTTGTTTTAAATACAGACATTTTTAGTGGCATTGAAGCTGGTAATATAAAGGATCATCCTCCAGTGAATCTGAGGTAAGACAGAAAAGTTATTGATTGTCACCAAAATGCTCCACGAATGACGATTTCTTACTTTCTTACTGTCTCTAATTCAGGCCTTATTAAATGTCTGACTTTGTTACTTGTACCAAAGGACATTTTTATTTCAGGTTTAAAAAGAAAAAGAGAAGGATTGCTTAACCCTCGTATTGTCTTCCCGATTGCCATACACCTTTTGGTCCTGTTGTTTACAGCATAAAGTGTAAATTATTAATCAATTCTGTGTTACACCTTTAGTCTTACTTCAGTCTAACCCGCTACCACACATTTTTCCCTTTATTTTTTTACAATTTCGGGCCAATAGACCATGTTTATATGAAAGTATACCCTATTTTTTAGTTAAAACAAAATGAAACAATTAATTATTTTTACCATATATTATTTTGACTATTATTCCTCTGGGGTCAAAATGACCCAACCTGGTTCGACTGTTATTTATAGCATAAAGTATAAATTATCACCCACCTCTGTGTTTCAACTTTTTAGTCAACTTTATTCAGCTCATTAACTGACATATATATATATATATATATATATATATATAAATATATATATATATATATATATATATATATAAAACAACATTTCAACATTAATTTACAAAATGTTCAACTTTTCCAAACTAACCAGTTGCATGCGAGGCAGGTAGTGATGGCATGATGTTTGCAGATGTACGCGTTGCATTTTTGGCATATTGTGGATGTTTTCAGATCACTCTGGCAAAGGCAGAATTTGCATCTGCCTCTTTTGAGTGATGGGCCAGAAGGGGCAGCTGGGTGAGGGGAGATCGGTGAGGTGGAGATCGGTGAGGTTGAGTTTGGTGAGGGGGAGATCAGTGAGGTCAAAAATGATCTCATGAGCTTCCTGTACAGTATAGCGCTTCTGCCTCCTCATTGTCCTGCCTGTCTCTTTCTAAAATGCCCCAACATCTCTGAAAAAAGACCTGTTTTTGTTTGAATTGCTTGATCCACCACCTTTCATGTTTTGACACATCAAATCTTTTTTCAAATCAGATTTAGACCACTTCCATATGTGGTCCTGAATCCAACCCAGGTCTGATTTTTTTCAATGTGGCCGCAGTGTGAACAACCAAGGCGGATTTGATGCGACTTTTACGTCAATCTACATCGACATTTGTCAAAATTACGCGCCGGCGAGTTCGCAAAGCAAAGCGAAGCAGCAGCAAAATGGAGTTGTGTAAACCTATTGGCCTTTAAAGGGTTAAAATACCCAAAATATGATACATATTTGATATGTATATTTCAAGCTGAAGTAGTTCTAAAAGACTGACTAATTTAAGGTGGAAAGAAATATTGATTTATGAGATTTTTACAGCAGTTTTAGGGAATGGCAATTTTTTGCCCTTACGAACAAATGAGTTTTTGTTTAAAATCTGACACTGCAGAAAAAATAATAATGCATTAAAATCAATGTTGCTGCCAATCATTGACCCATCTCAGGTCCTAAAAATATTTATAAGCATATACTCCATGACATTATTTTATGGAAATTATAAGTTTTTTTGTTTTTTTCAATAAAAAAAGCAGAGTTGTGTAAACATATTGGCCTTTAAAGGGTTAAAATCCCCCACATATAATAAATATTTGATATGTATATTTCAAGATGAAGTAGTTCTAAAAGATTGACTCATTTAAAGTAGAAAAAAATATTGATTTATAAGATTTTTACAGCAGTTTTTGCGAAGGTGGCATTTTTCTGCCATAGGAACAGATGTGTAAGTTTTTTAAAGGAACCCCTAAGGGTTAATTAGTTGAATCCAAGAAGTGTAAACTTTATTAATCAGGAAATGTTTGGCGTCTCCAGCTGGATAGAAATCCACTGATACAAACAGTGAACAAGTGTATAATAATAATCTTCTCACATACCTGTACCTCTCTCTCTTTTAGGCTCCTCTTCGGCAACAAAAAAACGAAAAGAACCCAGCAGAGTTTCCAGAGTTTGTCCCACGAAGAAACGAAGCCGAGGCCGGAGCAAGAAGCTGGAGTGTGAAGATGAGGCACCGGAGCAGAATGATGAGGTGAACGCAGAGAAGGATGACGGGTCAGAGGAAATACCTCCGAGCTATGATGTCAAAACACCTGAGAATACAGTGTCTCATAGCAACGAAGACGCAGCGAAGATTTGTTTCAGTGACGACGATGAGGACATGAATGTGGACTTTGACATGGACGTGGACACCGATGACGACAGTGTCAGGAATGATGGATATGGTGACACAATGCCTTTGATACCAGATGTAACAGATGTACCAGATGTGACAAAGCAGGACAACGACAGCAGTGATACTGAGAAGGCCGATGGCTTAACTACCAAGCACACTACTGCTGCGGACCTCGAGGAGACCATGGAGACGGACGCAGTGAACCACGTGGGGGAAAAGCATCGAAAGAAAAGAGGGGAACAAAAGAACTGTATGGATGTGGATAGTAGAAGTTCCTCTGCCATCTTAAATACAGGTAAAATCAATCTGGAAAAGTCAGGTTATCACCACTGTATAGTATAAGTAGTGGACAGAGCTGTGTGTCTTAAACCTGCATTCTGTGTAATGGCCAGCAGGGGGAGCAGACACCATTCGGTCTTATGGAGAAATGAGCCGACTTCTCACTTGATTTATTAGTTCAGTAAACAGTTTCCTAATGAGTTTATGGTTTAAATCACTCTGACAAGTCTTCTCCCATAGAACATGAAGTTCATTTTGTAAATTATGGACCAATTTGGAGTAAAATAGACAAACCAGATTCATCCTCCCAGTACAGTTGTTATGAAAGGGGAATGTAGCTATAGAGACTAAAACTGTTTTTGTACCAGCCTGTAAACATGTTTAATATTTGCTGTATAGTTGAGTATTTTAATTTGAAGCCTAATGGAGATTGACTCACTTCTGTAACCAGCCTCAAGTGGCCGTTCAAGCCACTGCAGTTTTTGTCACTGCTGGTTGCTACTTGGTTTTACAGCCATATTTGATTTCATTACAGAAAAGAAGAAGAAATTATCAGCTGCTTTAACTGGAATGAAAGAAGTGAAGATATTAGTATCAAAACTGGACATTGTGAGTATACACACTTTCTTGCAATTTGTCTCTAATATTATAATAAATATGTATGAAGTATAAATAAAACTTTCTTTATAGACACACTATTGGCAACAACATCACCCTTTCTGCTGTATAATGATCTGATTATGCTCATTTGTAGCTGTAGATTATTTCTTTAGACTCACTTTAGACTTTTGACAAGAATATAAAAAGTCTCAACAGTACTTGATTTCTATCTTCTTATTGTTGTTTGTTTGTCTCAGGAGAAGTTGCAGACTCCAATCCACATTTCCCAGTTATCATCTGTGGGTGACTCTGTCAATCAGCACATCCATGACGACAACAACCAACAACAACATCACACAAGACGTCACAAACAAACCGGACAACGCAAAGGTAGCGGGACATACTTCTCCTGAGTTTAAATGATAGTTGAACAAATCATTTATAGGAGTTTCACATTAAATGTATGAGATATTCATAATTTAAATCCCCATTAAGGCATTTTTTTTTAATAACATCATCTGAAAATGTGAAAGGATAAGCAAACATTCAAAGCTGGAATAAGCAGGTCCAGTGTTACATATTTCATTCTGTATGTGGAAGGAAGGAGGATAAGTTAAAATCTACTCTCTTGCACATCAGGAAATGCAGATGACCTGCTCCCACTGCCAGAAGGCCATGATGAAGGGTCAAACGGCTTACCAGAAGAAGGGATTCACAGACGTCTTCTGCTCCAAAAACTGCCTATTCGCCTTGTTTCCCGTCAACAAACCAAACACCAAGATCTGTCATTTCTGTCATAAGTGAGTCTGTAAATAAAACATCACTTTTATCTTAAACTACTACACCATTGTTCTTGCACATAGTAACATATGTAGTAGTATAAAGTATGATTCAGTGGTTTCCAGTGGCTGGAGGAAGCCTAAAACTTGCTTTTTAGTAACACATTGTTGTGTAAATAATGTCTTGTTTTTAAAGTTCTGATTTAAACTAGCTAGCTATTCAAGCAAGCCTCTCAACCTCTACATTACCCTGATTGTCATATCACAATCTTCTGTATAAACATTACCTTTGTGTCAAAGTTTATTCTGTTTATCCTCTTCTTCCCTCTGTCAGGGCGATATCACAGCCTCTGGACCTCATCATGGCTGCTGTGGATGTTAAGGGAACTATGAAGGACTTCTGCAGTGTGACCTGTCTGGTTTCTTTTAAGTCCAACACGCCGCCCGCCCAAACACCACCGTCCATCTGCATGATGTGCAACAAATCCTGCACTGTAAGCAAAAACACATTGTATTAATTTTAACTATAAACTCTTTGTCGTACTCACTTCTTCTTTATCCTCATCTCCTACAGACCACAAGTGAGTTGACCCTGAACGGGTCTCTCCACAAGTTCTGCAGTGACTCCTGCATGGACGATTTCAGCAGACACAACATGGCCATGTGTGAGAACTGCAACTCCATCGGACGCAACAAACCACTCATATTGATGCTGAAGGAGGAGACGAAGACCATCTGCAGCGATGACTGTCTGGAGGAGTTCAAAGAGGTGCAGAAATATCACAATTATGGTCACTTAAGAAAGACGTAAAACACAAAAGAATGTGTTTAACTGTAAAGATCCACCTGATGAAACACTGAAACAAAAAACTGACACACTGTATAGATACAGTACAGGTCCAAATTTTAGATATATGTGTGTGTATATATATAATATATAGTGCCCAAGCAATATTCTGAAATGATAAAACTGGAGTTATCTGTATTTTAGTTGTTCCATGAAAAGACCAGAAACATTTGTGGCATTCAGACAACCAGAAGTGGGTCAGAGCAGTTTTTAGCTCACTCCAACAGGGGCAGGATTAAACTGTGCATTCGTTATGGGACTATTTTCAGCCACAGATTAATGCACATTTGGGGGCCGGTAGTGAGTATTTATGGTACTCGGTTGCTGCAGTAAGGCCTGCTGCTGTTCAGGATCTGTTTGTGCAGTTATGGTACAATTATTGATGCATTTCATCATCACAATACTTAAAATAATAGTATGAGGGACCTCAGGAGGAGCCAGCTGGCTTCATGAGCTCGTCAGTCATCACAAGTGTTGCTGATTTAGGCAGAAGGTGACGGAAACTACCATGAATAAAAGGAAATGCAGCTACAACAAAGACTTGGAAACTACTTATAGCTGGGTGAAGCCGTTAGAAGGCTACTATCACATAAGATCTGTGAAACGTTTGCTTCCTTTCATGTTTACTGTATATAGTGTGGGAGGTGAAGTTTCATTCAAATATATTTATGTCCTTTTTATATAATATATATATAATATATTTTATTCAACAAAAGACTTGAATCATATCTGTCAAAATAACTGCAATATGATGTTTTTACCATATCGAGCAGCTCTAGAGAGAGAAAAATGCATCTCAGAGAATCAGAATCACTTTATTGGCCAGATATCTGCACACATACAAGGAATTTTACTCCAGTTTTTATGTTTCTCTCAATGTACAAACACAGATTAACAGCATAAATATAAATAATAAACATCTAATATGTACAGTTATACATAAAAAACATTTGTAGACAGTAGAAAATAGTGCAGAGTGTAAAGGATGCTGAAATAAACGTACAGATTTCTTTATGTACATGAGGTACGTTGATATGACAGTACAGACAGGAAGATATATTAAAGTGATATAAAGTGTGTCAGTGCTGATGTTTACGTTCCCGGCTGTGGAAATGTCCGCTCCTCCAGGTTATCGACCCAACACAAATATCACGTTTTCCCCTCCGATCCGGTGCTCTCTCTATTTATTAATAATACATTTATTTTCTCTTGTTTTCATGTGTATATTGTTGTGTTGAGGTAATCCAAACGTTACAGAAAATAATTAAGTTACATTACTTTAATATTGTGTTACTTCGTTTAGATTACTGGCTGCATTTATTAAAAGATAACTAGTAATTTTATCAGATTACATCAGTAACTTAATCCAACTTCATTACTTTCCGTTACTTTTGGATTACCTTGTTACCAAATATGCAAATAAAAAAGAAAACAAATGTCTTATATGTGTGTGTTATTAGATTCAGTGCTGTTGATTGACAAGTTACAACTTGCATCTGGGACAGATTTAGTGGAAGGGCCCATAAATATGTTACGATTCAGTGACTTTGTTCCTCTTTTAAAAATAATAATGAATGAAAAACAAAATAATGGTGTAATTTTCACCCATTTATTTCACTGGAGGCTGTAATAATGAACACTAATGAACTATGTGAGATTAATTCATCATGGATGTTTTATTAAATTTAACTGCAGTCGAAGTATGTATTTTCTCCCTGTAATTGAACGGATCAGTTACTTTTATTTTGTGACTCTGTTACATGTAATCTGTTACTCCCAGAGCCTGCATTCAGTGCATTATAGGTCAAATGTTAGTAGCCTTTGCTTGTGTTTTCTTAGTTACACAGTAGAGAAGAAGGTGATGTTTTTACTGTCGGTCAATGCTGCAGTGGCGTCTGCATGATGAGAAAACTGTCACTATTATTAGTCTGTGGTGTTGTTTCAAAATAAACTACACTGGCTGCATTCATTTTAATGAAGGACACAAATGGAGAACTGGTGCACAGAGGAATGAGCTGAAGTAAGCTTTTTAAATTCATTGGTGGTTCTGGTTTTATTCAAGGTCGAAACCCCACTGTTGTCCAAAATATTTAATTCTTGCTCACTGATTAAAGGTTTTGCTGAAAAAAATCATTATTATATTATTATTATATAATTTGTCTGACAATCTGGTTGTTATTTTATTTTTTTTCTATTAATCTGCAGAGCATTGAGACTTCCTACCAGTGCACTATGTGCGACATTTCTCTACCGATGTCCGACATGGTTCACAATAAAAGCGACGAGGACATGGTGGAGCTCTTCTGCACTCGCACTTGTGTGAGGTCATACATGCTGCGGCCCGATATTGTAGACAAGCTTCAAGGTATGAGACTATAAATTTGTCAAGATGTGGGATTATGTGGTGTGTAGCGGGGTGTAGTGTCGCTGTAGTCTCTGGGTAATGTTTGCAAAATCTGCACCTCTTCTGTGGCTGATTTTAATCTCACAATGATCCTTACTAAGTGAAGTCGAGCAGCAGAGGTTAAGTAATAATACTACTGGTTCATTTTTAAAGCTAAATATGCAAGAGTTACTATAACTAATAATAATAATAATAATAATAAAAGGGTTTTTTATCCTTTTTTTAAAAAAAGGGGAATAATTTAGTGTAGAGTAAACTCACTTCTCCAGGCACCACTACACCCCTGAATAAACCTAATGATCAGTGTTTGTTTTCATCCTTCAGAAAAGAAAAACGCAGCTCTGTTGAGGAGGAAAAGAGGCAAACAATCGGAACAAACATGGAATACAGTGAGTATATTTCATACAGTAAAGCAGAGAGCGAGACAGCAGTTTGTTGTCATACGTCACTGTAACTGTCCATCATCCCGCAGGAGGACGGTAGTGTCACTTCAAACTCTGTCGCAAACGATACAGCTGCTAAATCGGAAACTCCGACATTCACCTTCGCAAAAGAGTGCGTTGTCTGTTGCCACTGTGGAAAGGAACTGCAGAGCGGAGAGACTCTGGTCAAGTTGAAGAAGTCACGAGAGGTTTTTTGCTCAGCCTCTTGTCTCTCTGAAAAACATCCTCACGTCAAACTGGACACCAAAAAGTGCTACAACTGCTTTCAGTAAGTCATGCTTTTCCATCCTGTATATATCTTTTATTTATGTGTGTGTACTTTTATTAGAGAGAGAGAGATTGAATTATGAGTGAATCATTTGAATTAGTCCAACATTTTTTTAGTTTTCAGTTTAAGACATTTTTCAAGACAAAAACCCAATGAAATGGTCTCTTGTTCCAGTTCCTCAGATCATAAACTGAAAATCTTAAGGTTTTGTATTGCTGATCGGACAACAAGCCAAGACAATAATCACCAGGTTAACAGATAATGAAAAACTATCATTAGTTGCTGCCTTAAAAGTTTGACACCAGCAAAAACACAGTTGCTGTTTCTTCAAGCTCTCTGTGTCATTAAATCTCCCAATATACAACTGACTAACTCTCATCTTGATCTCCTTCCCTCAGGGTGATCTTGCGGCCTCACAACATCATCCTGGCTCCGGTGGATGATTCAGGAACTATGAAGGAGTTGTGCAGCAACGCCTGCCTTTCTTCTGTCAACTCCAAGAGGAACTTGGCTGCACCGAAACCCCCACCTCCACCAGAGTGCCGGATGTGCACCAAATTTTGCTCTGTAAGGAAAAAAACTTTTATTGAATCGTTTTTATGACTTCTCGTTACATCATTGCCCTGTGATTTTTAATATATTACATTGTCATTACATTGGGATCGTGCAGTCGTATGTCGATGTTTTATGACAGTGGTTCTCAACTCGGGGGGTCGCCAGAGCTTCTTTGAGGGTCGCGTTAAAAATGTACACAGTAGACCTTTAGCTCAGCACTTGTTCATTTCAGTGAAGAAAATAAAATAAAATTGTTATTTTTAAAGTTAAGATTATTTTTTTAAGATCTAAGCTTTGAAGACCTGAACATAAGCTATATTCACAGGGCCTTCACTCTGCCTAACAGCTTTGTTCTCCATTAGAAAAGTTAGAACAACCAAAGAGCTAATAGAACAATAATCAAGTGTCAGGGAGAAGAAAACACTAACTTTGTCAAAGAAGAAGTCTGTTAAGTCTGTATGATTGTTAAAAATAAAGAAAACCTCTAATAAAGACAGAGAATTGCATAAAAAGTTCCTAAAAAGGTTAAGAAAACTAATTTTAGGAAATTATCTGCTCAAAATTCATCCAATTTTCTTGTTTTACACAAACTTCCTGCAGTTCCTGTGTTCGTTGTACAGTTTATCAGTCGGAGATCGTCAGTTTACTCTGTGATAGAAAAGGAGTCCCTAAATGGAAAAGGTTGGGAACCACTGTGTGTTATCATATTTAAAGCTTAGCTAAAAAGGCTGTTCTGTATTATTGTCAACAAACCTCATGAAAAGACCAAAACCAACATTGCATTACATTTCTCTACTCTGTCTGTGGCACTCAGCCCCAAACAAATATACAGTTCAAAAAAAGGTCATCATTACCTAAAATGGTTGGCACTGTAGTTTTTGGCAAACGTTACTCAAACAGCCATAAATACTGTATTTATTGGGGACTATTTTAAGTAATTTCAACTAGCGACACTGACTCAAAATACAGTTTACAGTTACAATGAGCAAAACATGTCACCCAGTTCAACAGTGAGGCTCATATAGTCACACACACAAACATCCACATGTCCTCTCTAAAGTCTACAGGTGTTCATTTACATTCGTCTTAACTGTTGTGGTGTCTGAAGCCATCTGTTGGATCAACTCCCATTTCTTTATACTTTGTATTAAATAGAGAAAACAGTATTTATTTAGCAGTAACATAAACGTGCTCCTTTGTCATCCTCAGTGCAAATTCAAGCTAAACCCGGATGGCTCGATGCAACGACTGCCTCAGTCCGCCTGCTCCATCAACGACAACAAAGTCAACGACCTGCCTGGGTTTACCTGCGACGTCTGCGGCTCCGTCTGCTCCGACAGTCGGCTCACGCTGAAGATGGACGGCGGCAGTAAAACCAGCTGCAGTGAAGAATGTTTGGTCAAACTCAAACAGGTGCAGAAATCATCCCAATAATGATCACTTCATCTGAGCAGGACAACCTCCACATTAACACTGAATAATCTCGTTATTATACAGTACTGAAGATGATATATTATTAGTATTACTACACTATAAATACAAAGTTTTTATTTATTTTATTAAAGAAAAAAAAAGGTTGATAGTTTTTACACCACCAGCATTATTTCTATACATATATGCAGTTATATTTCAACTAGTGTGATAATCTCGTACTAACTTTGGCATTGATCTACCCTTTCTTGGTAGTTGGCTGCAATTAATGGAAAAATGATGCCGTGTGGCAGAAAAACTGTTCTCATTTTAGTAATACATAAATCACCACTTGGTAATCATTTGTGGATCATGCAACAAGCAGCAGGTTGTCATGTGGCTATTTGGATATTAAAACAAACAGAAAAACAGACATTTCTGTGTTTTAAATAATTATTTTTGGTGTTAAGAGGAAACTTAAGACATAAGACAACTTATACAAACAGCTTCCTTTTTGAGAGATTCAAAGAGCAGCACTGCAGCGAAGTGGATTGGTTGTTTAACATTGAAAGTTAACAAGTTAATCATGTTGGTGTTGGTGTTGATGTTTTTTTCCTGCAGAAGATTGAGACGCCTCAGCTGTGCCCAATGTGCCAGACGTCCCATCAGATCTCAGACATGGTTGACAGTAGAAATGATGAGGGCTGGCTGGACTTCTTCTGTAGCAACAGATGTATGATGGTACACAAAGCTCAATCTTCTACCGTTTCAGGTACTTCAGCCATTTTATTTCATTTATTTATATTTATATTTATATTTAACAGTATTTATTTTCTTCTGTCACATCTTCACTACCTTTATTTGCATTGTTCAGGTACTTTTTGCACCAAATTATAGAACAATTTATGATCTTTGACAGCAGTTTATAAACATAAGAGAAAGAATAGGTTGTATTTGTCTGCATCGTTATATGCATAATAATATAATAGTAATATTCTTCAGTTCACTAAAACCAGAAACTCCTTCTATGGATAATGACAAGAAGCTGAGCTGTCAGCCTCTCTGTCTGTGTGCTGAAACAAAAATATAACCTGTTCTGAAAACTTTAATGATGGATGAAAGTTTTGGAGAACATAAGATCGTGTTTATTTTTAAATTTCGGGCGAAAAATAATAAATAATGGCCTTTAGAGCTGATCTATTGGCATATCTAATATCTATTAGCATTCACAGTTTACCCCATCTATACTAGTGCTGAAAATTAGTCTCTAGCTATGGAAAATATCTTTCTGCAGACCAGAATTGATCTCCTATTTACCATCTTCTGTCTTTATAGGAAGGAACAGCCCGTCATTTGATAAGAATGACATTAAAGAAGTGAAGCCGTCGCTACTGAATCTGGACTGTGTGAGTATTATTTATACTGTCTTGTGTAATAATGCCTATACATTGATTCAGGGCAGACTGAAGCAGACACAGCATGGAGATTGTTTCTACATTTGGATGTGATTCACAGTAAAGCAATATGACCGATTTTGTTGCTGACAAACAATAACACTAGAGTATTTATTCTCTGGGTGAGTTGCAGTGTGTGTTTTAGGGACGCCATGATACCAGAAGTTTAGTAGTTGATACCAATCACAGTGAGAGTCCACAAACAATAAATCTGATGTACGGTAAAACTCCTAATAAAAGCAGGGTCCCAAATAGACGCAGGTCTCCTTTACTAGCCTGGTGTGGCTACACGTTTTGACAAATAAACCCAGGTCTCAATTAGAGGCCTTTATAGTAGTTCTTTGGATGTATAAAACCAGCTGTACAATTTGAATTTCAAGCTGTTAGTTGTCAACAAAACTCAGGAGAAGCAGCACAATTTGACAGTATTTTCGTCTTTGCTGAACAAGAGTTTCTTGCTAAAGGAATAAAACGCCTGTCCCCAATAAAGGCCGGGTGGGTTCAGTGATTTAAGGCAATTAACACCCAGGCTATTATTAGAACTTTTACGGTACTTCAACGTACACTCCTCTATCAGGCATGTAGCCTTTCAGTAAGAAATAAAATTAAACAACTACTCAATGTATTCTTTTCTGTTTCCCCTCTTTAGTTTAGTTTTCAGTCTACAGGAGTCTCTTTATATTACCTCACCTTTTTAATGCCTTTCTTCCTCATATGTGATGTAAAAACATCAGTTTTCCACTGGCCTGTGAAGTGTTGTCTTCTCTTTTAAATGTTACACAGCTCATCTGTCACTCTCTCTTTTCACCTCTCAAGATAAAACAAGAGCCCATTGATGAAGAGTACAAACAGAGTGTCTCACCCTCCATATCCACAGAAGACATCAAGGACGAGCCTAATGTGATAAAAAAGGTACGACACATGATGCTTTTCCCAAGAGAGCATAAACATACATTTATGTATACGTCACATAAGACAGAGAGAAAACATTCATTATATTAAAGGTTCAGCATTGAAAATGTTTCTTTTATGTAATAAAACATTTGTAAGGGTTCTGTACTTAAAGTATATAAAGTGAAAAGTGTTATATAGATTATAGGATTATTATAAGCAGTGCATTAATATGTAAGCAGTATTTTTGTTGTAGTTAGTCAAAGCAAATATTCATACTCATAAAGCCATTTCTGTTTGTAATTGGTTTCTAAAAACTAAATTTAGCTGCATTTAAGTATTTAATTTAACTATTAAGTAATTACTAATTTAAATATTTTAGAAATGTGTGTCTACATCTTGAAATAATAAAAGTTACACTACAGGAATTATGAAAAAGTTGATTTTAGAAAATTCTTTGCTTTGAAAACATTTTGAATATTAGTACTACTACATCATCTTATATATTATAATAATATTAAAACATCTTAAATGTAGTGGAGTGGAAGTAGACAGTGGCATAAAATGCATATACTTAAAGTTTTTATACTTTTTTTAAGTACAATACTGCAATTGAAACAGGTCTTTCTCATCATTATTGTTTGAGGTTACAAAAACATAAAATAACTCAATAAACACACTCAAAAGACACTCAAACAACAAAAGCAATCACAACACCCCATCACACCCATACAACCAGAACATCAGGCCCAACAACCTAAAGAACAACAAAACATCAATATTATATTTATGAAAATAAGTAAATTAATAAATTATAGATCATGATAATAATAATAAAGATAAATACTTATTTTTATGGAAATTTTGACTATTAATGGCCTCTCAAGATAAATAAAAAAGAAAGGGATTGATATATTACACGTTCTTTAAAAACAGAAAACTACATACATTTATTAAGGAATTCATAAATAAATAATAAGTACATAAAGTCATTGCATTATTTCCAATATTCTGCTTTAAAAATGATTTAATATTAATATGAATAGTATCCTAGGAGATGTTGCCATATTCCACTGACATCATTGTGCGTCGTCTTGCTATTTTTGACAGGAGGACTTGAAGATTGGTTCAGTCTTCTCGTTGACGGGAGTCTCCACGTCCACGGCGCCCACTCTCACCCACAGGGATTTGCCTGCGTCTTGTTCCAACTGCAAAAAGGTCCTGATGGACGGAGAGACAGTTTATCAGAGGAAAGCCCACTCGAACATCTTCTGCTCCACTCCTTGCCTTTTGAAATTCTACCAAACGAAACAAGCTAAGAAGACCTGCCACTTCTGCCTCCAGTGAGTCACATACTAGTTTAAATTACTGATATTTAAATCGACTTCAGCTTCACTCCCCTCAGCTGTATCAACACACTTTCCTTCCTTTGTTCTCTCAGGGCGATAACGCAGCCTAAGGATGTCCTCCAGGCCCCGGTGGATAATGAGGAGACGATGAAGGATTTCTGCAGCCAGACCTGCTTGTCCTCTTTCAACTACAAGACAATCATGTCCACTAGAATATCCATCGTGCCAGTCGCGTCACAGTCACAATGCAGCATGTGCAGCAGATATTGTGTTGTAAGAGACAAAGAAAACTCTATTTTTATTTATAGTAATAATGAAGAACACTGCCTGTTATAAGAACGATCTCAGATATAAACACTTCAGCTCACAGCCTTTTTTGTTATCCACGTTTATATGGACTTAGGATGTTGGTTTATCCTCTTGCAGATCAAACACGAGATCCTACAGCAGGACGTCGTCCACAAGATCTGCAGTGATCCCTGTTTTTTCCGCTTCTGCAACATGAACAACCTGTCTGTCTGTGAGAACTGTCGCTCCAACTGCAACACACCTGTCATGCTCAAGATGGAAAATGGCAGCATAAAACTGTGCAGTGCAGAGTGTCTGGTACAGTTCAAACAGGTAATACGATAATGTCAAATGTCAACAAATATGTTTTAAGAAGATCTTTTTGTAAGTCATTTTAAAGGCTGGTAGGAATGTCTAGTTTAGTTATTTCTAATGGGAATTAAACAATTATTATTACTTAGTTTTTTAGTTCTGTTTATTTGTATTTTAGTTATTTTGTATACAGATTATATAAAATATTACACAGATAAAAAACAATAAAGATATTAGATAATAAAGATACAGTACAGTACATATACAGTGTAAACATTCAGCATATTTATTCCCTGGCCTCTACATAGTCAGTGAAGGGTTGCCAAGTTTTTATGGAATTTCTCAGAGGTACCTCACAAGATGTCCAGTTTGAGTTGTTGTGTTTCCAGCTCAATAGAATTAATCTGCGAGCTAAAAAACTGGGTCAGGTTCTACTTGTGTCCCAGGATATGGGCATAGCCGAAACATAATTATTTTAGCAAAAGGCAGCAATAAAAGTGAGAAACAAAAGAAAATACATGGGCCAAAATAAGTTTCTCTCAGCCCTAAACGCTGTAAAATGCTGCTGTTTTTGGGACTTTGCAGAAAATCGAAGCGCCGCAGCCGTGTGCCATGTGCTCCACGCCCCATTTAATGTCTGATATGGTTGAAAACAAAAACAGCGAGGACGTGGTGGAGCTCTTCTGTACCAACAGTTGTGTGATGGCGGCCAAGATCCAGGCTGTCAGTGCGTCAGGTACTGGACTGACAATAGAAGAGCTCTTTATCCTTCTCTGTCAATAATGCACCATTGAAACTAAATATAATACATACATGTAATATTAGTATTTGTGATATTAGTAATTACTTCTACCATTTGTCCAAGTTTGTATCGTGAAACCTCTTTTTCTCACAGGTATTCCGTTGAATTGTGACAACTGTGGTAAGACTACACTGCCAGCCTGCCACCTCGCCATGTCGGATGCCTCCATCAGAAACTTTTGTACTCTAACCTGTGCCATGGCTTTTAAGGTAATACAGCTCATACAGTGTTCAATACCATACCATATTACCACATTTGAAAGTTTAAAACCTTTTTTTCTTTTGTGTTACAGGAGACGCAGAACGCTGCCACCAGCCCAACAGCAGCCTCCGACCAAACCCAGTGTGATTTCCTCAAACCACCGGAGAAACTACCATGTGCACAGTGTCGACGCATTTTAAAAACGACACCCAAAGTTGTCCAGAAAAAGGTTTGTTGGGTCTGTTTTTTTTAAAGATAGGACATGCAGCTCAAGCATAAAGCTACCAGGCTGTGATAGTAACATTTAAAGAAGCAGATGTTTAAACTAACAGGGAAGGTCTGTACTTTTTGTTTCCCCACTATTGTGGGAGTGCCGTTGAGTGAGTCTTAAAAATCCAACTGAAACCAGTGAATCTAACATTGACAGTGTTGGACTGTACCAGTTGTTAAAGCTCTCACTGTGATAGCTTAGAAATGGCAACATACACTTTGACACTGACCGTGTGTCTTTTGTCTACAGGGCAAAATGAACTTTGTGTGTAGTCAGGCCTGTTCTCAAGAGTTTAAGAGGGTCAACAACACCATGGGCAAGTGTGAATTTTGCAAGAATGAAAGGATCATCAAAGATGTCAAGAGGGTCAACGACAAAGATTGCTACTTCTGCAGCGATGGTAAGAAGACATAGACAGACAGACTGACATAAATTCGTAAAAATAAAAGCAGGATTAAAAACTTCTCTACTTTCTTTCCTCCCAGGCTGCATTATGCTCTTTTGCCATGAGCTGGAAGAGAGATGGGGGGAATACTGTCACTTGTGTGCTTACTGCCTCTCCACCTCTAAGACGTTGGTGACAGCTCAGTATAAAGGCGTTGAAGAGGAGTTCTGCTCTGAAGAATGCAACTCAAATTACAACATGCTCTTCTGTCATGTAAGTAGAGAGGGGAAGTTCAGCCATTGCACAGTTTACCCGCCTATTGTAGATAATGTGGTATTTAAACTGTAGGTGGGTAATGTATAGTTCAGATTGGATCTTGTAAATCATTTGGCTTTCTTGTAATATTTAGAGTTTTTCTAGGAGCTCTATATGTTTGTTTTTGGATGGATTCTGTCTGTTTGAATGTTCGCATTTGACTCCTTTTACTTTTTATCTTTATTTTATTCATTTTATTTCTAAAGCAAAATAATATAAAAATGAACAGTTTCCATCTTCTCAAATGTGAACATTTGCTGGTTTTCTCAGACTTCTTATATCTTTGACTTGTGGACAGTTGAAGATTATAATTTATAATTAATCAGCAGATGGACAGATAACAAAATATAGTTGTTGCTCTCGTCTGTTTTCTCTCAGCTTGCCAAGTGTGACACCTGCGGTCGCGAAGGGAAACTGAGGCAGAGTCTTCCCATGCTGGGAGAGGTCAAACACTTCTGTGACCTCAAATGTCTCCTACATTTCTGCAACAAAAAGGTCCAGATGGTCAATAAAGGTGTGTGTTATTATTGTATGTTTGTTTATGAACACTGGTCACTCGCCCAGCTCTGGTTCTGGCACAATTCCCCACCGGCTTCCCCACACCTGAATACCGGCTCCTCCTGATGGTCCAAAACTTCTCTGCTAGCGTTGTAAATATACCACCACTCCCCCGATGCTTTGAGCTCCTAGTCCGAAAAGCACAGACTGAGCTAACTAGCTAGCCTATCACTCAGATCACCATCAAATGGCCTTATAGTGACCTTTTTGGCATCGAGTCTTCAATGTTACTGTTAGAGGAAAACTGTTGTAAATTCACCTGAGGCCACAGCCCTACGTCACTGAAACTGCAGCAGAGAATGACGGAGGCAGCATTCACCCCATTACAACTCAGTGCAGCATCACAAATGATAGTGAAGCTGTTGTTTTAAGGTAGAAACGTTACATAATGGCTCTTTGGTCAGTGGGTTTTTACACAGACCTTCAGCAGTTAAAGTTAAATGTGCTCCAGACCTGAGGATGACTTTCAGTTAGTGACCCAAGATCTGCTTTGGGTCCAGTTGTTAGGTTTTTACGAGATGGGAGCTTCCCAAGGACCTCTAGTCTGACTTTTGTTGTTAATTACTTTTTTATATTATGAGCTCAATTACTAACAGCCCCTCTTTGTTTCCCAGCAACAGTCTCTTCACCTCCCAAATCTGCAGGAACAGTGGAGTCCTCCCCTGTCATCGCTAACGTCATCTCGCTTGCTGGCACCTTGGCTAAGCAACCCGATGCCTCTGCCAGCTCTGCACAGCACGGTACACACTCACACAGACATTATGTTAATTACCCAGACTGTCCTCCTGTGGGAAATACTCACTTAAATAACTTTTAATTGTGAGAAATTAAGATGCTTCATATACTGACTCAGATTTCTCCACAGTGTCTCTCTGTGACATTCAGACGAAGGTTGTTGGACATGTAAGTTTACTCCTCATCCTCCACATACGCATCCATCAGAGGCCATACACTGTTATCATTGTTTGTCTGTCTGTCTCTTCAGGCCAGTGTTCAAACAGTCCCCAAGGAACTGAAGAACAAGTCCATGCTCTGCACACCGTTGGTCCATAACAAAGGCATCTCCTGTACGACACAGACTGTCAACACAGAAACACAGACTGGTAAAAAAAAAAAAAAACTTCCAGGACTCTTTTTAAATGCTCGGTGATCATCTTTAAGATGAATTAAGATCTTTGATGTTGTTGTCTTTTTTTCTGTTGTGTGCAGACAACTTCGAACCCAAAGTCGTAGTCCTGCCTCTCCCGGTGCCGGTGTACCTTCCTGTGCCTATGGGCATGTACAGCCAGTACACACCAAAGCCTGTGGGCCTTCCCTTACCGGTATTATGAAACACCTTTTATAAAAAAAAACACAAAATCTTTGTTTAAAAGAGATAAAATATCAGGCGTCTTTATGACCCACATTCTCAGTTTGAGTCAAGCCAGGAACCTCTGCCACAAGTCATTCCCAGTCTCTCCGCCCTACTTGGGTTCCTGTCACTTTATCCATTAAATATTAAATGTCCTATAACCAATGCATGTTGGTGTGGTTGGGATTAAGCAGCACAGCCTCCAGGTGCCACTATCAGATTTTACAGACTTTACCAAACTGTCCCTGCCGCAGCTTCCTGTGCCCGTGTTTCTTCCTGCGACGCCGGACGGCCCTGACCAAACCGTGGAACCCGTGAAGGAGAGGATTCAGCCCGTCTCCTTCGGTGAAGAGTTCGACTTCAAGTCTGAGATAAAGGAAACACAAGATGAGAACGACGAGACAAAAGAGGAAATTCACACACCAAAGGGTGAGATATTTGATAGAAACAGCTGCATCAAGAGAGCTGATTATGGAAACTGTTGCTCTTTATTCACTCTATATATTTGTCAGACGAGAGTTAAAGCTGATTTAGAGGTAAGGGTGCAGTGGTTTTACCTAAATATACAGCATGTTTTTAACAGTTTCTAATACAGATTTGCTCTGTTAGATGACTGCTGGGAAATCATGGAGGTCCTGTGAACTAAAAGTATTCTGTTTTCTCATATCTATTATTTGTAATAATGTTAGTTTGTGTAACATAATTGTGGCCAGGACTTTGTTGAAATTTAGATTTAGATGCCAAGAGACCAGCCAGGTTAAATAAAGGTAAAAAAATATGTAAAAACTTTTAGGTGAATGTGACAATTCCTCGTGATCTAGATAAACATATAAACTCTGCAGCTTCAAACTGGTTCAAACTTATCTTCATTATTTCCAGAGCACAGTAGTGATAGCTTCGATGTAGATCATCAGGCCACTATCAACAACCTGGAGGACTTCTTGTCTGACACCATCTTCGGGTCGCCCAGTCGAACACACACCCACGGAAAAGACGTGGGAATGACCAGTGAACTTCAACTTCCTCTGGAGATGAGAGAGGATCCTGAGAGCTCACTGAGTCCTGCACAGGTCCCTCCACTATTACAGCAAACTGTGGGGAAAGTCCACAACAAGAATAAGGTAACAAATCACCTGGGAAGTGAGTTTTAGTTTCATTTTTCCGTGGTGTAATCTTTGTCTGTTCTTTCTATCCAAGGGTCGTAAGCTGCAGCGGGTCTCCAAGGCAGCCGATGAGGAGACATCTCAGAGAGACTTTTCCAAGTCCACGTCTAGAAAGCAGCACAAGCTGAAGAGTCAGTGTGGGATTGACGCCTGGAAGAGATGGATACAGCTGAGGGAATCACAAACCGACCTGGACCTCGTTTCATGTAGGTTATTCTGTTTTTGTTCCTTTTTTTTACAGTAGTCTTTGTTGTTAACATCTAGAAAAACACTTAACAAATGCAGGTTTAAACAGATATTGTGCAATTTGCAAAACTCCTTTCGGTATTTGAAAGATAGAACGGTGAAACGAGGGAGTTGCAATCTGCATCTACACCAGTAGATGCCACTAAATATAACCCACTGGTTATTTAGAACACCTTTATATTAACTTGAATAGTGGTGGAACGATTCATCTAGCAACTAAATTATTTTAATATTCAGTTAATTAACATTTATTAAGGAAAAACAATCAAATCATTTATGATTCTAGCTCATGTGTGAAGACAAAACAAGCAATTTGTTGACTTTATTTTTATCTCTGGGACACTGACATTTTATCTGTTCAAAAAAGGCCATAAAAATTAAAATATAATCATTAAAAATAATATAATAACATTTAAGTCAGTAATAGAAATGAGTAAGTTGCAGCCCTGAACTGATTAAACATGAGGAATCAGATGACGCCGGGCTTTCAAAATGGCTGACACAATCCTTTAACACTCTCTCCATCAGCTCGCACTGCAACGTTTAGTGAAGATGTTCTTCGCTGCTCTGCGACCGAGCTGAGCGACGGCCTCTGCCGATTCATTACTGAGGTGAAAGGACCCGATGGAGCGCCGTACTCCCCCGACTACCTGTTCTACCTCTGTCTCAGCATACAACAGGTAAGATTAGCCTCACTGTGCACGGACACTTCATAGAATATATATGCACCATGTACCTGCTAATGAAACCCAACTGGATGTTTTATACTATTTTATAAAGAGACTATTAGACTACAAGACACTATCAAGTTTATTGACACGAGGAAACTGAGATACAGTGGGTTCAACATACTACAAGGAGTTTTTAACTGGTTATGAACTTAATTTAATACTATATGACCTACATAAGCAAGAAATTTGGGTATTTCTATTTAGTTATTCTTGTCAGGAAGGTCGGATTTGATCGGATTCCCCTTAAAATCAATGAAACGAGTCGGTGGAAACACGGGTCGTCAAAATCAACACAAAATGAAAGTTCCTTATTCCCACTTTAACGAGGTATAAGTAGGCTCGACAAGTAATTGGAGGTCTTATTTAGGGGTGATGTTGTTTCTGATTCCTAAGTTAACTTCATTTTTATATATTATTAATTCATCTTTTTGTTAATTTTTTGTTTACAACATTATGCAGCAGTCAGTAAATGGAAGAAACTAAATAATTAACAAAAAACTCTGAGTTGTAGTTTTTTCTTAATTTCATCTCCCTCTGCTGAGGAATTCATACGCACAAACAAACATTAATTATCTTCTTCACACAGTTCTTGTTGTTTAGTCTGTTGTTTTGTTGTTTCTCTGTAGTACCTGTTTGATAACGACCGTATGGAGAACATATTCAGTGACCGGATCTACAGCAGGTTCTCCACTCGGTTCACCAAGATCCTGAAAGCTTTCAAACCCTCTGTCACAGCCAGCGGTGAGTCACTGTGTCTTTTTCTTTCTGTCTCCGATCAGATCGATCAGATCTATAACCGGTGCCTCTCTCTGCAGGTCGCATCCAGTCCAGTGTGGAGGAGGAGTTTCTGTGGGACTGTAAACAGTTGGGGGCGTACTCCCCCATCGTCCTCCTCAACACTCTGCTCTTCTTCTGCTGCAAGTTCTTCGGGTTCACCACGGTGGAGCAGCACCGCCAGCTGTCCTTCGCCCACGTCACGCAGTGCACCAAAACCAACCCGGACGGCACCGAGACCGCCTTCCTGCGGTTCTACCGTCCAATATCCAGAAACGACGCGGAGTCAGGTACCAATAAAGCTGAGGCCTGATTTTACATTTAACGTCTTCTTAGACTGTGTAAAAATCACTGGTGTGTGTGTGTGCGTGCGTGTGTGTGTGCGTGTGTGTCAGATGCAGACGGCGTCCCGGCTAAGAAGTGTAAGAAACATGAGAGTAAAGAAGATATCCTGGAGATGATGGAGAACACAGAGAATCCTCTCCGCTGTCCAGTCAGACTCTACGAGTTCTACCTCTCTAAGTGGTTTGTAGCTTTAATTTCTTTCTTTTCTTTGACTTTTTATTTACTATATTTCATTTTTTTTCTGTCCTCCCTTCTGCTGATATGATGTTATGGTTTTAGATATGATCAGTCATTCTTGTTTACAGCTTTGGTTACACTACACGACTTTTAAAATCCGATTTGTCTTGAAGTTGTGATTTATAGACTATGTGACTGATCAACGACGAGTAATCCTCAAATCTGTCTTGTCTCCAAGCTACGTCTGACTACGTTTTATTTTCTGTTGTCTGTCTTTAGTAACTTCGTGTCTTGTACTATTATCAATAGTTTTAATTATTTATTAAACAAGTCCAGGTAAACGCCACCATGTTAAGGGACTTTATGTGGACATTATCAGTCTCAAAGTTGTATTACAGCTCACCGAGTTTATCTAGGAAGACAATAAACACATTAAGTACACATAAAAACACAATATACTGTAACTTACTGATTAACTTTTATATTATTCAAACAGTGAACAAGATGAGTTTCTCTTTTAACTTCAGACAGTTTACGGCTCGATTCCTGCTCGTCATGGAAACACCTGATTATTTAGAGACTAGTTTTCCAGCCCTAGAAACACCTGGATATTGATTAAAATGACCAAATATTGTGGAAATAATCTATGTTATCCTGGAAATGTTTTGTATTTTAGCCCCTCACTCAGATTACATAAACATGGGTGTGTATTTTGTTTGAAACTCGACTGTTTGGAGTAAAAACTGTATGACACCTTTAAAGCAGGTTAACAGATGTTTAGTCTAATTTCTGTGAGCAAAACTGTTACATCTCCATCTAATGGTTGATAAATACATGCACAGTGATGTTATTGTAAGTGCAACGATCACTTTCACTTTCTAGAAGATGAATGTTCTGTAAAACTGTTACTGTACCTGATGGCCAAATGAATGTCAATTTGTCTAAAATTTCAGTTTATACGACCGTTTGAGAGCAAGTTAACTTAAAACTTAAAAGTCCTGGAAAAAGTTTTTTCTGTTCTTTATTTTCTGTTTTCTGTCCGTCCATCCAGCTCGGAGTCGGTAACGCAGCGCACCGACTTGTTCTACCTTCAACCAGATCGCTCTTGCGTTCCCAACAGTCCTCTGTGGTTCTCCTCCACGCCTCTGGACAGCGGCACAATGGAGGCCATGCTTGTTCGAACCCTCGCCGTTGGAGAGCTTCAGTGGGAATACAGACGAGGCGTGGACCAACAGACTGCAGATGACTCAACATTTATACCTGATGAGGAGGACTCACAATGATGAAGTCCAGTTATTTCATTTTAGATTCAAGCTGCATTTAAAAATCTGTAAAGTGGATTTATTTGGATAAGTCCCACATATAGTTATAATATATGCTTTGTCTTAATAGAAGTTCATTAACAGTCGAATCAAGATGTTTTTTTTTTATTTGATCAAACTAACAGACTTCAGATAGACATTCTATATTAACGGACTAATCCTGCTTTGAATTATGGGTAAAGTAAGACTTTAAACTGAAAAACGTGAATGAGCAGCTGCATCAAACAGCAGCAAATTCAGCAAAGAGTGTTAACCATGTTTTACCAGTTTTACAGACGCCCTGAATAATTTTTATTTTATTTTATTTTATTTAAACTTTTACTGTTAAACCATTCTTTTAAACTCATCCTTTCAGGGCGTTTCTGTAAAGCGGACTCTAATTTGCATTAAACTAATCTAAGAATAAGATGAAGACTGATCTAACACACAACATACCACCAGTGTGAAACCGGCCCCTGATGTGTTTTCAAGTTTAAAGGAGAAAAAGAAACTTATGAAGAGGAAAGAAAAAAACTTGTTGATTTAATGTTTGTCAAACCTTTGTTTTGTGTTTGTGTCCATTGAGTTGTGAGAGTTGAGATTGAGTTATTTTTTACTTTTTATTAATAAAATTATTTAAAAATAATCCTTGTCCTACCTTACTTTCTTACTATGGGTATCTTCAAAATGTAAAAAGACCAAGAAATACTATCATAGACTTTACACTAAGAATTACTTACTTTGTGGTTTAATCCACTGGTTCCCAACCTTTTTCTATCATTTATATAAACTGATTTAGTTACATATTTTATGAATATTTCATATTATATGAAAAAAATTACCAGGAAGTGAAACAAGGGTATTAGATTATTTCCTAAATTTATACAATCTTTGCCTGTATTTTATATATTTTTTAACAAACAGACTTAATAGGCTTCTATTTTTTTTGACAAATTCTGTGTTTTCTTGTGCTTGACACTTTATTATTGTTCTATTATGACTATGACTTTTCTTCACAGAAGTGAACCAGATGCAGAGATATCGGCTTACTGGTTTATTAGTGTGCCTTAAACTCAAGAAAGCCTCGTGACCCCCTCGGGTTGGGAACCACCGGTAATATTTGTGTTATTAAAGACATTTCAGAAATGGTGACTCAATTAGTGTCTGTAGTACACTTTTTTCTAACTTACGTTGTTTAATGTACAGATGTTTCATATTGCAGTTATGAGTTGAGTTATTCTGTAATCCATATTGTACCGTGAGTTAAAGATAACGTTGTTGATGACATTTATTTTATTGGGGAGGAATGTGACACGTGTAAACAATTAATTTATATGTATGTTAATTTAAACTTGAAAATCATTAAGGCCTGGCCCTCATTTACAGTGACGCTGAGTAACATTTTAACATGATATATATATATGTATGTAAAAATATATATATATATATATATATATATATATGAGAATATATATATATATATATATATATATATATATAATAAATTTGTCTTCATATATGAAGACTAATTAATTAAAACACTATTAAACCATGGTGAATGGAGTGAATACTCGATTCTGATTGGATGCTGGGTGTCCATTAGTTCCTGATGTACTAAGTAGATCCAGTAAAACTTAAAAATAAATAATACATTTATTAAATAAATTGAATGAAAACTAAATTTATCTAAATATCTAATTAATATATCTCAACACTGAGTTTAGTCCTACAGTGGCTCATCCTCCACATTACATCGCTTACACAAAATATACAAGATAAAAGACAAAGGGGATTAAAACTATAAAAACAATCCATACAAGATAAAAACAATTAAAGTAAAAAATAGAACTAAGAGAGGTTGAATATAATAATTTAAATTCACCAATAAAGGCTACAAGAGTATTGATCCTGAGGGTGTTTTGTGGGAGCATAAAAACTAAAAGCAGATCTTTGGAGCTCGGTACGAACTGGAGGAACTCGCTGTCATTACATCGTGTTTGATCAGGTCCAGAAGACCAATACAAGAGATGAAGGCTGGCAACTGTCCAATAAGTCACATAAATAAGCCTCTAAATCACATCTTTATAATGCATAACGGAGAGAAAAACAGCTTCAACAAGCCTTTTACCGACAAAATATAGTAAAGTTGTTCTGTTCCTGTCTGCATATAATGTTTGAATGTGAGTCTGTCATCTATCCAGATACCAAGGTGTTTATATTTTATTTAACATGTTGTTAAATATAACTGAATATAAATAACTGAATACACAGTATTTTATTATAAATAAAGCTGCAAATGAATGTTTGAGATTTCAAGCCCAGTAAAAAAAAACGTTTTTAAATATCAAGACTTAAATATGAAGGTTAAAAGTTCAGTTTTTGTCATTATTAAAACTTTAAAATACAAAAATACACATTTTAATTAATTTTTGTTATTATTATTATTAAAGTACAGGTGAAATGAAAAAATTTATTTCAACACTTTAAGATTGCATCCTCAGTCATATTTACATGTAACAATATACCAAAGAGTGAAGATTCGTTAGCTAGAAATAGCATGGCTGTCGTTAGCTCGTTAGCCAACTTAGCCCCGGGGTTGCAGAAGCCAAAACCGGCAATAAAAACACCTCAGTACTTTATTCCCTGTGGTCAAGTTGTCCGCCATCGGCATCAGATGCTGCAGTAGTTGCCAGTCCAGCAGAGTCAGCTAATGGGTCCACTACAGCTGCTGGACCGGGTCCACTGTGAGGTGAGGACTCAGCTTCATCAGCTTCATCACTGACAGCTGTGATCGAAGCTGGTGCTGGATCAACCAGATGAGTCTCACTTTGAGTTTCCACCACTCCTTTAATCTTTCTAAGAGCAGCAGTCACTCTGAGCCTCTTTTCATGATGCAGACGAATCTGCATCATGAGCCAGTTCCACATCAGCTTCATGAACGAGTCCACTTCTGTCTGAACCTCCATCCTAACATTCAATCGGTGTCCCTGGTTCAGATGATGAATCATCGTCCTGTTCAGCTGCTCAATCATTTTCTGACTGCTGCTGGTAAAGTTTGCCACCATTCTAGAGGACTCATCATCCGTGCTGACTTTGCCTTTCTCCGGTGGGTCAGATACGAATCTAAGGAGTGACTCCTTGGCGAATTCAACTTATTCCCCACCCTTTTCCATAAGGACTCGTCCTCTGGTTCAGGTGGGGTGTTGACGATGAGGATTTCCTCCATTATTGCCCTCACAATGTCAGAAGCTGCTTCCTCTGTATCCGTGGAGGTGCTGGATACCAACAACTTCTCATCTTTCTCCGACATGTTGATTTTACAATCGACAATCTGATTGATTTCAGCCGCCTGTTGACTCAGGACGGTCTTGACGGCTGCAGTAGTTTCATCAACTACGCCTTTTACTGTCAAAACGTTACCCCTATCAACAGCTTCAGCATCATCTACTGGTTCATCCTCTTCATCCTCTTTTTCTACTTCATGCTCTTCGTCCTCTATAAAAGGAAGTATGGGGTTCTGTCATGATTTCCTAGTTTCAGCCAGCTCAGTTTTCTGCTTCCTTCTTCAGACCTTTCTTGGACTTCTGACTTTTTGGTTTTTAAGGTGAAAATGTTTCTACCACATGGTGGATGATTACCTTCACTTTCCAGGTGACTGATTGGGAGACAGTCTTCTGATACAATAGAAGGTGTTGTACGAATGTGTGTGGAACTCAAGTCACCCCTCCGTTGTAGGCTTTGTTTAAAAAGCGTCTTACATGTGTATAGTTTTAGTGTTAACACATATTTCTGTGATTATATTCTCCGTTTCCCTGTTAAGGGATCCGGATTCCAGTTCGGTCCACTGTAATGATGTCAGTCGGTCCGGGAACATCTGGACGAGCGGGCGAAGGGTCTCCGTTGTGGACATTGGGACGGCCGGATCCACGTCTTTTGTGTTAGTTGTATTCATGGTTTGAACAAAATTACTTGGTTAGACCGACTTCTAAATGTCAACATCGGACAATGTACAAATGGTGAAAACAAACATATAAATACATTAAATAGTACTTTAATACAAAAAAGAAAAAAGCGACACATCATTTTAAAGATAACTTTACAGAGTGCATCTTCGGTTATACTGTACCTCTATTTAACAATGTGTGCCAAGAAATTAACAAAAACTAAATTTATTTTGTATTTTTATATCAAAATCTGATCATTTTGTCTTCTTGTGAAACAAAATGTGAGGCATGCTTATGTAAACATAAACTACGCAATTTCAACCATTAATATGACCGTAACCCCTCAATCAATCTTCACTTGTATCGACACAGAGTGAAGATTCGTTAGATAGAAACAGCATCGCTAGCAAACGTAGAGGACTGTTTCTGGGGACCTCACTGTTTATTGTACAAACACAACTTTATCAGTGATTTTGGGTGAAACTGGATCATATTTAATGGAGAAAATATTGTCTGGTTTTCCCTCTGACGTCCTCCAGCTGCTCTGACTCGACTCCACTTACTGCTAATGTAGCTGCCGTTAAACAGCATCCAGTGAACACAACCTCAGCGGTACCGAGGTGACTTACGGAGTGATGCTGTTGTAACAAGTGTAACGTTAGATGCCGTTAGCAAGTCAGCTTGTGACCCTGACCCTAACTGCAAGAATTTTGTGTAAAACAAGTGATTTTGGATTTATTTTGAGCCGATTATTTCCTGTTTAGGGAACATTATACAATTCTTTGTCTGTGTATTGTATTTTTTAAAATAATTTTTAACAAGCATACAAATTCATTGTTTTCTTGTTGCTGGCACTTAGCCATTGTTTTATTAGACAATTTAAATTTACTTTTCTTCAGAGAAGTGGACCAAATACTGGGATATAGGCCTGCTGTGTGTATTTTTGTACCTTTCCTAGCACGCCTTAAAATCAAGAAGGCCTACTACCCCTCACGAAGCTTTGCCGACCCCTGGTGGGGGGTCCCAGCCCCATGGTTGCCATTGACTGTATATATAATGGACAGAGCTTCCGGGTCTAAAACATTAGAGTCTTAAACCTGCATTCTCTGTAAAGGCCAGCAGGTGGCAGCAATGACGCACCAATCCCATTCACTTTAATGGAGAATGAGCTGACTTGAGACTTCCTTTATGAGCTCAGTAAAAAGTTTCCTGGTGAGTTTAGGGTCTCAGTCGCTAGTTTAACATTTTCTTCAATACATTATGATGTTCATTTAGTAAATTATAGTCTAATTTAACTTAGAATAGACAATAAAGCCGTGTGTGCTTTTGGGCGGGGCTACCTTTTGATTGACAGGTTGCTCTCAGCTGCTCTGAGATTATCTCTGTCTATGAAGCACGTTTGCTATTGTGAAGGTCTAAAACGAATTACTTAGTGCCGACTAGCCTAGATGATCCAATTTTACTCGGCTAGTAGTTGAGAGCATGAGAAAGGGAAAAAATAGTTCAAGAGTCTGCCTAACACAATCTTGAGACGTAACCAGGCTGTCTTATTTTGTATAGGGACGGATAACAATGAACAGAAAGGGACCAAAAGGACCAAGTAACACAATAATTTCCTTTATTAGTTTATGGACCCCCTCATAAATCCTTGCCCACCCTGTGGCTACACCTTGTATAAAAATATAGGTCCACCTCTGCTTCCCACTGACCCATTAAGTCCAGACCGAGGTGGATTCTTTTATGAAACTCATGTGGGAATGGCTGAACAAGCAGGCCCAGCAGCATGAAAGGAGGTCTGACCACGTGAGCATGGCAATGAAGAGAATTAAAGGAGTTCTGGTCAAGATGCCAACACTCACAGACGGGCTGACAGGACAGGAAAGCGACACTTTAACACAGGTAGCTGAAGATAAAGCAGCTTCCATCACTGATGAACCAGCTATCAGTGATGAAGCTGCTGACAGTGATGAAGCTGATGACAGTTTGATTCAGGTGGTTGAAGCAGAGCCAGCTTCAAGGATTGATGAACCAGCTGTTAGTAAAGCTGGTGAAGCTGCGAATGAGGCCACAGCACGCCCTGTCCAAGAGTGGGACGAAGTCCGCTGCTGTCTTCTGGTGGCTAAGCTTGTAAACCACATTATGAAAAAACCCGTTCAGACAAATTACCAGAGTAGACCGTCTGGTGATTTCATCAAATCTCTGAAAGAGATGCTCTGGGCGGAGACTGCCGGCTGTGAAGTGGTCAACCCAAGCAAACGCCAAATGCGAAAGACAGTGATGGCTGTGCACAAGGACTTGTGCAAGAATATTGGCAGCGCAGGGATCGTCCGAACGGGCCTGCTGTCACAGGACACAGTGGTCTACAAACTTATAATTGAGACCCTAAAAAAACATCTGGTGACACCAAAGAAATCCTGCGTTAAGAGATTTTTCATGTGTCTTTTCAAGACCATGGCCAAGCCATTTACTACCTGCTGCAAATGTAACAGCAAAGAGTAACCATCCGCAGTCTAAAGGGCGGGTTGGTGGGACAGACCCTTTTCACAGCAGACACTTTCTCATGGCAGAACAAACACATCTAACTCACAACATTACAGTTAGGTGAGCTATTTCCAGGCTTCTGCTATGACAAGTCTCAGTGTCTGTTGTGGAAAGGGTCTTGTGGGACCTGAAGTCCTACTTCATGTCCAGGTTGAAAACTCTGTGCTACCAGCCTCAGTTCGACTGGTAGCACAGCGTTCAACCTGAATATGAAGTAGGACTTCAGGTCTTACAGGGCCACACAGGTGCCTCAGTGTTCAACACTGTGGATTCGCAGCAACAAGGTGAGGGTTCAGTTGTGAGCCTTGACCTTCTTGCTGTGGAGAGTACAGAGTGCTCACTGTGCTGGCGTTGGGTTTTCTCAGAGTGCTTCGGTTTCGTCACAGATTTAAAAAAATGTATAAAATAAAATTAGATAAGTTATATTTCAGTTTTAAACTATTTTATTTCTTATTATTTGCTACATAACTCTCATTATGTGACTCACTCTAAAGTTCTGCTGGTTTAAATATAACTGTGATCACACCAATTAAAAAAAAAAAATCATATCCTCATATAGACATCAAAGGTAAACAAATAGAAATGTATATCTCAGAGAATCAGCATCTCAGAGTGTGTTTAAGCTCTGATTGCAAATAATCTTGGACAGTTTCGGATCTTGAAAAATGAACCTTCATTGTCCCAAAGGACCACACTTATCCTTTCACAAGGTAACACATTAAAACATCTCCCTGTACCAGAATGTTACTTTGGGTTGAGTATCAAAATCAATCAAAATAATAAAATCTGTTTTAAATGTATTTCTAAAATACATTTTATTGGCTGCATAGCTGTAGATGTGTAACTCAAACTAAAGTTCTGCTGGTTCAAAGATAACTCCAGGTTCTTATAACTGGGATCATGATAATGGGGTGTGAAATAAACAAAACAGATAGAGGATTGTCAGTGCTGTACAATCTGTATTTGAAAGACAGAATAAAATAAAATGAAGTTTTAGGAATGAAGAGGTAAAGAGTTTGTTGGCAGCAGTAAATTAGTAATGTTAGCTACCTCTGTCCAAGGTGCTGAATCTTTCCTAGTGCTTTATGATGCTGCTGTCCAAGGTCCTGATCTTTGGTCTCAACCTCTGGAGTTGTTTTATATCACTATGAATTGACTATATTTGGGTTTTAGCCTGTTAATCAGATAAACAAGCATATTACCTTGGACTCTGGAAACTCGTGGTGGACATTTTTCAGCGACACTGGGATCCCAGGTCAAACAATAAAGCAAACACAGACATATGGCCTTTTTAATATGTTATTATGTTGCTAACAAGGCATTTATATGTGGTTTATGCTGCTGTTTAGTTTCAATAAACTCTAATTTATTTAAACATTTTATTATTCTTCCATCTACTAAAGCAAACAGTTTTTATTGTATTTATGAACCGTAGATGTTGGATTGGAGATAAAACTTGTTGTAAATAAATGTTTGAGAGCTTTAGTTACTAGTTACTTTACAACAGGAGAGTTTATATCATATAAAGATACAGAGACTTTATAAAATATTGTGTTTTATTTTTAATGTAACTACCCAACAGTATACAAGTACAGCAGAAATGATTAGTCGATTAACAGAAAATAAACTGGTGATAAAGGTTTAAGTCATTTTTCATGTAAAAACATTGAATTGTGAAAATAACCATATATATGGACAGTAATTAATATAATAATATGATATATACAGTTAGAAATAAGCTCCACCTCAACAAACTATGTCAGTAAAAAGCTGCTTTTTCATTAATACATGAGTAACTATAGTCTGATGATATAATATATAATAGTATTGTTGGGCACATTAAACAAACTGCATTTTAATATTTTCCTTATTTATTCATTTATTTTAACATTACATATATAAAAATAAAACTGCTCCAAATTCTGTATCCTGTACTGAGATTGTTTAACAGGCTGAGACTTTATTTAAACTACATTTCAGACACAGTGAAGAGTAAAATGTCCAGTTTCTGCTGGTTTCTCACAAATACTTCTGTAAGCATATTTGCAGGATTGATCAAACCAACATTTCAGATCAGGAGCTCCTGCTTTCTTTCCCATCCTCACACAGTCCGCTCCATCAGAATCTCTCCCTGTCCAGTTATCTGGCTCACCGGGGAACCAAAATGTCAGACTAAGAGTTAGAGAACAGAAAGAAAATGGTTCAATAAAACTGATAACTTTGATTTTCGAAACTGACAAAAAATATCTTTATACCAGTCAAACCTCTCGTTCAGTGATGAGCCGTCTACCCACAACCATGTTCCCTCTTTCTCTGAGTCTGTCAGTCCGATCCAGAACACGACCCATTCAAAGTTATTTTTTTCTCTCAGTTTTAGCTCCAGGAATGTCTGGACAGGAAATGTTGATGAAGAACATAATATGTAACATGACTTTTCTGTGCTGAGAGACCATGTTAACTAATATGGAAACACAAGGATGTGATAAAACAAATGAGAATAAAGCCAGTGAGCTACATTAACCTGCAGCAGTGTGTTTTACCTGCTCCTCTCTGCTGTCTATCTGAACCAGATCTCCTCCTTTCTGTCGGCATTCATCTCTGCTCTTACTCCAGGTTAAAAGATCGATGGAGAAATAATAACACTGTCTTCCATACTGCTCCCAGCCATGTTCACATTTTGAACGCGGGTCATCTTTGAAGAGATCACAGCAAAGACTTGAGTCAGGTGAAACAGATCACTGTTTATATTTGTGTGATTTGGAAGCAGCAGGAACTTTGAGATGAACAAGTTTGAATCTGAGAGCAGCTGAGACAATCAGACAGAGGCAACAGTTTTCTACTTCACAGGTATATATACTGCCAATCTGACTTCTTGTATCTGTCACTACATTACTGGTTCTTTAATCATCATCAGAGGATGCAAACATGGAAGAAAGACAAAATCCATCACTTACTTTCTTTTACTACAGGAGGTTGTGGGCTGGTTTGCTGCACCGTGTTGTATGATTTTACTTCACAGCGTCTCTCTGTTATAAAAACAATTTCACTTTCATCAGGATCGTCTCTTATTTATGAACCTGAACCTGAAACTCTTTCACAGTACAGTCAGTTGATAATTAACAGATCAATATCAGGGGCCACCTGTCAGAACTGAAAACAATCCAGTTTAACACAAAATGAGACTTGCAGAGACTTGTGGACTAAATCTTTAAGATAGTTTCAAACACAATCTGAGATGTGAGATGTCACATTTTAAAAGGATCTTGCAGTGTTGCAAAATGTAGGTTAAAGTAGACTTTTAACTTGTAGACTGAACCTTTTCAGACAGTTTATAAACCTGACTGGATTACCTGTGAGATTTCTTTTCACAGCTTCAAGTTCGTCTCTCAGAGTCTGGAAACTTTGCTTGGTGTGCATGTTATCAAGAGCTGATTAAAAAAAGAAAGCACAGGTCAAACACTGCATTGGTAAATCATCAGTGTTTGATAATAAATGTGTTTATTACAGAAACATGAACTAATTAAAATAAAGTTTGGGTTCCAAAAATTAAACTGATTTTTCATTTTAACTTGTTCCAATGTAAAATCTCTCTGCAATGTAAAAACTCCAACTTATATTGTTTGGCCTAAATTATCAGCATTCAAAGTAAAAGTTGAAGATGTGTTGTGAAGAAGTTGTGATTTATTAAAAAATTAAGTGACAAAGTTCTGTTAACTTGTGTTCTTTAGTCGGTGAATTAAGAAAAACTAAATCTCACTACATGTTTACTTCATCATTTGCACTTTAAAATCTCAATAATTATATGAAATAAACATTTTCTGTTATCAATAACTGTAATTAAAAGTTTGTCAATTTCAAGTTTTAAGTGTTAACTCATAATCATGAGTTCAGTTCAATAAATGTCCAATCAATTGATCACTTAACTCATAATATTAAATAGTTTGAAACATTATTTGCAAACGCTTCCCAGCATGCATTGCTTTAAGGCTAAAATTAACCAGAAATCCTTTTTTATGTGAAAAAAGACACATGATGGAGGCTTTTATGTCTTTTTATACATTTGTCTCAGAGGAGTTTAAAATGAAAACATTGCCAGCCATGATGGACACTTCCTGCACCCTTTCAGTATAAGAGCCATTAATTTATGTGGTTAAACATAAACTCAGTATTTACTGTAACTGTCAGTAACACAGGAGGAGTTGTTACTGGGGATAAAACTAAAGTAAAGTCAATATACATCAATCTACATGACAAACTTACAGAGACGGCAAATAACAATGACAGCAGCTGCCAGGAGAGCGCTGACAACCAGCAGGGCCACTCTCTCTGATCTGACCTTTGACCCTCCATTTGACCCTGAGCGTTGTTGGGAGGCTGGAGCTTCACCTGTTCAACAGGTAGAAGAGACACAGATGGAAAATAGATGTGTGCAGAGGGTGGACACAATAACATGAACACCCATACAGCTGTTCCAAAAGCCGAGAAATGAGTCAAATAAAATACTGCCCTATTAGTTTCTAAAAGTTAAAATTAAAGTTTGTCAACTGCTTAAAGACAATTTCTGTATCACTGTTGCAGTTCTCAAAACATTAAGAGCAGCAAGTATCACACCATTTTATTAAGTGCAGCACAACACATCACTCAACACATGACACGTGTGTCAGCAGCCTGTTAGCTTAGCTTAGCATAAAGACTGGAAACAGGGGGAAACTGCTAGCCTGGCTCTGTTTGAATGTATCAGCACATTTAAAACTCTCTAATTATCACTGTAACTACCTGGAGTCTCCACTGGTTGCCTGGCAACCTCATCCTGACAACAAGACTCCAGGAAGTTACTCCACAGGCCCAAGAACATGAACTTGTTTTATTTTTGTACATTTCATGGCCGCCTGCTTCTCTTGCTGCTCTGACTACTTTTCCACACTGTTGTTGGTCTCTGACAGTGCAGAGTGCTGCTGCTGCATTAGACCAACAGGAAACGTTGACACTTACTTTTCCTGTTGTCAATATGACAACATTGTTAAATATAAATCCATTAAAATAATACAACATATTATATATATTCTCTGGACTTTTTTCTCTTCTGAGTAAACCTCAGAATATTCTTGAACTGGTCGTTATTACAAGATAAAGTAAAGTGCAATAAAAACTGTTCTTAAGTACAGTACTTGAGTAAATGTACTTAGTTACATTCACTGGTTATTACCTTCTATGTAGCTCTGTGGACGGCTCATTGTGTCAGATTTCCAGATGCTGACTTCAGATTAAGTGCTGTCAGTCGATGAGGAAACTTTCTCTGTGACAAAAAGCACAAAATGCAGAAATAATTTGTGTCACTGTGGACATCAAGTTTCCCAGTTAGAACAAATAAAAACTGCTTTAGGAAGTATTTGGTATGTTTTAGAGAGGTTTCACACCCTTAGATAGATAGATAGATAGATAGATAGATAGATAGATAGATAGATAGATAGATAGATAGATAGATAGATAGAATAAACTGATACATAAAGCAACATATTTATCAAAAACTCACCAATTACTTTTCTTCCTGCTCTTTTCAGCCGTTTTATCTGAACATCAATGTACACCATCAACTTCTTCTGTTAGAAAGAACAACTTCCTTTTAGTCTCAAAGATGGGGAGGAGCCTTTATCTTGTGACGGCCCCTGTCCAATCTGCTACAATGCAGATGTGGAGGACAAGTTTCTGTTCTTCTTATCCATCCATTGTGTCTATTTGTGAATGAAGTATTTGGTACCTAAATGACCAACATTCAGATTATTTGTAGCCGAGGTTTTAGGTTGTAGTTTTCACTGGAGAATCTGATGAGTGTATGCGTAAAGTTTCCTGTTGGTCTAATGCAGCAGCAGCCCTCTGCACTGTCAGAGACCAACAACAGTGTGGAGAAGTAATCAGAACAGCAAGTGAAGCAGGAGGCCATGAAATGTTTCAAAAATAAAACCTTTACAGTTGGATGTTTTCTATTTAAAATCTCAAAGTTTCAAGACTTCTTTAAAACAATGAATAATAACCACTATAACTTGTAGAAGTACAGTATGCTACATCATTTGTCACTGTTTAACAACACATTGTTGATTAATTAAAGCTCAATAATTAACACATTATATCTTGTTTAGTGTAAAAATGAAACGCTGTGGTTTTACAGGGCGTTATGTCCCAGACTATTTATTGGGCCGGAGGAGTAACTTCCTGGAGTCTTGTTGTCAGCATGAGGTTGCCAGGCAACCAGTGGAGACTCCAGGTAGTTACAGTGATAATGAGTGACCATTAAAGGTGCTGATATGTGAATTATGTTACATTTGAACAGAGCTAGGCTAACTGTTCCCCCCTGTTTCCAGAAAAGTAATTTCTCAAACAAATCTTTCAGTTACAGATCTTACAAACTTTAAATATTTATTATCATCCCTTCCCCCCATCTGTGACTTCATTGTAAAACAGGAAACATTCAAACAAACCAATGAATAAAAAGTTTGACTGCGGTCAAGAAGATGTTTCATAAAGCCCTCCCCATGCTTCATTTTGCAGGAAGGATTTTTTAACAGTTAGCTGTGAACTTGAATTTAGTTTTCTTTCAGACTCACTGAGGGTCACAACAGTAAAATGTCTGAGGCTGATGGAATAGTGTACTCTGATGTTAAGTTCACAAGAGGGAAGAGAAACACCAGTGGTGAGTCTTAAATGAAATATCTATCTGTCATTTACTTCACTATTACATTTATAAGATTGTTATCAAAGATTTAAATACTCGTTTCTTTTATATAAAGATATATTTAAAATATATGAACGTTTAATGTCACACTTTATCAGTTATCTGCAGATATTTGCAGCTCTTTCATCAGCAGTTTGGTTTTGTGTTTTGTGTCGCAGGGACTGCTTCCTCAGAGGCTGAATCCACATACTCTGAAGTCAGGATCTTGAAGACTCATCCATCCACAGAGCTCCCTGGTGGGTAAAACACTGTTCAATAAACGAGAAGGTGAACTGTGACCTCCAGTCAGTGGTCATCATGAAACAAACCTGTCTCAGCATTTTTTACTTTATCCAGAATAAAAACGTTTATTCTTCAATGAGCTTTCTTCATCAGACTGCTGAGGGAGTGTTCTCTAGAAACATCAGACTATTAAAACACAGAAAGTTCAGAACAGCAAGATTTTATTTACAAAATTTACTTAATAAAATAATTGTTTGTTGGACAACAAAATATATTACAGTAAAGTATTATGGTTGAGTCATTAAGTGGCCTATTTACAAATCTCTACACACATACAGACACACACACACACACACACACACACACACACACACACACACACACACACACACACACACACACACACATACAGACAACACAGAAACCAACAAAACTGCCACAACACAAAATAAATATAGAGATTATTACTGTTATGTTGTTTATGGTCGTCTGTTATTTTAATATGTCACATATTCTGCCTCATAGCATAATAAATATAGATTTTACATGATGGAAAATGTGCATTTAAAAATACATCCACTGTTAAAAAAGGACTATTACATCATATAAGTTACATTTATAGCTCTCATCTAATAAAAGGTACAGAAACGGTCACTGCCTGCAACTTACAAATAGCATAAAGGGAAATATAATCTAAGTTTCATTATACAACCCTGTGTTGTAAATAACAACAAAATAACTTTGAATTGTTTGTAATAACTTTGACCTCAAATTAATAATATTCGAGATCAGTGCAGATGATGACCTTTATGTCCCTATACTGAAAAGATAGAGTGGAGAGACAGAAAGAGAAAGACCAAGAAAGAAAGAGAGAAAGAAAAAGGGTGGTGGATGCCTCGACTTATCTTCAATGTATGACTTTAACTTGCAGTATTTTTACAGTGTAGTATTATATTTGTACTCTAGTGAAGGAGCTGAATACTTCCTCCACTACTACATCTGGTTTGTCTGTATCTTCTGCTGGTCAACAGGTTCCCAACAACACCCAGTGTCAAATGGAGGGTCAAAGGTCACACCAGAGAGAGTGGTCATAGTAGTTCTCAGTGCTCTCCTGGCAGCTGCTGTCATCACTCTCGGCTTTACCTGTGAGTTTGTTCTTTTTAAAGTGAAATTCATCTGGATTGATTTGTAAAATCTCATCATTGAAACAGAATTAATGGATTTTAGACTTCTTTTAGAAAATCATCAGAAATCCATTTAGAAATGTCAAACTTTTTTAGAATCCAATTGTTATCTAGACATTAAAGAAACCCTCACTCTGAGTTAATATTGGATTTATTCTCTTCTGCAACCTGCTCATCATCAAACACCGACTAGTTTACAAACCGGTGTTTGACTCGACTGATGATGCGATATCGTCAGTAGACTTAAAAACAGGAAAAACTACAAAACCACTCCACTTTTTTTTTATACCAATTTCATCTCAAGCAATGTTTCTGCATTAAATAAACCTCTTCATTGTTTCATCATTCTTTATTATCAAGCACTGATGATAAAGTGTATTTATATATTTATTATAAGACATAATATTTTATAACTTCTATGTGTCTTTGTATGAAAAATCTTCTTTGTAAAGTAACTAGTAACTAAAACTCTGAAACATTTATTTATAAAAAGGTTCATCCTCGATCCAACATCTACCGTTAATAAATACAATAAAAACTGTTTTGTTTAGTAGATGGAAGAACAATAAAATGTTTGAATAAATTAGTTTTTATTGAAACTAACTAACTAACTAACTAACATAGTTCCAAATACAGAATAAAGAATTTAGATTATTGTTGATAATGTATTAAATGCTAGCCTTATCTGCATGCCCACCATGAGGTTTGCTGATTGAGGCAGTTTTGAAAATGACACCACAGAATATCAGATGGAGCAACGTCTGTGGCCTCAGTGTTACAGGATATGAACCATTTGTTTTTATCTAAATTAAAGTAAATAGAAACAGTTGTTCAAATATAACAAAAATGTGGTTTTGGGGAGCCAGACAGTTTGAGAGAGTTGAGATAACACCTCCTCCCCATCTTTGAGAGCAACAGGAAGTTTTAAAAGAAGCTGATGATCTACACTGATATCAGTTCAGATAAAACACAGAGCAGGCAGAAAAGTCACTGGTTGGTTTGAAATATGTTGCTCTATCTATCTATCTATCTATCTATCTATCTATCTATCTATCTATCTATCTATCTATCTATCTATCTATCTATCTATCTGAGAAAGTTTCCTCATCGACTGACAGCACTTAATCAGAAGTCCGCATCTTGAAATCTGACACAATGAGCCGTCCACAGAGCTACATAGACGGTAATAACCAGTGAATAAGATAAGGTAATATAAGATATACCTTTATTAATCCCCTGTAGGAGAAATTCAAAACTAACCAAGTACATTTCCTCAAGTACAATTTTTAGGTACTTTACTTTACTTGAGTATTTCTTTTATGCTACTTTCTTCTTCTGTCACTACATTTCAGAAGAAAATATTTTTATTGCACTATATTCATGTGACAGTTTTAGTTACGAGTTTCTTTGCAGATTCAGATTATTAATACAAAATATAAATAAACTAATAAATTCTGATGTATTGTTATAGATTAAGCTACTAATAAATATATAAAGTATTTAAAATGATCCCCATCTGTTCCTTTGTGATGTACATTAGTCAGCAATAATGAATCAATATTGGTAATAGAATAAAGACGTGTGTATATAAACTATATCACCTTACTCAAGAATTTGAGGAAGTATTCTATATTTTATTATAGTTTTTTGCCATGTTGACTTCCTGTTTCAATAAATTACGTCAAATTCGAAGTTAAGCTTTTTTGTGAGTTCATCACTTGTAAAAGATTCCAGTTTATTTAAATTTCGATGTACTTAGAGATACTTTAAAACTGTTTAATCTGTAAATAAACTGACACATCCATCTACTAAAAGATTCAGAGAAATGCCTTATTTTCACATTTCTTCGTTTAAGAGAATAAATGAGGAACTGATCAATGAGACAAGATATATTTAAAAATGTGGTCATTTTGTCAGACAGCAGGAAATATAAGTGTCAAGGTTTCCTGTTGGTCTAATGCAGCAGCAGCACTCTGCACTGTCAGAGACCAACAACAGTGTAAATCATTTTCATGTTTTCTATTTAAAATCTCAACGTTACAAGAAATCTATCTTCTATATCTATATCTAGATAAATCTATATCCATCTTGTAGAAGTACAGTATGCTACATACTTTGTCATTGTTTTACAACACATTGTTGATTAATTAAAGCTAAAAATTAACAGATTATATCTTGTTTAGTGCTAATGTCCTAATACATTCGAACAGAGCCAGGCTAGCAGTTTCCCCCTGTTTCCAGTCTTTATGCTAAGCTAAGCTAACAGTCTGCTGACACACGTGTCATGTGTTGAGTGATGTGTTGTGCTGCACTTAATAAAATGGTGTGATACTTGCTGCTCTTAATGTTTTGAGAACTGCAACAGTGATACAGAAAATGTCTTTAAGCAGTTGACAAACTTTAATTTTAACTTTTAGAAACTAATAGGGCAGTATTTTATTTGACTCATTTCTCAGCTTTTGGAACAGCTGTATGGGTGTTCATGTTATTGTGTCCACCCTCTGCACACATCTGTTTTCCATCTCTGTCTCTTCTACCTGTTGAACAGGTGAAGCTCCAGCCTCCCAACAACACTCAGGGTCAAATGGAGGGTCAAAGGTCAGATCAGAGAGAGTGGCCCTGCTGGTTGTCAGCGCTCTCCTGGCAGCTGCTGTCATTGTTATTTGCCGTCTCTGTAAGTTTGCTGGGAAGTATATGCAAATAATGTTTCAACTATTTAATTTGATGAGTTAAGTAATCAATTGATTGGACATTTATTGAACTGAACTCATGATTATGAGTGCACACTTAAAACTTGACATTGACAAACTTTTAATTACAGTTATTGATTAACAGTTATTACAGAAAATGTTTATTTCATATAATTATTGAGATTTTAAAGTGCAAATGATAAAGTAAACATGTAGTGAGATCGAGTTTTTCTTAATTCATCGACTAAAGAACACAAGTTAACAGAACTTTGTCACTTAATTTTTTAATAAATCGCAACTTCTTCACAACACATTTTTGTTTATCTAATTAAAAACACCCCAACTTTATCTTAATTAGGTCATATTTTTGCAATAAACACATTTATAATCAAACACTGATGATTTACCAATGGAGTGTTTGACCTGTGCTTTCTTTTTTTAATCAGCTCTTGATAACATGCACACCAAGCAAAGTTTCCAGACTCTGAGAGATGAACTTGAAGCTGTGAAAAGAAATCTCACAGGTAATCCAGTCAGGTTTAGAAACTGTCTAAAAGGTTCAGTCTACAAGTTAAAAGTCTACTTTAACCTACATTTTGCAACACTGCAAGATCCTTTTAAAATGTGACATCTCACATCTCAGATTGTGTTTGAAACTGTCTAAAAGATTTAGTCCACAAGTCTCTGCAAGTCTCATTTTGTGTTTAACTGGATTGTTTTCAGTTCTGACAGGTGGCCCCTGATATTGATCTGTTAATTATCAACTGACTGTACTGTGAAAGAGTTTCAGGTTCAGATTCATAAATAAGAGACGATCCTGATGAAAGTAAAATTGTTTTTATAACAGAGAGATGCTGTGAAGTAAAATCATACAACACGGTGCAGAAAACCAGCCCACAACCTCCTGTAGTAAAAGAAAGTAAGTGATGGATTTTGCCTTTCTTCCATGTTTGCATCCTCTGATGATGATTAAAGAACCGGTGATGTATTGACAGATACAAGAAGTCAGATTGGCAGTATATATACCTGTGAAGTAGAAAACTGTTGACTCTGTCTGATTGTCTCAGCTGCTCTCAGATTCAAACTCGTTCATCTCAAAGTTCCTGCTGCTTCCAAATCACACAAATATAAACAGTGATCTGTTTCACCTGACTCAAGTTTTTACTGTGATCTCTTCAAAGATGACTCATGTCCAAAATGTGAATATGGCTGGGAGCAGCATGGAAGACAGTGTTATTATTTCTCCATCGATCCTTTAACCTGGAGTGAGAGCAGATATGAATGCAGACAGAAAGGAGGAGATCTGGTTCAGATAGACAGCAGAGAGGAGCAGGTAAAACACACTGCTGCAGGTTCATGTAGCTCACTGGCTTTATTCTCATTTGTTTTATCACATCCTTGTGTTTCCACATTAGTTAACATGGTCTCTCAGCACAGAAAAGTCATGTTACATATTCTGTTTTTCAACAACATTTCCTGTCCAGACATTCCTGGAGCCGAAACTGAGAGAAAAAATGAACTTTAATGAGGACAAGTTCTGGATTGGACTGACAGACTCAGAGAAAGAGGGCACATGGTTGTGGGTAGACGGCTCACCACTGAACGAGAGGTTTGACTGTTATAAATATATTTTTTGTCAGTTTCGAAAATCAAAGTTATCAGTTTTATTGAACCATTTTCTTTCTGTTCTCTAACTCTTAGTTTGACATTTTGGAGCAGCACTGAACCAAATAACTGGACAGGGTACGACCCTGATGGAGAGGACTGTGTGAGGATGGGAAAGAAAGCAGGAGCTCCTGATCGGAAATGTTGGTTTGATGAATCCTGCAAATGTACTCGCAGAAGTATTTGTGAGAAACCAGCAGAAACTGGACATTTTACTCTTCAGTGTGTCTGAAATGTAGTTTAATTGAAGTCTCAGCCTGTTAAACAATCTCAGTACAGGATACAGAATTTGGAGCAGTTTTATGTTTATATATGTAATGTTAAAATAAATGAATAAATAAGGAAAATATTAAAATGCAGTTTGTTTAATGTGCCCAACAATACTATTATATATTTTATCATCAGACTATAGTTACTCATGTATTAATGGAAAAGCAGCTTTTTACTGTCATAGTTTGTTGAAGTGGAGCTTATTTCTAACTGTTATATATCATATTATTATATTAGTTGCTGTCCATATATATGATTATTTTCACAATTCAATGTTTTTACATGAAAAATTACTTAAACCATTATCACCAGTTTATTTTCTATTAATCGACATTTTAAATTACATTTATAATAAAACATAATATTTTATAAAGTCTCTGTATCTTTGTATGATATAAACTCTCCTTTTGTAAAGTAACTAGTAACTAAAGCTCCAAAACATTTATTTACAACAAGTTTTATCTCCAATCCAACATCTACGGTTTATAAATACAATAAAAACTGTTTCCATCTACTGCTTTAGTAGATGGAAGAATAATAAAATGTTTGAATAAATTAGTGTTTATTGAAATTCAACAGCAGTGTATTTATGTCAGTTTTGTTTTTGTTTCCATTCTAGGTTACTACAATCTATATTTATCTTCTGATCTTTATATTTTTCCTGTTTTATTGACAGTGTCATTTTAAATTGTTTGTTTTTATAATAATAAAAACCCCAAAAATATGCACTAATGAACATGAAATGAAAGTCCAACTGTGTTGTGTTCACAAACAGAGGAATTGGATATGGATGTTTCTGCTGTCCACTGTTACTGTCGGTAGCTACGCCTCCTGACCAGTAGGTGTCTCTGTGGGACTGTGTACAGAGTGGAAGAGGACTGCAGAATGAGGGACAGAGAAGTAGAGAGGAACAGGTGGAGAAGTACAGCGGCTGCAGGTGAAACGTGGATGCTATCAGTGTTAGCAGTTGCTAAATAAAGCCCTCAAATGTTCGCTGTGTCCAGTGTTTGACTCAACAACGTAACAAACTGCTGTGTCACTTATTTCTTCAAACTGAAGAACAGATGGAGCAACGTCTGTGGCCTCAGTGTTACAGAATATGAACCATTTGTCTTTATAGAAACTAAAGGAAATGGAAACAATTATTCAAACATAAAAAATGTGACTTTGGGGAACTAGACTTTTTAAGATTGTCATAACTCGGCTCCAAGGCCATGGATCATGTATTTATTAATAAGTGCACATCTGAGGTGTGTTTATCAGTAACATCAGGGCTGTAGATGTGAGTGTGTGAGCAGTATGAGATGTAGATGTTATAAAGTGGGACAATAATCAACTTTTCCACACGCTAAAGGACCAGACAGACACAAAGCCGTTCACCTGTGCGCACAGAGTAATAATCCTCAACCCGGCTAACTAACCTCCCCCTAGTCTTCATATAGCTAGTTGTGGTGGAAGTTTACGCACAAGCTCCCAAGCAAAGCTTCAGCCACGTTCAACACTACAACACTACACAAAAACAGCTCAATGAACCCAAAGGGGGACGTTGCTACAACCTACAAGTGAAAACTCCACACCACTTCACAAAACAATAAATCTCTCCAAGAAAGAAACTAAGAAACTCTATAAAGCCGTGTAAAAGAAAATAGTTAACTGAGCCTACAAAGTCATCCTCAAACACGTGTCCTTTCATCTAATCCAACACTTGCTCACACACGAACAAACAAAAGTTTACCGGCCTGCACCTGCACAGGTAAATCAGAGAATAAGGATCCATACCTCCCGACAAACTTTACACATACGCACATCAGATTCTCCAGTGAAAACTACACACTAGGAAAACCCCACAAAACCTAGGCTACGAATAATCTGAATGTTAGTCATGTCGGTACCAAATACGTCATTCACAAATAGACACAATGGATGGATAATTAATCTGAAGTCAGCATCTGGAAATCTGACAAAATGAGCCGTTCACAGGACTACATAGAAGGTAATAACCAGTGAATGCAACTAAGTACATTTACTCAAGTACTGTACTTAAAGACAGTTTTTATGGCACTTTACTTTATCTCGTAATGACGACCAGTTCTAGAATATTTTAAGGTTTACTCAGAAGAGAAGAAAGTCAAGAGAATAAAAGAGGAACTGATCATGAAGGAGAAATATAAAAACACACACATACATAGACTACTGGTCAAAAGTTTTAGGAGACGCCAATTCTTCCAGTTTTTTATTGAACAGTTCAAGTCCAATGAATAGCTTGCAATGGTAAAAAGGTAAGTGGTGAACTGCCAGAGGTTAAAAAAAAAGGTAAGGTTACCCAAAACTGAAAAATAATGTACATTTCAGAATTACTCAAAAATGCCTTTTTCAGGGAACAAGAAATGGGTTAACACCTTAGAGCTGTTCTGCAGCAATGGAGGTTGATCAAGCCTTGAAAGTTGGTGCTACCGATTCCCACAGGTGTCCCAACAAATCTTCATTTCTTACAACCCCCTCTGTCTGCATAAAAGTAGTGTTGGAACACGCTGTGGTTTGTACTGCAGAAACCATCAAAAGGCACTCAGAAACTGGGGCAAACTCTGACAGGAAGAGGTCTGGCAGACCCAAAGCCACAACAGAATTAGATGACGTTTCTGAGAGTCAACAGCTTGCGTGATAGGTGGCTCACAGAACAACAGCTTCAAGCTCAGCTTAAAGGCATACTATGCAGTTTTCCGGTTTTGTCAAAAAGCTACCCATAGAGTCGTTGCGGAGTACTTGTATTTAACGTTAACTGTTGTAAATACCACTCACCAGAGCCGTCTCTATATACGGCTCTGCGTCTCGGCACTCACGGCCTGATCCCCTCCCCCCGTATACCGGTACATTCAGTAGGATGGAAGCGTCGAACATCGAACAGGCAAAGATAGACTCCGAAGATGTGTACTGACCAGGTAACGTCTTAGTGAATGCCTGCTAGTGTCTTCCATTGAGGCTACTTCTTATGTCGCTGATGTATGTGATGTTGCACCGTAAAGCAATTCGGGATTCTTGCGAGATTTGGCGGGGCGCCACCTTTCAGACTTGCATTGCTGGTTCTGCCAGTGGCTTCCCTCTCCTGCTTTGCTATTGGGATGATTCGCTGTACTAAGAGTTCGTTTACCATCGAAATGTCTTAAAAGCTGTTATATTGAGGTAAAAGTCTTGCATAGTGTGCCTTTAATAGTGGTCGTAATAAGCAAGTCTCAGTTTCAACTGTAAAGAAAAGACTTCAAGCTGCAGGTTTGACAGGTTGAGTTGCAGTAAGAAAGTCATTGCTAAGACGTCAGAATAAGGAGGGTTCCTCAGTGTGTGACATCAACTGTCAAACATGGAGGAGGAAGCGTGATGGTCTGGGGCTGCTTTGTTGGATCCAGGGTCGGTGACTTGTACAGAGTGAGAGGCACCCTGAACCAAAACGGCTACCACAGCATTCTGCAGTGCCATGTAGTTCCCTCTGGTATGAGCCTAGTTGGTCAGGGGTTGATCCTACAGCAAAGATAATGACCTAAAACACAAGTCCAAGCTATGCCAGAACTACCTTAGGAAAAGAGAACAAGACGGTAAGTTTGAAAACATGGAGTGGCCAGACTTAAACCCCATTAAGCTGGTTTTGGATGAACTGGACAGAAGAGTGAAAGCAAAGCAACCTACAAGTGTCACACATTTATGGGAACTTCTGCAACAGAGTTGGGAAGAACTTTCTGAATAATATTTGATTTCCATTGTAGAAATAATGCCACAAGTGTGTTCAGCTGTTATATCTGCCAAAGGTGGCGACTTGAGTGAGTCTGAAGTTTAGAATACATTTTTTTTCCTTTCAATTGTTTATTAGTTCCATGCTTTTATTTCAGAGTACAATGAGACATTGAACTGCATGAATTTCAATAAAAACTTGGAAGTATCGGGGTGTCTTCTGACCATTAGTGTATGTATTTATATTGAAATTGTTGTTGTGTTGTCAGACAACAGGAAATGTATTGAGGTTTCCTGTTGGTCTAATGCAGCAGCAGCACTCAGAAAAGCAAGACAAGCAGGCGGCGGTAAAATGTACAGTACAGTTGGATGTTTTGTATTTAAAATCTAGCCTACGAATAATCCGAATGTTGGTCATTTAGGTACCAAATACCTCATTCACAAATAGACACAATGGATGGATAAGAAGAACAGAAACTTGTCCTCCACATCTGCATTGTAGTAGATTGGACAGGGGCCGTCACAAGATAAAGGCTCCTCCCCATCTTTGAGACTAAAAGGAAGTTGTTCTTTCCTACAGAAGAAGTTGATGGTGTACATTGATGTTCAGATAAAACGGCTAAAAAGAGCAGGAAGAAAAGTGAGTGGTGAGTTTTTATCTATCTATCTATCTATCTATCTATCTATCTATCTATCTATCTATCTATCTATCTATCTATCTATCTATCTATCTATCTATCTGTCTGTCTGTCTGTCTGTCTGTGTGAAAGGGTGTTAAACCTTTCTGAAACATACCAAATACTTCCTAAAGCAGTTTTTATTTGTTCTAACTGGGAAACTTGATCTCCACAGTGACACAAATTATTTCTGCATTTTGGTTTTTGTGCTTTTTGTCACAGAGAAAGTTTCCTCATCGACTGACAGCACTTAATCTGAAGTCAGCATCTGGAAATCTGACACAATGAGCCGTCCACAGGGCTACATAGAAGGTAATAACCAGTGAATGTAACTAAGTACATTTACTCAAGTACTGTACTTAAAGACAGTTTTTATGGCACTTTACTTTATCTTGTAATGACGACCAGTTCAAGAATATTCTGAGGTTTACTCAGAAGAGAAGAAAGAGAACAAAAGAGGAACTGATCATGAAGGAGAAATTTAAATGCACACATATATGTATAATCTTGTCAGATAACAGGAAATGTATCGAGGTTTCCTGTTGGTCTAATGCAGCAGCAGCCCTCTGCACTGTCAGAGACCAACAACAGTGTTTAAAAGTCATCAGAACAGCAAGTGAAGCAGGCGACCATGAAATGTACAAAAATAACACAAGTTTATGTTCATCTTGTTTATTTTTTTCTATTTAAAATCTCAACATTTCAAGATTTCTTTAAAATAATAAATAATAATAACTATAACTTGTAGAAGTACAGTATGCTACATCATCTGTCACTGTTTAACAACACATTGTTGATTAAAGCTCAATAATTAACACATTATATCTTATTTAGTGTAAAAATTAAACGCTGTGGTTTTACAGGGCTTTATTTACCAGACTATTTCTTGGGCCGGAGGAGTAACTTCCTGGAGTCTTGTTGTCAGGATGATGTTGACTGGCAACCAGTGGAGACTCCAGGTAGTTACAGTGATAATTAGAGAGTTTTAAATGTGGTAATACATTCAAACAGAGCCAGGCTAGCAGTTTGCCCCTGTTTCCAGTCTTTATGCTAAGCTAAGCTAACAGGCTGCTGACACACGTGTCATGTGTTGAGTGATGTGTTGTGCTGCACTTAATAAAATGGTGTGATACTTGCTGCTCTTAATGTTTTGAGAACTGCAACAGTGATACAGAAAATGTCTTTAAGCAGTTAACAAACTTTAATTTGAACTTTTAGAAACTAATAGGGCAGTATTTTATTTGACTCATTTCTCGGCTTTTGGAACAGCTGTATGGGTGTTCATGTTATTGTGTCCACCCTCTGCACACATCTGTTTTCCATCTCTGTCTCTTCTACCTGTTGAACAGGTGAAGCTCCAGCCTCCCAACAACACTCAGGGTCAAATGGAGGGTCAAAGGTCAGATCAGAGAGAGTGGCCCTGCTGGTTGTCAGCGCTCTCCCTGGCAGCTGCTGTCATTGTTATTTGCCGTCTCTGTAAGTTTGTCATGTAGATTGATGTATATTGACTTTACTTTAGTTTTATCCCCAGTAACAACTCCTCCTGTGTTACTGACAGTTACAGTAAATACTGAGTTTATGTTTAACCACATAAATTAATGGCTCTTATACTGAAAGGGTGCAGGAAGTGTCCATCATGGCTGGCAATGTTTTCATTTTAGACTCCCCTGAGACAAATGTATGAAAAGACATAAAAGCCTCCATCATGTGTGTTTTCACATAAAAAGGATTTCTGGAGAATTTTAGCCTTAAAGCAATGCATGCTGGGAAGCGTATGCAAATAATGTTTCAAACTATTTAATATTATGAGTTAAGTGATCAATTGATTGGACATTTATTGAACTGAACTGAACTCATAATTATGAGTTAACACTTAAAACTTGACATTGACAAACTTATCTAATTACAGTTATTGATAACAGAAAATGTTTATTTCATATAATTATTGAGATTTTAAAGTGCAAATGATAAAGTAAACATGTAGTGAGATTTAGTTTTTCTTAATTCATCGACTAAAGAACACAAGTTAACAGAACTTCTTCGCAACTTCTTCACAACACATCTTCAACTTTTACTTTGAATGCTGATAATTTAGGCTAAATAATATAAATTGGAGTTTTTACATTGCAGAGAGATTTTACATTGGAAGTTAAAATGAAAAATAAATTTTATTTTTGGAACCCGAACTTTATTTTAATTAGTTCATATTTATGGAATAAACACATTTATCATCAAACACTGATGATTTACCAATGCAGTGTTTGACCTGTGCTTTCTTTTTTAATCAGCTCTTGATAACATGCACACCAAGCAAAGTTTCCAGACTCTGGGAGACGAACATGAAGCTGTGAAAAGAAATCTCACAGGTAATCCAGTCAGGTTTAGAAACTGTCTGAAAAGGTTCAGTCTACAAGTTAAAAGTCTACTTTAACCTACATTTTGCAACACTGCAAGATCCTTTGAAAATATGACATCTCACATCTCAGATTGTGTTTGAAACTGTCTAAAAGATTTAGTCCACAAGTCTCTGCAAGTCACATTTTGTGTCAAACTGGATTGTTTTCAGTTCTGACAGGTGGACCCTGATATTGAAAGTGAAATTGTTTTTTTTACCAGAGAGACGCTGTGAAGTAAAATCATGCAACACGGTGCAGCAAACCAGCCCACAACCTCCTGTAGTAAAAGAAAGAAAGTGATGAATTTTGCCTTTCTTCCATGTGTGCATCCTCTGATGATGATTAAAGAACCAGTGATGTATTGACAGATACAAGAAGTCAGATTGGCAGTATATATACCTGTGAAGTAGAAAACTGTTGCCTCTGTCTGATTGTCTCAGCTACTCTCAGATTCAAACTCATCACATTTCAAAGTTCCTGCTGCTTCCAAATCACACAAATATAAACAGTGATCTGTTTCACCTGACTCAAGTCTTTACTGTGATCTCTTCAAAGATGAGTCATATCCAAAATGTGAATATGGCTGGGAGCAGCATGGAAGACAGTGTTATTATTTCTCCACCAATTATTTCACCTGGAGTAACAGCAGAGATGAATGCCGACAGAAAGGAGGAGATCTGGTTCAGATAGACAGCAGAGAGGAGCAGGTAAAACACACTGCTGCAGGTTCATGTAGCTCACTGGCTTTATTCTCATTTGTTTTATCACATCCTTGTGTTTCCACATTAGTTAACATGGTCTCTCAGCACAGAAAAGTCATGTTACATATTGTGCTCTTCATCAACTTTTCCTGTCCAGACATTCCTGGAGCTGAAACTGAGAGAAAAAATGAACAACATTTGGGACAAGTTCTGGATCGGACTGACAGACTCAGAGAAAGAGGGCACATGGTTGTGGGTAGACGGCTCACCACTGAACGAGAGGTTTGACTGTTATAAATATATTTTTTGCCAGTTTCTAAAATCAAAGTTATCAGTTTTATTGAACCATTTTCTTTCTGTTCTCTAACTCTTAGTTTGACATTTTGGTTCCCCGATGAGCCAGATAACTGGACAGGGAAAGATCCTGATGGAGAGGACTGTGTGAGGATGGGAGAGAAAGCAGGAGCTCCTGATCTGAAATGCTGGTTTGATGAATCCTGCAAATATGCTCACAGAAGTATTTGTGAGAAACCAGCATGATGTGAACATTTTACTCTTCAGTGTGTCTGAAATGTAGTTTAAATGAAATTTCAGCCTGTTAAACAATCTCAGTACAGGATACAGAATTTGGAGCAGTTTTATTTTTATATGTGTAATGTTAAAATAAATGAATAAATAAGGAAAATATTAAAATGCAGTTTGTTTAATGTGCCCAACAATACTATTATATATTATATCATCAGACTATAGTTACTCATGTATTAATGGAAAAGCAGCTTTTTAGTGTCATAGTTTGTTGAGGTGGAGCTTATTTCTAACCGTTATATATCATATTATTATATTAGTTGCTGTCCATATATTTATTTTCTGTTAATCGACATTTTAAATTACACTTATAATAAAACATCATATTTTGTAAAGTCTCTGTATATGATATAAACTCTCCTGTTGTAAAGTAACTAGTAACTTAAGCTCCAAAACATTTATTTACAACAAGTTTTATCTCCAATCCAACATCTACGGTTTATAAATACAATAAAAACTGTTTGCTTTAGTAGATGGAAGAATAATAAAATGTTTGAATAAATTAGTGTTTATTGAAACTTAACAGCAGTGTATTTATGTCAATTTTGTTTTTGTTTCCATTGTAGGTTACTATAATCTATATTTATCTTCTGATCTTTAGATTTTTCTTGTTTTATTGATACAGTGTCATTTTAAATTGTTTTTATAATCATAGTTTTTGTGTGAACTCCAGGAAGACCAGCAGCCACTTTGTAGAAGTTAATTTGGATCCAAATACAAAATAAAGTATTTAAATTGTTTGATAATTCATAAAATGCTAGCCTCATCATTTGTCAGCATGCTCACCATGAGGTTTGCTGAGTCATTCAAAGTGATAACACAGCTGTGATAGTTCACATTACACTTGTTTTACCCCAAAAATATGCACTAATGAACATGAAATGTCCAACTGTGTTGTGTTCACAAACAGAGGAATTGGACATGGATGTTTCTGCTGTCCACTGTTACTGTCGGTAGCTACGCCTCCTGACCAGTAGGTGTCTCTGTGGGACTGTGTACAGAGTGGAAGAGGACTGCAGAATGAGGGACAGAGAAGTAGAGAGGAACAGGTGGAGAAGTACAGCGGCTGCAGGTGAAACGTGGATGCTATCAGTGTTAGCAGTTGCTAAATAAAGCCCTCAAATGTTCGCTGTGTCCAGTGTTTGACTCAACAACGTAACAAACTGCTGTGTCACTGATTTCTTCAAACTGAAGAACAGATGGAGCAACGTCTGTGGCCTCAGTGTTACAGAATATGAACCATTTGTCTTTATAGAAACTAAAGGAAATGGAAACAATTATTCAAACATAAAAAATGTGACTTTGGGGAACTAGACTTTTTAAGATTGTCATGACTCGGCTCCAAGGCCATGGATCATGTATTTATTAATAAGTGCACATCTGAGGTGTGTTTATCAGTAACATCAGTGCTGTAGATGTGAGTGTGTGAGCAGTATGAGATGTAGAAGTTATAAAGTGGGACAATAATCAACTTTTACACACACTAAAGGACCAGACAGACACAAAGCAGTTCACCTGTGCGCACAAAGAGGAATAATCCTCAACCCGGCTCACTAACCTCCCCTCTAGTCTTCATATAGCTAGTTGTGGTGGGTGTTTACGCACTGGAGACCTCTGGATCAGGAGAGCAACTAGCGAACCAGCAACCCTCCCGAAACCACAGACATGCTCCCAAGCAAAGCTTCAGCCACGCTCAACACTACAACACTACACAAAAACACCTCAACGAACCCAAAGGGGAACGTTGCTACAACCTACAAGTGAAAACTCTGCACCACTTCACAAAACAATAAATCTCTCCAAGCAAAATCCAGGTAAGAAACTCTACAAAGCCGTGAACAAATAGTTAACTGAGCCTATAAAGTCAAATTCTTCAGTGAACACTACACACTAGGAAAACCCTAGGCTACGAATAATCTGAATGTTGGTCATTTAGGTACCAAATACCTCATTCACAAATCTAAAGTCAGCATCTGGAAATCTGACACAATGAGCCGTCCACAGGACTACATAGAAGGTAATAACCAGTGAATGTAACTAAGTACATTTACTCAAGTACTGTACTTAAAGACAGTTTTTATAGCACTTTACTTTATCTCGTAATGACGACCAGTTCAAGAATATTCTGAGGTTTACTCAGAAGAGAAGAAAGTCCAGAGAACAAAAGAGGAAATAATCATGAAGAAGAAATATAAATACACACACACACTCTAAAAACAAATGTCTTGGCTCAATAATGAAAATTGTTACAACAGTTTCCATCTATCATTTTGAGTTGTGACAACACAGGTGATCAGATCTGTTGTGTAGGACTAGATGTTGATATCCCTTATTGTGTTCCTGAGACACTACTAAGACTCTGTGGGATGGTCAAGTGAGTGATGGCATCCTCTGGGTTATCAAGTGGGCGCCCTCCTTCCTAGATGTTTCGCTGATAGGCCCACGTCACCTCCAGAGGGTTCAGCAGTGAATCCCAGCGTCCCAGGTTCAAACCCTAGATCCCATCTACTCACTTGAGGGCCCAGGTGGAGTCTTTCCTCTTTATCCACAGCCACTGACTCCCCTTTTCAGCAGCTCTGGAGAGGTCCTTGACTGCCTGTCGATGGGCCTTCCCTCGCATTCCCATCTCCCAGAGTAGCCTGGATGTTGAGGCGACTACAAACCCTCTGCAGCCTACCTCCACTGGTCGGACCCTCGCTGTCCAGCCTCGTTGTTGTGCATCGGCTGCAACCTCCGTGTACCTCAGCTTCTTGCGCTCGTAGGCCTCCTCTAATGCACTCTCACAGGGGACCATGAGCTCAATGATGTACACGTACAAGGTCTGGTCGCAGGTTGGTGGACGCGATTTTAGTCTTTGGGATGGAGTGGCCTTGGTCCAGCCAGGTGTGCTGGTCCCAAGGCCCAGACCACTCCTTCCCTGCTGCACTTGGCCCACGATGTCCTTATGCCTGAGTGCTGCTTTTGCCTGCTCTGTTGCAGCCGATGGGGTCCACTTCCTCCCTGTAGCCAGGATGGGGGCAGCTTTGGCTACAAATGGATTGCCTGAATCCAATAGCATCATTTCCAGTCTTACTTTGGTGCACTTGTTCTCCTCAGATAAACTGGAAATGGGCAGATCTAAAATTCCTTTGACATAGAGCCCAATACTGCTGAGGCACTTGGGAAAACCAAGCCACTTCCTTGCATAGGAGCTAACCAGTCTCTCCAGCTTTTCCACCTTTGAGATTGGAACTTCATACAGGGTGAGTGGCCACATGAGGCGTGGAAGTAGCCCAAATTGCATGCACCAGAGCTTCAGCTTGCAGGAAGCAGGGTTCTGTCAGTGTTCTCTAGGCCGCTGGTTACGTCCTTCCTGAGCTGATCTACTTGCTCCTTGTCTTTGAGGGAGGCATCAGACCATCGACCGAGGCTCTTCACAGGCTTCTGTGAGGCAGATGAAATTATGTTTAACCAATGAAATATATTAAGTAAGGCAAATTAACTTTTCCTCTACAATGAAAGGTATTTTTAATTACCACCTACTTAATAATTGGTAGCATAAACACACGTTTTTAAGTTGATTACTCATAAAATTAAGTCGTTTCAAATAGTTTTCCCAAATTATTTTAAAGGAATTTTAAGTGTCATGTACTTACTAACTTTAATAATGTTTTTTAAGTTGACACACATTTAAAAATATTGTTTATGTGAGAAATTAATTAATTCGATAACCAAACTGTTTGGCAATGAACTGTTTTTATTATGAACTGCAGTTTAACAGTGTTTGAACACACAATATTAAAACTTAGAAAACAATAACAACACAAATTTAAATTGTCCCATACATGGCCACCAATCTTCTCAAGGTCCGGCAGTCTTTTTTACACATTATAGGAAAGACCTAATATAAATTTTAAAAAACTGTAACAAACAGCAGCAGACGGTCACTATCAATGTACATTTAAGTTCCATTAGCTCAGATTCCTGTCAGCAAACCACAGCACCTTGGGATATCCTTGCCCTCCAGGATTTTGGTTCCCTCGACCATGATGGTTGCTGTCATATGATCAGATTCTGGGGTGGACCGATCACTGATGGCAGCAGTTTTCATCAGATGTTTATTGAGGCCTGCCTCAAACACTTCTGTGTCCTTGTACAGCAGATTAAAAGAAGAAATACATTGATTTATTAATACATTGAAAGTATTTTCACATGCCATTGCTGTCAACACATATTTGAACAGACCATTGTTATGATATTACAGATTGGGGTATGGCCAGAAGTGAAATATACTTAAAACTTTAATGGACCATAAGCAGGTTTCTGCCCTATGTATTTAAACTGCCCAATGTGGATTTCATTTTCTTTCAAGATGTTGAATTACTTATAACTCTAAACTCCCTAAAAACGGTCCTCTTCCTTCTCTCCAAGGCAGTGGATAGCTACATCTCTGTGTACTTCAGTTGTATTGGGCTATTTAAGAAAAGTGAAAAAAAGGATCAAAAGAAAGTAAACATAACATAACATAACATAACATAACATAACATAACATAACATAAGCTTAATAATTTCCATACCTGGAGAAGCATGTCTTTTATATGTCTGATTGTCACTCCTGTAGCTCCTGTCCTTGATGAGACTATGTCCATCATTTTTGATGTGCAATGTTCAAGTCTGGACATTTTCTCTGGAATTCTTTATTTATCTGTAGACCACACAAATGGAAGAATTCAGAATTTTGTTCCAAGTAGTCGCTCTCCATAGGGGCAACTTGGAAACAAAGATCAGGCAATAAGATGGGCCATTCAAGTACCCTGCTAAATTATTAATATTTATCCAGTTTAATACATACAAACAACAATGTAGTTTACAGCTAAACACATAAGAAGTATCATGCTATTCCTCTACATGGCTCAAATAAAAAGCTCTCTCAAGCTGAGCCAATTTGCCAAATAAAACTTTATTATTCGTATCCACTGCGATGCTACACTGAAGGGTATAATGACTAAACTGCACTGGTAAATATGATTAGCCTTAACTATGTTTATTAGTACAACATATACCATTAACTGTATTAACAGATGTAGCCTAACCTTCAGTCACAAGTCCACTGCTGGTCAAATCACAATTGAGAATATGCCCAAATTCTTGGAAGAATTGATTTGCAAATAAAATGATACTCACCTCAAAAATGTCCTTTGTATATCGTATTCGTTCAGCCTACAGGTCCTTAACTGTCTGAATGTGCCCAGGCATGTGATAGGTGGGTGGGTGGGGGAGGGGACTTGAAATGCTGAACTCAAGGTGGAGAAAAATGAAGTTATCAAGCAAATTTTATTAAGTTATTACAACTTGACTTTTGTTTTGAACCAATTAGATAGATGTAGAATAATGTATAACAGAAATGTTAGTTCAAATTACTCACAATATTAAGTTGACGTGATTACCAACATTATTATATCAACATAACTCATAAAACATTTTTTGCAACTTAAAAGGTCGATCTAAATCAATATATTAGAATTTTTAACTTGCAATCATGCATTTAATTAGGTGGTGATAATAGGGCCACTGAGTTTTACTTTTTAGAGTGCGTATATTTCTATAATGTTGTCAGACAACAGGAAATGTAACTGTTGAGGTTTCCTGTTGGTCTAATGCAGCAGCAGCCCTCTGCACTGTCAGAGACCAACAACAGTGTGGGGAAAGTCATCAGAGCAGCAAGAGAAACAGGCGACCATGAAAAGTACAAAAAGTTAAACAAGTTAATGTTCATCTTTTATCTTTTCTATTTAAAATCTCATCATTTCAAGATTTCTTTAAAATAATAAATAATAATCAATATAACGTGTAACTTATAACTGTACAGTATGCTACATACTTTGTCACTGTTTTAGTTAAATAATAATAGTTAATTAATTAAAGCTCAATAATTAACACATTATATCTTGTTTAATGTAAAAATGAAACACTGTGGTTTTACAGGGCGTTATGTCCCAGACTATTTCTTGGGCCGGAGGAGTAACTTCCTGGAGTCTTGTTGTCAGGATGAGGTTGCCAGGCAACCAGTATAGACTCCAGGTAGTTACAGTGATAATGAGTGACCATTAAAGGTGCTGATATGTGAATTATGTTACAGTTGAACAGA